GGCGAGGTGCTTTCCTTATATGCAGCATATCCCACTTCAATCCTCAGCAACACATATACCCCCCCTCCCCCAAGCACGAGCAGGCAGGCCTCCCTGAGCACAGAGCTAGGAGTAGCCCCTGAGCATTGCTGGGCATGCCTCCACCCCCCCCCCCCCACCAAATATAAAGCAGAAAGCAGGGACAAACTGTGGCTTCAATAATCTAGATGCTCTGAGAACACAGGTTTTCGAGTTCAATACATAACCACTTCCTGGTTGCGAGACCTTGAACAAGTCACTTAACCTCTCTGAGCTTCTGTTTCTTAGTTTCTTTTTGTTTTTGTTTGTTTGTTTTTGCTTTTTGGGTCACACCCGGTGATGCTCAGGGGTTCCTCCTGGCTCTGCACTCAGGAATTACTCCTGGTGGTGCTCAGGGGACCATATGGGATGCTGGGATTCAAACCCAGGTTGGCCATGTGCAAGGCAAACGCCCTACCCACTGTGCTATCGCTCCAGCCTCTGTTTCTTAGTTTCTTAATCCACAAAATGGGCTCAAAAGTACCTTCGCCACCCCACCAAGATTATTCTGGTGGATGAACATAGCTGCAACAGGCTCTGGATCCTGTGTCCCTTCCCTCCACCACTGTAGTGGCATGAGTAATCACTGACAAATGGCAGGGTTCATAACAAGTGTTCATGACAACCCCAAGGTCCAGAGTCCACTCCCCCACATGATGCACGGTCTCTGGGACTCCAGGCCTGTCGCCTGTGGGTACCCCGTAAGCAAACGACTTTGATTTTTTTTGTTTTAACATGCCTTATACCCATTTCAGGGCTTGACACAGAAATTGAAAGGATAACAAAGAGAACAAGTAGATAATCTGGGGGGCGGGGGCGGCGGAAAGGGGGGCGGGAATATCAGTTGTGGTTTCTGGAGTAAATCATTGACTGGCATTTGTTCAAGCTGATACGAATTTAGCTGTGGGTGTGGCCATGGCTAATCCAGATGGCGACAACATGCTCTCAAAGGTGGCGTGGAAAACATTAGGAATTATAGAAATATAGAGATCATAGGAATATAACACATGGGACCTCAAAACTAACACAAAAGGATAACCACATTACACAACATATGGTCAGAAAACAGAGGAAAGTTAAAAGAAGGCACTGGCACGGGTTTTAAATGAAACTTTTGAGACTTGTTGGTAGTTGGCTTTGACCACACAATCCACGGACAGCCTCCCAGGCGCACAGCCCAGAGCTTTCATCTCTTTGGAGCTTTTGAACCACACCCCATGGTGCTCAGGGGTTGCTCCCCATGGAGGCTCAAAGGTGCTAGCATCAAATCTGGAGCCTCTGCGACCAGTGCTAGCTTTTAATGTGGGTTTTTCTGCCCATGGGTTTACTTCTCCCCACCGCTTGCCCCATCTGTCTCCTTGTAGTTACCAGCAGCTGTTTCTGAGAAAATCTGACCTGGCTTCTGGTAGAGCAAGCCTGCTAACCAGAGGAAAGCAACTTTGACCTTACAAAATCTCTGACCTTTAACTCCCAACATCAAGTGTTAGAAAGAAAAATAAATAAGGCCAGAATGATTGTACAGCAGGCAGGGCTCTTGCCTTGCATGCAGCCGACCTGGGTTCAATCCCTGGCATCCCATATGGTTCACCAAGCCCATCAGGATTTATTTCTGAGTGCAGAGCCAGGAGTAACCCCTGAGCACCACTATGTGTGACCCCCCCCCAAAAAAAAGGAAGGAAGGAAGGAAGGAAGGAAGGAAGGAAGGAAGGAAGGTCAAAGCCTTGATTTATATTTCCTTTTTGGACCAGAAGAGCAGATTGAAGTCTTTGCTGCATTTCCACTGGTTTGGTACCTTCCCCTTAGAGAGCGGACCTATGGAGCTCTCTGCAGCATCAGTGACAGAACCCAGCTCTGACGAGCCTCTCATCCAGTGCCATTGGCAGTTCAGGGTTCAGCCTGAGCCAGAACACAAAGCCAGTGGCCCTGTTTGGGCTGCCATTCTCAGTGCAACTGAGTCAAAAGCCAAGGCTCATCAAGGGATGAAAGGATAAACAAAACGTGGCGACCACCTTCAGTGGGCTGGCACTCTGCCTTTAAAAAGAAGAGAAGTCTGGGGCCAGGGAGAGAGTTCAGAGGGCTGGAGCACATGGTTGGCATGCACAGGGTCTCAGGTTCAATCCTCAGCACCACATGTCCCCTCCCTAACACCAGTCACTATAGCTCTGGTGGCCTCCAGCACTGCTGGACTGCCAGTGCTCTCTTTGTCTGTCTGTCTGTCTGTCTCTCTCTCTCTCTCTCTCTCGCTCGCTCTCATACGCACACACACACTCTTATTTTTATTTAAAAAATGAGAAGGAAATTCTGTTCCAGAGAGATATCTCCAAGGACTGGCAAAGGACATATTTTGCATTCAGGAGAGCCAAATTTTACCCTCAGCTCTGCATGGTTCGCCACACACCACTGCAGGTGACCCCAAAACTCAGAACTGGGAATAGGTCCTGATCACTGTTAGGAGTGACCTTCAAGCTAAAATAAATAAAGAACAAAGGGTAAAAAAAAGGAGTATACACACACACACACACACACACAAGAGCTAGTACATACACTTGCCTTGCACACGGTCGACTTTAGATCCATCCTTGGTACCACATATGGTCTCCTGAGCCCAGAGCGATTCCTAATCACAGAGCCAAGAGTTAACCCTGAGCACAGCTGGGTGTGGTCAAATTTTTTTTCTAAGAAAGGAAATTTTGATGTATTCTACAATGTAGACGAATCTTTATTTATCTGTTTATTTTTTAATGTGGAGTAATCTTAAGGGCACTATGCTGAATGAAATACACCTATAACAAAAGGACAAATGCTCTATGGTTGTTCTTGTATAAGGTATCTAGAGTAGACAGATTCCTAGAGATAGGCAGTGGAAAACTTCCCACATTCTCAGGTCTCCAAGGTCACCCCAGAACCAGGTTATCTAGCCAAAGCTTGCTGGGCCTCCTTGGCTCTGATTGGTTCACCTAGCCCCATTCACTACAACTGAACTCATCACTATGGCCACAGAACATGATTGGCTGATTGCAAGCCCTGCCCACAACCATGGGTTGAGAGGTTGAAGGGGTTTTCCCTGGGTGGGTTCTGGCGTCTCAGGCATGGAGTGCTTGAGAGGTCTGAGAGATGACCACTCCTTTAAGTGCCTCTGTAGTTGGTTGACAGGGAGGCACATTCACCTTCACATCCGAGCAGGAGCGGGGGTTTGGCCGCCTCTGCCAGTAATCTCTGCCAGGTGGGAGTAGACCCCTTCCGTGTCAGCCCACTTCCTCAGTAAACCTTTAACCACTGGAGAACACTATTAGGGTCCCTATAAGCTACCGGCAATGTCCTGGGGAAGCCTGAACTGGGCTCTTGGTTTCTCTGATTGCTGTCCTCACCGGCTCCAGCAAAGAGTCTTCAGGGTAGACACATGGATCCATGCCTTGTTGGCTAAGGTTGTAGCTAAGAGCTGTGTTCAGGGCCCAGAGCTTGAGAAGCCTCCTTTGGAATACAACCTAGCTGAAGCCACAGGGCTTCTCGTGTTTGGCAGATAGATCCACCCTGTTTCTCCCTCAGTGTCCTAGTGCTCCCCTCTCCCCCTCCAGGCCACAGCAGGAGAAAGGTGAGTGGAAGATAGCCATCTCCTCTCCGCAGTGAACCTTTGAACTTCATCTCTGTCTTGAAAATGTGGGTCTTTCTCTGCCAAGATATTGGGCAAACGGAGACAGAAACTGAGAGGAAAAAAGGAGAAAGAACAGAGAGAAGGAGATGAGAGAGGGAGGGGTGACAGGGAGCTAGTGTGCACTTGGGGTGACCCCCTCATCCCTCCAAGTCTGCAGGAGACCTAGAATAGGAAAGGCAGCAAGTGACTGTGTCCAGAGATGTCACTGTTTAACTGCTGAGCCCAGGGAGAAATGAGGACCCAAGCCTTGGCAGTTATTTCTCAGGCTGAGGTGGGATTTGATGTGGTCACCCTGGAGAATATCTCAAGCACATTCTACAGGGCCAGAGGGCAAAAGTTTCCCTCCACAGGTGCTAATGGAACAGCCACTGAGAATCTGGGTGTGGAGGAGCAAAGACCTACTGACAGTCATCTGAGATCCCTATCCTCCCAAAGAGCTCAGCTCCAGGAGGGCAGAGGCAGTCCCTGAGAGCAATAGCATGGATGGAAAGAGTTGGCCAGGGGGTCTCTGAGAGCTAGCTGGAATTCAGGATTGGCACTTTAATTGTCTCTCCCAGGACCTGAGGACCCACTTGGCCAGTCCTGGGCATAGCTTCCACCACCGAGGACCCCAGTGTGAACAAAAGAGACAAATAGCCTCCTCTTTTTTTATTTTATTTTTTAAAATTTTTATTAGTGAGACACCATGAAGTACAGTTGTAGACTTACAAATTTTTGTGCTTGGGTTTCAATTATACAATGATCAAATACCCATCCCTCCACCAGTGCCCATTTCCCACCACCACAGATCCCAGTATCCCTCCCACCCCAGAAAGAGAGGGATAGAAATAGAAAGATTGCATTCATCTGGGGAACATAAAGTAACAAAATAGGAAACTAACACCCAAGAATGGCCGAAAAAGCCTCCTCTTAAAGGAGACCTTTCTCTGTGCTCAGCAGCTCATTCTCAAGCCACCAATTAGGAGAGTCTCTGAGTGTAACTCAGTGGCACTCTTGGCAGGGTGTCTGATGCAAAGAAAGTCCCAGGAAATGGGGTGGGGGGGTGAACGGTGGTGGTGGTGATGATGATGTGTGATAAGACCCATGGCGGACCCCCAATCCCAACCTTGGGGAGCATCAAGGATGCCTTCCTCAGGGCAGGTGACTCACCAAGGGACCAAAGTGTCTATAAACTCCTCTACAAACCTAGTCTTCATGTCTATGCTTACCTGAGTGTGAAAGGCAAAGCGGGCAGCCTGCAGTTGACTGGCCCAAAGCCTGTGCCCACCGCTGACCTCCTCTGTCCCCACAGGTCACCTTCCCACGGGTGAAGAGCTCATCTCCTTGGCCGGGGTCACAGCCATCAAACCCATCCCAATCGTCATCACATTTCTTCTTCCAAGGCATCCGGCAGCCACCCATGCCTAGGACCTGGTCCCAGGGGTCCCCCAGGCCTACCACCATGCCGCCTGGCCCCCACCAGCGGCCCCTGAGTGCCAGTGGGAAGGTGTTCTCCTTCATGATGGAGGGCAACCCAAGAGCTCCTCTCATCAAACAAGGTACTGAGGGTCCGGGACAGGGAGGGCATGGGGCCACATGAATGTGCCTAGGGTTTCATTATTTTCTCAGATTTTTTTTCCACAACAGCTCCTCTGCGGGATCTCAGAATCCATGGGTTGGGTGGGGGGTGCAGGAGGCCACATAAATGTAAGGGGCACCTAAAAATTATTTTTTTGATTAACATATTTTCCCCAATAATGGCATCATTTGAGTGCTGACATCAGTAACCTGCTCCTTCTTCTTCTTCTTCTTCTTCTTCTTCTTCTTCTTCTTCTTCTTCTTCTTCTTCTTCTTCTTCTTCTTCTTCTTCTTCTTCTTCTTCTTCTTCTCCTCCTCCTCCTCCTCCTCCTCCTCCTCCACCTTCTTCTCCTCCTCCTTCTCTTTCTCCTTCCTCCTCCTCCTCTTCCCCCTCTTCCTTCTCCTCCTCCACCCCCTCCTCCTCCTCCTCCTTCTTCTGCCACACCCAGTGATGCTCAGGGTTATCTACTGGCTCTGTAATCAGGGATGACTCTTGGTGGGGCTCAGGAGACCATGTGTGGTGCAAGGGATTGAACCTGGGTCAGCCACGTGCAAGGTCTTTGCCCCGTCCTATTTTCTACAGCCCCTTACCTGCTTTTTAAAAGTCATCACTTGGTCATGAACGCCTTTCCCATGTCAGTACAAGGGCTGCATCATCGGTACGACTAGTGGCCGTGAGTCAAACAAACCCAGGTTCAAGACTGGACTATCCCTGACTGGCTGCTGTGGCCTTTGGCAAGTGGCTTGATGCCCTGTGCCTCGTGGTCCTTCTTTATAGGATGGCGATGGGACTGGGTACATCCCTGGAGGCCTGGGTGATCACACCACCGTGCCCAAGCTGCACCCCACCCTTGGGTCGTTGCACTGAACCCACAGCTTGCTAGCTGAGTTTCACCAGGAGAGGCCCCCTGAGCAGCGCCAGGGAGACCCTAACTAAATGCCTAAGATGAGGATGGTGCTGAAGAGACCCTTATCACTAGGTCATCATGAAGGTAGAGTGGGGTCTGGCTTGTGAGGTATCGCAAATGCTGATCACTCCCAGGTGCCAGGCACCACATTCACACTCAGCAGACATTAGATCTAGGAGCGGGACCTGGGTCACATCCTGTGGTGCCCAGAGAATGCTCCTGGCTCAGTGTTCAGGGGTTGCTCCTGGCAGTGTTTGGGGAACTACGTGATGTTCTCCTGCCCCCAGAGCCCATACACACTAGCCCTTGAGTCCTCTCCTCCCCAGTCTTCAATATTACAAGTCTGAAAAACAAATTTGCTCTTCAGCAGAGATATTCTACTTGGTTTCTACCATTCGTGATAGGTAGAGACTCACTCCAAATCCTAGACACTGGTCAGGGGCACACCCAGTGGGGAGGTCAACAGCCAGTTGGGGGAAGACCAACTGGCCAGAGTGCTCCTGCTGTCCGCACCCTCAGTCCCCCTAAGGACCACTGGGTCTGCCCTGATGGACCCCAAGCACTGCCCGGACTGGTGGTCTGAGGTCCCCAAGCCTCAACAGGCTCCAGCCTGCCCTTGGGAAACTCCTTTGGGAACTTCGCGCTGCTAGTTCCTGGGTCACTGAGGGCGTGACCCAGAGACCCAGGTCCTTGTGGCTCCGTCCCAGGCTGCCCCTGCCTGATGCTAGGAGCCTGGTCCCTGCGGTCAGCGTGCCAGCGGGCGGGCTCCCCTGTGTCTTACCAATAAAAACTGACCTCTGGCCTTCAGTCTGCTAAGTCGGATAACCTCAGTGTCCCCTGGTGCCACTGGACCCTGCCCTGTATGCTTGGTGCTGCCCTGCCCCCACCTCCACCTGGGGACTGCTGATGAGGACCAGGGCAGGCCAAGGTGGGACATTAAAGCCCCGCATGGGGGTAGTCACACAGAGCCTCAGACAGATGCAGTGGAACACGCGGGTCTGCAGAATCGGCTACACCCCCTCCTGGGGCCTGCGCCCTGAGAGTCGTGTTTAAATCTCAGTTCTAATATATAGTGTAGCACTGTAGCACTGTCCTCCTGTTGTTCATCGATTTGCATGAGCGGGCACCAGTAGCATCTCCATTGTGAGACTTGTTGTTACTGTTTTTGGCATATTGAATATGCCACGGGGAGCTTGCCAGGCTCTGCCGTGTGGGCGGGATACTCTCGGTAGCTTGCCGGGCTCTCTGAGAGGGAAGAAGGAATCGAACCCGGGTCAGCCGCATGCAAGGCAAATGCCCTACCCACTATGCTATTGCTCCAGCCCTCTAATATGTGTGTGTGTGTGTGTGTGTGTGTGTGTGTGTGTGTATAAAATCCAGCTAGCTGGAAAGGAGGGATTGGGTAGAGGAGGAGAAGAATCAGGGCGGTGTTCCAGACCTGAAATGAGGCAGCCTCTACCAGTTTAATCGTTTTTTGTTTTTTTGTTGTTTTTTTTTTTGGCTTTTTGGATCATACCAGGCAATGCACAGGGGTTACTCCTGGCTTATGCACTCAGAAATTATTACTTGCGGTGCTTGGGGGACAATATAGGATGCTGGAAATCGAACCCGGGTAGGCTGTGTGCAAGGCAAACGCCCTTGCCACTGTGCTATTGCTCCAGCCCCATGCATGTATTTTTAAAACTCTGTTTTGGTCTGGTGGTCTACCAGTTTAATTGTAACGAATTTAAATGTACAAACTAGCACTTTAGTTGCTGAATGGGAGGTTTTAGGGGGCTCGCTACTCACACACCTAGCAGGTATGACTCTCCTTTGGCACATTTTTATGAAGTCTAAATATAGACTAAGTCTCTCTAGTGTGAGGCTGTGTGCACATCATGTCCTAGAGTGTCCCTGGGGCCAGCAGGAGACCCTAGCAGGGCTCCACACACATGGCCACACAACTTTCACACACACACATACACACACATACACACACACACACACACACACACACACACACACACCACTCAGGAATGTGGACCAGGCCCTGAGCATATGCTCTCAAGCAATTATCAGAGCCCATCCCCCACTAATCAGGACATAACAGAATTAGGCCCACTCGAGCAAATCGATGAACAATGGGAGGACAGTGACAGTGACAGGTAGGGGAGGAGGGATGAGCTCCTTCCAGCTGGGTAAGCTTGGGCAGAGGTTTCTTCTCTGTACCCCACTTTTCACATTTGTCCATGGAATTAGCAAACTGATTTTGAGGGGTATAGACTGAGACATGAATCCCTTAACCCATAGAGTTTACTATTGCCTCAGAGAGATGGACATTAAGGAGATGATCACAGGAGCTGGACAGATCATACAGGGCTAAGGCACTTGCCTTGCAGTCAGCCGACACTGGCCTTATCTCTGGGACCACATACGGTCCCCTGAGCACCCTCAAGGGTAAGCCCTGAGCACAGAGCTAGGAGTAAACCTTGAGCTCTGCCAAGTATAGCCTCCCTCCTCTGCAAAAAGAAAAGGATCACAGAAGAACATCTCTGAAGCGTTAACATGACTCCTGCAGACAGGAGGGGTTCCCAGCGCCCTGTGATTCTGGCACAGACGACCTGACTCCGTGGGGGAGAATGGGGATCAAGAGGACAGTCCCTTAGGGACAGAGGGGGCTGGAACAGCGTTCTGAGTGGAAGGGACGTGCTGAGGCCGGATGGTGGGCGGGGCCTACATGAGCCAAGTTCAGAGTAAGGGAACCAGCCCCAGAGTACCTGGCAAGAGCACTTGCCCGCTGTGTTCGGTAGGGAAGAGTCCAACTCGGGGCAGGTTTGAGCTCACAGAGAAAGCAACCTGGGCATAACCGGCCTTTTCTTGTTTTCTCTGGGGAAGGGTTTTGTTGCATGCGTTGTTTTTACTGTCTGTAAGAGACAGTGAAGAATCTCAGCCCCTGGGGAAGCAGGATCAGAACTGTCCTGTGCTGGGATCTCAGCCTGTCCTCAGCATACACAGCTCTAGAGGGTAGGTGGGAGGTCAGGTTTGCTAGTCATTCCATGCATAAGACCCAACTGTTCTGTCCCCGCCCTTCACTCCTCCCCCACCTTATACCCTTGCCAGGACAGGTGTCCCAATATTGGTGTCCGCAGACATGTTTGAGATCTAAAGATTTAAAGATTTGTGCCCAAACACAATTTTTCCCATGCAAAATCAATTTGTGGTTGAAGAAATGCTCCTAAGTCTGATGGTGCAGACTCATTACTTGTTAGTGTCAACATTAATGTTTTATTACCTTTGAGAATGGTTGGTTCTATTTCTTGCTCCCTAACAAGAGTGAGAATCAGCTTCCCAGATATCGTAACTGGAAAGAACCAGGTAGCAAATATTTTAGGCTTTGTGGGCTCTATGTTCTTTGTCACAAGTCTCAACTCTGCCTTGGTAGCTAGAAAGCAGCCACAATCCAACATGTAAATGAACACAACTGCACCTGTGTTCCAATAAAACTTTATTGACAAAGCAGGCAGAGGGTCGAATGTGCCAACCTCTGCTCTGCCTCATTACTTCACATCATTTCCAATATCCCTTTAGAGCAGAACCTATTGGCATCCAGAGTCACACAGGTGGAAACTAAGACTCAGAGTAACAGTATTTACATCTGTGGATGGGCACCTATCCATGCAGTGTAGATTGAGCATGGATGACTCATCAACCCAAATGGCAGAGAAAAAAGAAATAAAAAGCCTGGAGAGAGACATGTCAGTGAGACCCAACACAGCTGACTCCAGAGAAGAGTGGGGAGCTGGCTCTTTCCTTGTCTGTGCCTCTGCGCTGCTTTCGTACCTTTTACTCCACAATACAAACCTTAGCGGGAAATGACTGTGAGGGTTAATGTGAAAATACTCTGCAAAACCGTAGGGGTCCATAAGCTCTCCTTTGTGGTCTCTGTTTGTCTTGTGTGCTAGTGTGGACCAGCGCTATCGGCCTGTCGGAACAGTCAATGACTGAGGGGATTCCCGGGACCTCCCAGACCACCGAGATTTACGTGGACCAGGACCTGGGCCAGCAGGATAAGGTGAGAACAGGACGACTACCTCCGCCACTGCCTCTCCCCTTGTTCTTCTCTAAGACCTAGAAGGTTGATTTTCTGTTTTGTTGAGGGGTGTGTGTGTGTGTGTGTATGTGTGTGTGTGTATGTGTGTATGTGTGTGTGTGTTTGCTTGTTCGATTTTTGTTCTGCTTCCAAGAGTCCACCTCTTTTGTTGTTATTGCTTTGGGCCACGTCAAGCAGTGCTCAAGGCTTACTCCTCGCTCTGCACTCAGGGATCACTCTTGGCCATGCCTGGAGAACCATATGGGGTGCCAGGCAAGTGCCCTACCCACTGGATTATCGCTTCCATCCAGAAACACCTTTTACTCCCAAGACTTTCACCCAAAAGTTAGGGTCCTCCTTATTTGATGGCAAACAATGAGGTCCACAGACACAAGGTGTTAAGCAACCACCATGGGCCCAGCTGTGTCCTGTGCACTTGACATTCCCTTGTGTATTCTCCACTAACTTTGGCAGAAAACTTTAATTCATGAGGAATCTGGAGCTCAGAGAGGTCCGGTGACTTGGCCACAGTAGCACCGTGCAAGAGGCCGAGTTGGGATGCAAACCAGGCCGGAGTTTGTATCTGAGCCAGCCCTCCTAGCTCCCTCATGGAAGCCTCGGGCTCATCCTGGAGCACGGGTCAGGGCTGGGGAGGATGTCGGAGACCTGGAAGAAGTGGTGGGCGCCAACTTCAGAGGAAGGTTCGGGGAGTGAAAGCAGAGAGGAAGCCTGAACAGGTCCCTGAGCATCCTGGGAAAGGACCAGGACAGTTGCTCCCCGTCAAAGAAATAGTTCACCAAGTTTCCATCAGCACCAGGGCCCGAGCCTGCAGCACAGGAGCAGAACCCTCTGGAACCTGCCTCTTGGCATGTGGTGCCTCAAAGACGCTGTGAACAGTCATAGTGCCCTGAGAAGGCCTTGACTGTAATGGCTTAACAAGCTGCCCCCAAACTTAGCAGCTTGAAACAACAATTATTTCCTAGGATCTACAGGCTGGGTCTGGAGGTACTTCTGCCTGTAGCCCTGACCTCACTCCTGTACCTGCAGTCCCCTGGCTGGCTTGGATGAAGAGCCGGGCGGGTGGTCTCCGGCGGCCTCACTCCTATGCCTGGTATAGTGGGCCCCTCTCTGAAGGCAGTGTTCATCCTAAGCACCTTCACAGCAAGGTGGTCTTCGAGTTCCCTTTAGGTTCTATGAGGCAGGTTTTGGGGGGAAGCCATCATGGGGGTCAGCCCCACCGTAGGGGGTGAGGCAAATGGACTCCACCCTTTGATGGCAGATGCAGGGTATTTGAATTTCATTTATTCATTTTTTCCCCCATTAAATTTTATTTTAGGCAGTATATGGTTTACAAAACTATGAATGGTAGGGTTTTCTTGCATAAAACTTTCCCACACACACCCTCCACAAGAGTGCCAGCTTTCCCCCACCATTCTTCCACCCCCCCCCCCCCCACACACACACACATGTTAAGCTTCCTACGAAGACTGGTTCTCAGTTCCTGTTGCCTTTGGCCATTCGTTGATCCCCTACTACATTTCTTTGTCCCCCACATATGAGAGAGATTGTTCTGTCTGTCCCTTTCCTCTTAACTTCACTCATCAGGATGCTGTCCAGATACATCCACTAGCAGCAAATTACATGACTTCATCCTTTTTTTCTGCTTTTTTGGGGGGAGAGAGGTTCATACCTGGTGATTCTCAGAGATTACTCCTGTCTCTGCACTCAAGAATTACTCCTGGCTCAGCAGGTAGGGCGTTTGCCTTGCACACGGCCAAACAGGTTCGATTTCCAGCATGCCATATGGTCCCCCGAGCATGGCCAGGAGTAATTCCTGAGTGCATGAACCAGGAGTAACCCCTGTGCATCGCTGGGTGTGACCCAAAAAGAAAAAAAAAAGAATTACTCCTGGAAGTTCTCGGGGAACCATATGGGATGCTGGAGATCGAACCCACGTTGGCATGTGTAAGACAACTGCCCTACCCACTGTACTATCGCTCTGGCCCTCACCCTTCTTAAAGCCAAGGAGAGTTGCATTTTATATATGTAGCATAGTTTCTTTAGGTATTTGAGTTTTAATCCCCCCCACTCATTAAGCTGAAGTGCACCACACAGCAACACTTGTGCCCCCCCCCCCCAGCCCCACCACCCTTTATCAACCCTTGATGCCCAATTTGCCACCTCAGAATTCAAATCACAATTGACAAAACAAATTAGCCTAGGTATGTTTTAAGAAAGGAAAACAGCGTTTCTTGACTCCTCTCATTGGAAAATTTCTGGTGTACTAGTTTTAGGTGAGGCCCAGGAGCTGAGATGATGTCATTAGAATGCACCCCATTCCCTGTCTCTCCCCTCTGCTTCCCTTGCCTGGCTTTACATGTCACGAAAGACAAATGCAAACTTCTGAGTCTGTCAGTGTAAATAAAGTTCCTGACCCAAAAGGAGCCAGATGCCTCTCCTGTGGAAGAGGTGGAAGTTCTGAGAAAGCTCTGATTTGGCCAGCATGGCTCCTGGGCATGTGGATGGTGGGTCCAGTCATGCCAAGACCACTGGGAAGGACAAATGCTCTCCCTGGGAAGGGATCAGAGTCCTCACCAGAAAGGCTGAAACCACAAAATTCACCACTACCCCTGTAGGCTTCTTTATACTCCTGTCCCCTAGCACCAGGAGTATATAGTAACTTCTCAATAAATTTGTTCCCTACCGGGTGGGTCCCAGCAGCCTCCACCATATTAAGGGCCCACACCATAGCTCCTGCCTAACTTTCTGCTTGTTCCTCCACCATCGCAGGATGGACAAAGAAGGAGGAGAACAACCTCCGCTTAATCCCTCAGTGTCTTCCAGAGGGGAGTTAACTACAAAGATTCAGCCCCAGCACAGCAAGAACACTAGAAAACTAATAGGGAAAAGGCATAGAAGCCCACAAAGATCAATGAGCAAAAACAAATCACAGAAGACATAAACAATACCATAAAAATCCTCAGTTTCTTTAGTGACACTATGATGATGATGTTCAGTGAGTTCAAGGAAACAATAGCACAAATAGCAAAGCACAAGAAAGTATGAGTCTTGATGAGAAAACCAGTCAGAAATGAAGAACATGGAAGGTGATGATAAAGTCAATAGAAGCTCTCAGAGCAAACATTTGTGGAATATAAAATAACATAACATGAGACTGACACCCAAGGACAATAGACACAAGGGCCAGGAAGATTGTTCCACAGTTGAAAGCCTGCCTCAGGAGCTGGGAGAGAAGGCAGCTGGAATAGAGAAGGGATCACTAAGACAATGATGGTTAGAGGGATTGATCAGGATGGGAGATGTGTGCTGAAAGTAGATAAAGGATCAAACATGATAACCTCTCAGTATCTGTATTGCAAACCATAATGCCCAAAAGTAGAGAGAGAGTATGGGGAAAATTGTCTGTCATGGAGGCAGGGAAGGGTGGGAAAGGAGGAGTATACTGGGGAGATTGGTGATGGGGGGATGTGCTCTGGTGGAGGAATGGGTGTTTGATCATTGTATGATTGTAACTCATGAAAGCTTGTAACTCTCTCATGGTGATTCAATAAAAAAAAGAAGCTGAGCGAAAAGGAATCCAAGATGAGAAGGAGGAAACTGCTAGGAAATAGCAGTATGTATAGAAAAGAGTCTGAGAAGGAATGAACAGCATACCAGAGATGTATGGGATGGTTCAAGAGGAACAACATAAGAACCATCGGAGTCCCTGAACAACAGAAAGGCAAATGTAATTAATAAACAACATTCAAAGAAATCACTGACAAGAACTTCCCAGAGATGAGGATTACAGGCACCGAGATGCAGGAGACCCAAAAGGTCCCCGTGAAAATAGACCCAGTTAGGAAAACTCCAAGACACATTGTACTCAAATTGACAAAATTCAAAGATAGAGACAGAATATTGAAGGCAGCAAAATCCAATAAAAGGAACTTATATACAAAGGAAAGCTCATTAGATATACAGCTTATCAAATGAGATTCTGAGCCAGAAGAGTATGGTAGGATATAGTATTAAAAACTTTGCTCCATGGCTTGGAGGCCAGCCACACATGCTAGGGGAAAAGGGAGCTCAGATAGGGAAGGGAGCACCAAATAAAGGGTGTTGGGAGGATCCTCCCAGGATGGGAGAAGCATGCTGAAAGTAGACTATAGACCAAACATGATTGCCACTCAATGCCTCTTCTGCAAACCACAGCACCCAATAGGAGAGAGAGAACAAAAGGGAATGCCCTGCCACAGAGGCAGGGTGGGATGGAGGGGATGGGGAGTGGGAGGGATACTGGGATCCGTGGTGGTGGGAAATGGGCACTGGTGGAGGGATGGGTATTTGATCATTGTATAATTGAAACCCAAGCACAAAAATTTGTGAGTCTACAACTGTACCTCATGGTGTCTCACTAATAAAAATTTAAAAAAAAAACTCAACGAAATGAACACCTCACCAAGAATACTCTGTCCAGCTAAATTATCATTAAGATTTGAAGGAAATATGCAGAGCTTCATGGATTGGCAGAAGCTTAGGAAATTTGTAGAGTATTGAAACCAGTTTGACAAATGTTAAAAGAGCTCCTTTAAAGGTCAGGAGAGACTGACTTCCCACCATCCGGCATTGGGTATGGCATTCATAAATGGTGCATGTGGTTGTTCTCTACTAGATTAAGAAAGGTGAAAAACATAGAGCAGTTCATCACAAATTGACTTTTATTGATTTAGTGTCTGATAATTCCATTTATCATTCCTTTTAAGTTTTATTGGATCAAGTAATATGAAATAAGTGTGCATGGCTGCCAAGCGGGTAGGCTTGGTGGTGGGAGGGAGCCTGGTGAAGAGAAGGGGACATTGGTGCTGGGATTGAGGTTGGAATGTCACTGTCACTGTCCCCCCGTTGTTCATCGATTTGCTCAAGCGGGCCCAGTAACGTCTCCATTTTTGAGACTTGTTGTTATGCCTGAAATAATTCTATTATGAACAGCTCTATCAATCACAGTGTCTCAATAAACATTCCCAGAATTTTTTTTTTTAAATGGTGGTTGTGTGAGGAATGGGTGCCTAGAAGCTTGGGTGGCTCACAATAGGCTGAAACAGGAACAGCTCTAGAATACAAATTATGTTTGATGTTTTCCCTCTTACATTAGTCACAAAGTTTCTCAAGGACACCAAGGAAGACCCTTGGTAGTAGTGGGCAATGCCAGACAGGCTTTGACCAAAACCCCATCCATCATCAAGTCAGGGAGCTGGAGGGGAGCGAGGCTGATAGAGCCTCTCTTTAGGCAATTCACTGGCCTGGAAATTGCCCATTCACCTCCTTCCAACCAATGGGAAACTGTTAGGAGAGGAGGAATTCCTTTAAAAGCCAAAATTTTGTATTTGGAAACAATTTTGGGATTTTTTTTTCCCCTCAGTCCTCCTGGCATTTTATTGATGACATCTAGTACAAAGTTTTTGGTTTGATTTTGTTTTGTTTAAACTGTTTTTGGAAGCCTAGCACATTTTCTTCAGCTTCAGAGCTTTCGATTTAGAAAGACAGACGGTTGGATTGAGGCTCCATGTGGTGAGGTCTGTTGGCTGGCTTCCCTCCAGCCTGAAGTTTACATGAACCACACAGGGAAACCACCATTCCTTTCCTGATTCTGTCACCTGGAATAAGTTTCCTTGTGAAGAACCAAAAGAGACAGAGAGAGGGGGAAAAAAGAAGAAACATCTTAGAATGTATTACATTTTAAACTTTTTCCTCCCCAAAATAAAAGGCCCTATTTTAGGTAAGAACGGGATCAAAGAGAATGTTATTTCACTATTTTTTTTCTAGGTCCCTAGTATATGAAGCAAGAATATTGTAAATAAAATTGATTACAATTAAGCTTTCTAGAAACCAAGGTTTCCAAGTGGGATGGTGGTTCGGTGGTTCTCAATATGAAAGTTTCATTTCAGGGATAAAGAAAGTTTCATGACCTATGAACTTTGAACGCCCACTACAAATGTCTGTATGCTAAAAAGACATTTTCACCAAACACTGTCCCTGTGAGGTTTTCAAACTCATCATCAGAACCTTCAAAGTCTGTCTTTTATCTCCCTCCCTGCCTTCAGCACCACCCCTCACCCCAAGAAATCCCAGCACACTTTCCCTACATTTCTTTTACACATCTGGACCCACAACTTACGAACTTCCCACCTGCTCTTTCCCCAGGATGAAATCATTCTGCTGATGGGAAAAGAAATCAGCCGTCTCTCGGATTTTGAGCTTGAATCCAAGTACAAAGATGCCGTGATAGCAAGCATGCAGAGCGAAATGGCCAGCCTGACCCAGAAGCTGTCCGAGTCAACCTGCTCCAGACAGAAGGAGCGGGAGGCCTCACAGAAGATGCTGGATGAAGACATTGAGGCCAAGAAGAAAGAGATCCAGGGCTTGAAAAATCAGGTAGGACTCAGGGACACGCCAGTCTGGGCCTTTTTGCAGTCTGGGATTCCGGGGAGCCCAGGGGACACTGTAGCCCTCAGAAAAATTCAGCGTATTCAAGTCAGCTGAGCACAGACCTGGGGATGAGGGACTCCACAGATGTGTAGGCTTGCAAGAACAACATTAATTTTATTGAGGACCTGCCACGTAGAAGCACAGGGCAAGTGCTGGGATGCTTATTTATAGATTTAGGATCCTACTGAGGGCCTTGTGCACATGAAGTTTGTAACCCCACGCATTCACTTCTTTAAACTTCGCAGTCCTCTAACATGTACTATTTTGCAGTTGATGAGATTGAGGCTGGCTCAGAGAAGTCCAGAAATTGCTACAGCTTGCACAGCAATTGGTGTGCAAAGTTACACACACACACACACACACACACACAATGGTGCAAGTTACACCCCAGCCCACTCCTTGCACACCTCAAGGTATCACCAACCCTACTACTTCATTCCACTCAACTCTGCCATTTATGTGACCAACTCTCGCACACAACCTGCCTCCACAAGAAAGAGTGGCCACTGATTGGCTAGACAGGGAACAGAGAGTCCTCCAGTGTTCCAAAGTCTGAGCCCTTTTGCCAAATCCTGAAGGCAGTTGCCGGTTTACTTACAGAGAATTTCATCAAACTGTTTACCACCTGAAATTCCTGGATTTGCTCATGAAATTAGATCCTGTGACCCCCACCCCCATCCTTAAGAACTACTTTAACATTGGCTGTTAATCTCATATGTAAGTTCTATCCCGACAAAGCTGGTTTTTAAAAAGAAAAGAAATCGACCACTGATGATTTCCAGTATCACTGCATAATGCTTGGTGCTCTGATTTCTGGTTCCCTGTTTCCTGCCTTTCTCTTCTGTAACCAATTCAAAGTATACAATATAAGTCCTAGAAATGCTGCCTTTAGAAAGAACAAAAGTGGTGTATGTTGGACCTAGAGGATTCCAGAAGAATTTAAATTCTATGAGGGCAGACATGACCAGTTAAGTTCCAGAATTCTGATAGAATTGTTTCTCCCTCCATCCAGTCATCTAGCCTCCCTTCATCCACCCACCTACCATCCATCTACCCACCTACTCATCCACTGATCCTATTCATGTATCTTTGCATGCATCCATTCACCCATTCACCTACCCATCCTCCACCTATCCACCCATCCATCAATTCATTCATCTAACTCACACACCTACACATCCATCCCCCACCCTATCCACCCACCTACCCATCTACCTCTGCTATTCATGCATGTATTTATTCATGCATATATCTACCAACACATCCTCTCTTTCATCCTCCCACCCACTCATTCATGCACGTATCCACTCCTGATGGATGTGTTCAAACAAATATTTGTTGGGTACCTATCCTATGCCGCGTCCTCTTCCAAACTCTGGTAATTCACCAGACAACAAGGGAGGCATATTCTTTGCTTTCTCCTAGTTATGTACTAATGAAGAAGAAGAAGAAGAAATAAATAAATACTCATATGCTCAAATATTTAAATGAGCAAATGATGCTCCTTGACTTTGATTATTTAGAAAAACAGCAAAAGTAGCAGGTCCTAAAGAACCTTTCCTAGCCCTCTTGATATGTAGCTAACTCGTGGGTGACCATCTCTTCCTTTATCTGAACCAGATTTGGCCACCGGATAATATTTATATATATTTTAAATTATTCTCCCATTTCAGAGCTTTCTTGAGCATTTCTTGCCCAGGTAACGGACAGGGATGAATGATTTATTCATATCATTGCATGTCAGCAGGTCAAATCAGAGTATTGTTTTAAATGGTGAGTGATCGCTCGGGAAATGGATCCTTACAAAGAAATTATCTAGAAATAATTGCTCTGATTCATCATACTGTCACCTCCCCTTGATCATCACTCACAACTGAGAGTATTTTATAACAAGGCACATCGGCTGCCATTGGTCTAAACTCAAAGCGAGTTTCATCCACTCACACTGGAGTTCCTTAAATACCCTTCTGCATGCAGAGCATTCAGCTAGAGGTAATAGAAGCCACATGACAGGCTGATTTATTGTTCTGATTACTTACACGTTCTCTCCGGTTCTCCTGAAGCCACACGCATAACGATTTGCTCTCAGAGGTCTTCGATCTGCTACAATCTCGCTAGAAAATGCTCACATCCCAGAGCTCTTGCCTGCCCGTGCTAATGAGCAGTGAAATGATTATCTTGAAGCAATCACTCCTCCTAGCACTATTAACTTTCTTACGAGTCAGCGCCCATTTTATTGCATAGTATAACAGACATTAAACACCCTGGGATTTATGCCAGTTGTAGACAACACGGGTATTTGTTTGGGGATTAAAAAGTCAGGAAGAGGTGTGAAGACTTTTTGCCGTTTGCCCACAATCTGAATTCTGGAAACTCTGAGACTTAGATTGAAATATTTCTTTACCTACCAGAAGTACTGGAATATGTAGGGGGAGTAAGAGTTCTTGCCTGTTCGCCCTGGAAATTTGTCACTGTATGGTGTGCTTCTGGTATCTTGCAAATGAAGTTGAGAACTAGAAATGTTTGTTTGTTTGTTTGTTTGTTTGTTTGTTTAAAAAAAACAACCAACTGCTCCAAGTACCACTTATGGGAAACTTGCAACCCTGCCCCCCCACAGAGAACAGTGAGAGGTAAAATAATATTTTACACTCAAACTTTCCAAAGTACTTAACATGCCCAGGTATTGGCACAGAGTGGGGGCTGCGGGCACGAACTTCTACCAAATACCCCTTCCCTCATGCTTCCAGATGCTCCAGAGGGGAAAATGTAAGTGCAAAAGACCCCAAAGTCACAGAACTTGAACCATGGTGGTAAGAAAGTGAGCCAGAAAACCTGTGGAATCTCCATGCCCCAGGGCAGTAATTCTGCAGCTGGAAGAATGACAGACCCCATGCCGGTCCTGAAAAACCAGAAACAAGGACTCGGAGCGCCATCTGGTGGCCAGGCTCCCTGACCCTCTTGTTAGCCAAGATTCCTTTTAAGGGCTGCAATACTCCCTGGAGTATTCTCTGAGAAATAAAGGATTGCTGTGATCACCGAAGAAATTATATTTGTAGCCATCTCCTCCTTCCTTTGAACTTTTAATGCAGTTAATATCAGACGGCCTGGAACCCCGGGATGGTCTGTCTAGAGGGGAGATTCACAGAATTGGGTATTGTCACTGACAGCTGTACTTGGTGGATCCAAAGATAAAAAAAAGGTGCAGGAGAGGGGAGTGGTAGTGGTGGCCGGAGAGATAGCACAGAGGGTAGGGCATTTTCCTTGCAGGTGACCCACCCAGGTTCAATCCCCAGTATCCTATATGGTCCCCCAAGCACTGCCACGAGTAATTATTCCTGAGTGCAGAGCCAGGAGTAACCCCTGAGCATCGCCAAGTGTGGGGTCCCCCTTAAAAAAACACAATTAAAAGGTTCAGGGGTTACTCATGATGTGTGGGGCGCCGTGTGGTGCTGGGGATGGGCCCCAGACCTCCCACATGCAAAGCATTCACTCTAGACCTCTTGGGAGCAAACCATAATTCGCTCAACATCATAATTGCCCATAAAATGGTGGTCCCTGAAAGAAATGAAAAGCTTGCTGAAATGAAAAGCTCTTGGTTTTCCCCAACACTCCAAGTGAAGATGGATACAAACCCTTATCCTGCCTTGGGGAAGCATGGATGCATCTTGCAGGCCTGTGCTGGCCCCTCTGATCATGTGGCCTCCTCCCTCAGATAAGCACCCTGCAGAAAGGCTACAACCAGATGCTGTGCCAGAGCCTGTCTGAGAGGAACACCGAGATCTCAAGCCTGAAGAACCAGGGCGAGAACTTGAAGAAGGACCATGCCCTCACGGCAGGTGAGCTCTGTGGTGTGGGGTAAGCCAGGGTGACCTCCCAGTCACGCACCGCCGCGTTCGCTCACTGAGCCCAGCTCATCTGCATGAGAGTTCATTATCCTAGGGCAGGACCTGGCTCAAATTTGATCCCGATAACTACTCAGATTGGGAGGGCAGGCTGTGTGCAAAGCACTCTCTGCAGTGCTCAGGGGTCACTCCCAGAGGTGCTAGGAGACAGGGGGAGGGGAGACTATGTGGTGCCAGGGATCCACTCCTGGATCTTCTCACACAAACTGCTCAGTCAGTCCATGGAGCGCTCTCTGGTAGGTAATTCAATAAATGCCTTCTCCTTGGGGCAAGAGCCCCCACAGTGCCCTGCACCCCCACTGCCCCTTTCCCACACTGAAGGGATAGAGTCAGATACTGGGATACCCAAGGTCTGTGAGGCATTTGCTTGTCATCCAGGGGTGTCCTAGTAAGTCGCAGTGCGTCCAAATGCATGATTGCATGGTTACGCTGAGGAAGAGTAGGGAGTGGTCTGAAAGGCTGTGGTGGTAGAGGGGAACGCTCTTGGACAGTTCTCTTCTTTGCTTTTTTCTTTCCTGGGGGGTGGTATGGGGTGGTAGTTTGAACCATACATGAAAGAATTTCAACAGGGAAAAAAAAAGTCAGCTGCCCCGAGGGGAAGCACTTGGGACTGAAAGGTAGGAATTTTGGTAACTCACTTTACGGGATTCATCAAGGTGCGAAGCGTGGCCGGTCCTTCGCTGAACTCCGCTGTCTGTGGCACGAAGTAGATGCCACGTGACCGTCACCACCCCTAACCCCCTCTAGTTAGCCACAGGAAGTTCTGGGTCAAGGAAAACAATCCTTTTCTTCTGAGAACAGAACAAGAGATTCAACAGAACAAGAGATCCACCAGCAGGGCAGAGCCTCTCTCTTGGGGTGTTACTTGGAGAACAATCTCAACAGGGCTGTTGATCAGACACAACGGGCTCATTCCCCTCACATCATTAAAGAGTAATGATTAAACATCATTTTCCCATCAGTAAGCCAGGACTTACTCCTGGTGCTGTGTGCTCAGGGGTCCATATGGAGTGCCAGGGAACCATTTTATTGTATTTAAATTAAAATGCCAGGGAGGACAAAGGTGCTCACAGAGAGAACCCCAGGGTGTGCAGTGAGGCCCTTCGGGTCTCCAGCTGTTTGGGACAGGAGCAGAGCCGGCGTCCTCTCCCTGCTCATACCAGGTGGAATGAGAGGCCTTGGGATAGGTAGGGCATCTGCAGCAGATGCCCCTTCTGGCCCCTTTACCTCCCTGTGCCCTCCTCTCCATCCTACCAGTTGGCTCCCTCATCTCACGCCGTGACCCCCAACCATAGTTTTCACCTGTAGTCCTCTTGGACTATCCCAAGGGCCCACAGTGCTCTAGATAGACACTGGCTCCCACCCCACCTAACAGCCTGAAGAGAAGCCCCCAAGAGAGACACCCCCACACATACACTTCCAGGTAACCCAGCTGCATCCTAGGACAGACTCTCTGCTAAAATGCTATTCAGTTCCTTCCTGCTCAGTGCCCACCACTGAAACTGAGCCTGGCCTGTTCCCAAGAGAAGAACTTCCTAAGGCTGGAGAGATAGTACAAGGGTTAAGACTCTAGCCCGGAATTCCTGTAACCCACGTTCGCTATCCAGCACCATGTATGGTGTCCTGAGCACAGAACCAGGAGTAAGCCCTGAGCATCTTCCACCAGCACCACACATCCAGCAAAAAGTAGAAAAGGACCACCCAAGAGAATTTTTCCCACTTCAGTTTGGGTCCTTCCTCCTCTTCTTCTTCAACATGATCATGAAGTCGTGCATTTGCATCCATTGCTACATAACAAGTCATACCAAAATGTGGCAGGATGAAATACCACCTAGTGTTCATTGAAAAAAAAAAGTCTATCACTCAGTTTCTGTTGTTTGTTAGGAATTTGGGGGCTGGGTGGGAAGGACTCAGTTTTTTTTTTAATCTACTTTCAGACTTTTTAATATATGCCATTCTCACTGGTGTGAGGTAATATCTTTTTGTTTGCTTGCTTGCTTGTTTGTTTGTGATTTTTGTTAGTTTTCAACCATCCCTGGGATTTTATATATATATTTTTTTTTTTATTTAACACCATGAGATGTTACAAAGCTTTCATGTTTGAGTTTCAGTCATACAATGATCAAGCACCCATCTCTCCACCAGTGCACATTTCCACCACCAATGTCTCCAGTACCCCACACACATATTCCAACCCTCCCTCTGCCTCTATGGCAGATAGTTTCTCCCATACTCACTCTCTCTCTCTCTCTCTCTCTCTCTCTCTCTCTCTCTCTCCCCCCCCCCCCTTTGGGCATTATGGTTTGCAATACAGATACTGAGAAGCTATCATGTTTGGTCCTTTATCTATTTTCAGCACACATCTCCCATCCTGAGCAATCCTTACAACCCTCATTGACTTAGTGATCCCTTCCCTATCCCAGCTGCCTTCTCCCCAGCTCATGAGGCAGGCTTCCAAACACGGAGCAATCTTCCTGGCCCTTGTCTCTACTGTCCTTGGGTGAAGAACTCAGTTCTGGCTCATGAGCACTCATGGGCTGCAGTCAAGTCTTGGTGGCAGCTGGATGACGCCCTCCCAGAGGGGATCACTGGTGTGACTCTTACCTGAAGGCCTCATCCTTTCCCAAAGGGGCCTCTCACTGGGGCCACTGAGGTGTCTTGAAGACATGACGGTTGGTTTTGCTAGAGGGAATGAACTGAGAGAGGCAAAGGAAGCTGTCCTGTCAAGAAGCAGTATGAACACCACCTGCCCTCATTTTTACAGCATCAGTCTCATACTGGTGACACAAGTCAGCTCTTGTCATGACGGGAAGGGAGCTCGCACGAGACTGACTTCTAGGCGGCAGCAATCTCTGGGGCCACATTGGTTTTGGGTATATGAGGTAGCTGGAGATTGAACTCCAGAACTGCCACATGCCAGACAAGCCCCCAACTCACTATACTATCACTCCGGCCCCCATCTGGGCCCTTTTTAGAATTCAGCTATCCCCGTCGCTGACACTGCTTAAGTTAACCCTTCCACTCTGTTCTTTATAGACACCATCTCCTTTCCCCTAATAACCACTCTCTGGGGGGGACAAAGCAGCAGGAGGTGAAATCACTTGCCTAAAACCACCAAGTTAGTGAGTGGTTGGGACCAAACTAAAAAGAGTGTGAATCCACCCACCCATCAGGGGTCCCGGACAGGTGCCCTCCACCACACGCCCAACCTTGGTCTCTGGAGAAGAACGTTCCTGCAGACCTAGGGGGTTGCCTCCTGCTGACTCTGTGTAGACTCTCCCCGAGCATGGGAACAAAGCTTGTGTGTGTGGTTTTTTTTTAGCTTTTTCATTTTTAATCATAGGATTGTCCATAGATTTGAACCACCCCCTCCTCCACCCTTCACTCTAGCTCTGCATTCCTTGGAAGTGACCTCCACGATGTGCACAGGGCCTCAGAAGGGGCTCCTTGTCAATTGACTGACCTTGGTGACTAGGAGAATGATTTTTACTGCCTCTTTGACCTCTGTCTATATTTTGTGGGTTTTGTTTGTTTTGTTTTGTTTTACAGAATTGGTGTCATCTTTGCAAAAAGATATGTTAGCAAGGGATGAGCAGGTTCAACAGCTAAGACAGGAGGTGAATCAACTGAAAAGAGAGAACAAAGAAAAGGACCATCAGCTTCATGCCCTGACCTCCAGAGTGAGTGTTGTTGTGGCCATCACTGCTTGTGGCTGTCACGGAAAAGCAAAGAAGGTGACCTCCAGGCACGCGCACTGGCCTGGGCCCTGGCTGTAAAAGCCACTGCCCTCCCTTTCCTTACGGCTAGTGGCTGAGTCCAGTGCCCCTTTGAGTGGACCAACACTGCCCCCCCAGACTAAGAATGAGGGGCAGGTTCTTTGCAACTTTTCAAAGAGCTTCAGATATGTAACACCAAATAAGCAAAAGTTGTGTTCAAATCCTGCTCTTTTGTTTGTTTATTTGTTTTGTTTTTTTTTTGCTTTTTGGGGTCACACCTGGTAATGCTCAGGGGTTACTCCTGACTCTGCACTCAGGAGTTACTCCTGGCAGTGCTGGGGGTGGGGGCGCATATGGGATGCTGGGAATCGAATCCGGGTCAGTTTTGAGCAAGGCAAATGCCCTACCTGCTGTGCTATTGCTCCAGCCCTCAAATCCAGCTCTTAACCCCAATTATAAATTCATTTGCTTAATCCCAACAGCTGGAGTGGGCCCAGTAACTTCTCCGTCGTGAGCCTTGTGTTACTGTGTTTGGCATATCGAGTACCTCACGGGTAGCTTGCCAGGCTTTGCCGCACAGGCAAGATACTCTCAGTAGCTTGCCGGGCTCTCCGAGAGGGGCAGAGGAATCGAATTCCAGTGGGCCATGTCGGCCACGTGCAAGGCAAATGCCCTACTGCTGTGCTATTGCTCCAGCCCTCTATAATACAGCAGTAGGGCGTTTGCCATGCGTGATAGCACAGCAGTAGGGCGTTTGCCTTGCACACAGCCAGCCAGGTCAAGCCGGGTTTATTTACTCTGCCCCTCTTGGAGAGCCCCCGAAAGCTACCCAGAGTATCTCGCCTGCGCGGCAAAGCCTGGCAAGCTACCCGTGACAGTAACGTTACTTGGCCCTCTCGAGCAAATTGATGAGCAATGGGAGGACAGGACAGACAGACAATCCCAACAGCGAACACATCTATTAGCATCCAAAATAAGATCTTTGTGAATTTATACTCTACAACTTTGCACAATTTTTTCCCATTAATTATATGGGAAGGGAAGGGAGAGGGAAAGGGAAAGGGAGGAAGTGAGGGAGGAAGGAAAGAAAGGAGGGAGGGAGGGAGGGAGGGAGGGAGGGAGGGAGGGAGAGAGTGAAGATAATGCAGAGTGAAGGTAATACAAAGAGAAGGGAAGGGAATAAAAAGAGAAGGAAAGGAAAGGGAGGAAGAGAGGGGAAAGGGAAGGGGAGGGGAGAGGAGGGAAGGGAAGGAAAGGGAAGGGGAGGGGAGGGGAGGGGAGGGAAGGGAAGGGAAGGGAAGGGAAGGGAAGGGAAGGGGAGGGGAGGGGAGGGGAGGGGAGGGAAGGGAAGGGGAGGGAGGGAGGAGGGAGGGAGGGAGGGCGGGAGGGAAGGAAGGAAACGGAGAGGAAGGAAAAGTAAAGGAGAAGTGTAGGTAATATAGAACAAAGGTAGAGCCCAGGTAGTACTCAGGAGGCCCAGGGGTGATGCCTAGTGATATTCAGCCAGCTGGGCTGCATGGTTCAATGCCCACATCCTGAGGTCCTTGACACCCTCAGGACCATACGTGCCATTGCTGTGGCAGGGTATGGGCATGTGGTGCCAGGATGGAGCCCCAGGGCTGGGTGTGTGCAAAACAAGTGTTTTACTGCTGAGCAACATTCCCAGCCCAAAGTGGAATTCTGTTTGTTTTTGTTTGGAGGCCCCAAGTCAGGGGTGCGCAGGGTAGGTAGGCACCTAAGTGTTGTTCTTCTTTTAATGATTACTGGTTCTAAGCCATAAATACTCACATGAAGGATAACTGGGGCACTTAGTCCATGAGGGTGTTAGCCCCCTAATTCCCCATGCTTTTTCCTCTTTTATTTTTGTTCATGAGGAGCTGGTTCCTGGCGGGGGGGGGGGGGAGAGGAAAGAGGAGGGCAGGGGAGGGGAGGGGAAGGGAAGGGAGGAGAGGGGAAGAGAAGGGAGAGGAAAAGGGGGAAGGGAAGGGAAGGGAAGGGAAGGGAAGGGAAGGGAAGGGAAGGGAAGGGAAGGGAGAGGAAGGGAGAGGAAAAGGGGGAAGGGAAGGGAAGGGAAGGGAAGGGAAGGGGAAGGGAAGGGAAGGGAAGGGAAGGGAAGGGAAGGGAAGGGAAGGGAAGGGAAGGGAAGGGAAGGGAAGGGAGGAGAGGGGAAGAGAAGGGAGAGGAAAAGGGGGAAGGGAAGGGAAGGGAAGGGAAGGGAAGGGAGAGAGAGGGAGAGAAGGAGGGAGGGAAAGAGGAAGGAAGGAAGAAAGGAAGGAAGGAGGGAGGGAGGGAGGGAGGGAGGGAGGAAGGAAGGAAGGAAGGAAGGAAGGAAGGAAGGAAGGAAGGAAGGAGAAGGGGATTGGAGGAGAAGGGGATTGGAGAAGGGGAGGGAAAGGGAGGGGAGGGGAGTCCATGATGTCCTCCATGCCATTTTCTTTTGCTGAATTAACCCTGAAGGGCTTCCTGGTGGCTGCCTCCCCCTGTAGCAGCCCCATCTTAGACAAAGGGCCTTGTAAGAGCCCCAGTCTCCACCCCCCTCCCGCAGGAGTCCTGAGACCCCCCTTTGCTGGTTCAAGAGAAAAAGCACCCAGTTACTCCTAGGAGCACCCAGACTCTCCCAGCTGGTTTTTCCCTGCCCGCTTTCCTCAGAGCTCACAAGAGACGTGGTGCAGGGGCCACCTGGGGCCCAGGCGTCCACCAGACACACTCAACCTCACCTCTCAGAATTCCGGACACACAGCAGGAAACTCTGCACAGGCAACCGTGGGAACTTAGGCCCTCCCTCCACATACCCCCAGACTCTGGCCTCACGTAGGTGACCTGGGCCTCTGTGTCCCCCCTTTCTCCACAGTGCTCAGCGCTGAAAGATGAGTTACAAAAGGAAGATGCTGAGAAGGAGCGCCGGGATACCCAGGAGAGAGAGCTGAAGACCTACAAAAGTGTGAGTCTGGCTGGGGGGATCTTAGCTCTGAGCGTCGTAATGTTGGATTATTACTGTGGCCTCAGATTTCTTTGCTTTGCTGCCCCGGGTTCAAGGAAGAGATGGGCTGTTGAAGAGTCTACGAAAACACCCTCCTGGGAATCTGGACACTTGACTCACTCCCTCACCAGCTTCCCCCCAGGACTGGGCTGGGATTCAGATGGAGACAAGAGGTCGGAGGTCAGAGATCAAATGTGGCCGTTGGCCCCCACCTGCTCCTGGAAATGCCCTCTGACACCCTGCTCTGGACCTGGGACTTCCAGACAGCCTCACCGGGTCACACAAAGACTATGAGAGACACAAAATTCTTCCTGAAGTAATTTCATGGAAATGCAGCCCTTTCACACCAATTCTTTGGTATTTTGGGTGGTATCATTGGGGCTATATCTGACAGTGCTCAGGAGCACCAGACCGCAGTCAGTAGTGCTGGGGTGGAGGGAGCGTGTGGCACTGGGTGGAACCCAGGACCCTCACATGCAAGGCCTGTGCCCTCTCACTGGCTCCCACACCAACTTTTTTGTTTGTTCAAAACTAGGGTCAGTCACGTGCAGTGTCCTTAACCCCTTTCTCCTGCCCCAAAGGTTTTTGTTTGTGTATTTGTTTGTATTCTTTGGGAACACACCTAGAAGTGCTCAGAGGTATCCCTGACTCTGCTCAGGACCCTCGACAGTGACCACAGGCAGTACAGTAACCATAAGCGGTGCAGGGGATTTGAACCCAGACCACAGCCACATGTGAGTCAGCACCTTACCTGGGATACTATGTCTCTGGCACTGTTTCTTTTTTTAATTTCCCTGGTACAATTTTTAAATACAAGCCCTTCCCCACCCCTTTACAAAAAAGATAGCACTCACTTTTAAAAAAAAGTAACTATCAAAAAAAAAATCCAAGAAAATACAGCCATTAAAAATGAAAAATATTTCTTCCCTGAGCCAAAGGATGCCTTGCAAGCTCTGTCCTTTCTCTGGGGCACCCGGGCCCCTGGACATGCAATGGGCACCTGCTTCTTCTCCCCACCAGGAGCACTTCTGTTTCAAAGTGTCTTCATTCTGAGCTGTGCCCGTCGTGTCTGATCAACAGCCTTGTTGAGATTGCTCTCCAAGTAACACCCCAAGAGGAGAGGTTCTGCCCTGCTGGTGGATCTCTTGTTCTGTTGAATCCAGGCTCCATGCTGATCTCAGGAAGGAAGGAGTCATTTTCCTTGGTGCTTAGCATTTCCCACGGCTACTGGGGAAGAGTGTGTGTGTGTGTGTGTGTGTGTGTGTGTGTGTGTGTGTGTGTGTGTGTTGATGTTGGGCAGGGGCAAGAGTGACGTGGCTAATGAAAAAGGTGTAGTGGGGGTGGGGGATGATCACGTGGCATCTACCTACTTTGTGCCACAGGTGGAGGAGTTCGGCAAAGGCCCGGCCTAGCTTCACACCTCCATGTTCCCTGTGAAGTGAGTTACCAAAATTCTGACCTTTCAGACGCAAAGGCTTCCTCTTGAGGCAGCTGACTTTTCCTGTTGAAATTCTTTTAGCAAATCCAAGACCTGGAGAAAGAAATAAAGAAACTCCGGGGCGAGCTCCGGAAGACCAGTTCTGAGCCGACTGTGACTTCCAGGACCCGGGAGAAGAGCAAGGTAGGCAGGGGTTGGGGGCAGGGGTCCCTGGGGTGCACCGACCCAAACCCCCGGGCATCAGTACTGCCGCCCTCTCACTGGCATTCAAATTTAAGTGCGCCTGGTGTTTTGTGTTGTTTCCTTTTCCTGTCTGAGTATTCCTCCATTCATGGGGAGAGGGTTTCATAACCGAGTCATAACTGTGGATTCAGGGATTCCTCCATCTGTGCCAGTTTCCACTTTCCGTTTTGGGGACTGTGCTGAGGTGCGTGTAAATTTAGACTCTTTTAGGCTTCTCATAGCCTTTGTGATGAATAATGATGGGGAGCGGGGGGAGTGATAGTCACAGAGTCAGCAGCTCCAGACTATACCAAACACTGCACCTCTCTCGACTTCACAACGGCTCTGGCTGGGATCTAGAAATTTCGCTCCCGGTTGACAGATGAGAGAGTCAGGGCAGCAAGTGCAAGTAGCTCCCCCTAGAGCTGCTCCGTCGGTGCATGGCCAAGTGGGGGTCACGTGGCACATGGGCAGCTATGTGCATGGAAATTCAATGAAAAGGTTTCACTCTTTGCAAACATTTGCTGTTCAGTCCCCTGTCTGAACACACACACACACACACATGCGTGCGCGCGCGCGCGCATACACACACACATACAGGGTTCAAGGGCTCAAAGGTAAGGGGGGGCTAGTAGGGGTAGCTGGGGGGTGGGGTGCTGCCTGGGTGCTGGTGCCAGGACAAGGAGGAGCTTCTGTGTCCCTGCAGGGGTTCCTGCAGATAAGCTGCTCCTCTGCCTCAGGCTCTTGGCCCTCGAAGCTGTGCAGAGCCCAGGAGGCCAGGTTTGAGCCCCTCAGGGAGGAGCAGAGGGCAGGAGATTGGACCAGAGGGCTGATGCGAGACACTGTGTGAGGGGCGGAGCAGGAGGGGCTGCTGAAGGTGGCACTGCATTTCAGGGTTGATGGGGGACCCAGAAGAGAGTAGCGTCAGCAGGATGGGGTCAGGGTACCTTGGCAGCTGCTGAGAAGGGCTGCTGAAACGGATGTTAAGGCCTGCTTAGCCCAGGGGGAGATCCCACAGGGAGGAAGCTAAGACCCCCCTCGAGGTTAGATGGCTTTCCCAGGTAACAGTCTGAGTTGCAACACAATCATATGACTCAGATGTAAACTTGGAAAGGGCATCGCTAGATCTTTGATTACATCTGTGTGACGCCCCCCTCCAGCCCCCGCCCACTACTCCTTCAGCCCCCTAATAAGCAGATCAAGAAACCACTTCACCCCCAAACCCTGTCACGGCTGAAGGAGCCTTTGCCTCATTTCCCGAGTGAGCGCCTACCAGCAGCCCTCAGCTCCGCAGGGGCCTCTGGCTTGTTGCTTGTCTGGAAAATTAAACTGAACAGCCGCAGTGAACCCGAAGGGCCAGCAGAGGGTAGCCTGGAACATTCTAGCTCTGCTAGTGTGCTGCTCTCGCAAACTGAAAAACAAGAGGCGTGCTTTCCCCGCTGTAAAGGCCTCTTTAACGGGCATGGCCTGGCCAGCCTCCCCAGATCATGGTCAACGTGATAACAGCAAACAACTTGGGTCATAAACCATGTAGCAAGTGACCCCCCTCCCCGCTCCCCACCCAAGGCCAGTTAGAAGGGCTAATCAGAGCGGAGCTGCCCGGGAGCCAGCGGCAGATGCAAGGCCAGTGGGCAGTGATAACTAGCAACCACAGAGCCCCTGGGAGCACTGTGGAAACATCCCGAGTCTCTGCAGTAACTCTGTGAGAGCGTGCCAGGACCTTCTCTGCTCCCAAAGCTGTGACATCCACTTTCCCAAGGCCACATGAGTTGGCTGGGACGGGAAAGGACACAGCTGAGCCCCGGGTGCACTGCTCCTGCCCCCTGCCCCCCCCCCCCCCAACCAGGACAGCCAACCAGGACAGCCTCTTGGGAGGCTGCTTCCAGCCCACAGACACCCATGACCCACCCCCACACATACACGCACACACACGGGCCACAGCTGGCCCCGCCGTGCTTGCCCACGGCCATTAGACGGTCACAGGGGGTCATATGAGCAGCCTGCGCGGGCTGTCCTCATCCTTCCAGGTTGAAGAGAAGCTGCAGGAGGATTCCAGGAGGAAATTGCTTCAGCTCCAAGAAATGGGGAGCAGAGAGAACCTCATTAAAGTCAATTTGGAGAGGGCAGTGGGTCAGGTAGGTAGTGGCCCCTCCACTGGCCTGTGTCCCTCCCCGGGGGTTTCCCCGTGCGGGGGTGGTGGTGAGGCAGTTGGGAGAGGAGGTGGGGGTGGTCCATGAGGAAAGAGCACAGCCAAGGTCCATGTCTGTGGGCCTGGGGGCAGCCCAGAAGACTACCAGCTTGTTTCTGCAGGGAGCCCGCTCCCTTGCCTGTCCCGATGCTGGGACCTGACCAGCCACCAGTCCCCGCCCAGGTCTGCCTCAGTAACTGCCGAACCAGTTCCTGAGGGGAGGGGTTCACAGCCTCTCAGAGCCCTGGGCTGTTTCCAGCACTTTCTCCCTCACATCCCCCCGCCCCAACCCTGGTCCTGACATTTACCACGATCTTTCTTTCCTCCGTGTCCATAGCAGATGTCACAGTCAGGGCCCATTAGGAAACAGGCTCCTCTTAATTAATCGAAACCCTAGAACATCCACGTCCTGCCCAATAGAGGTCCCTAGGCAGGCCAGTGAGAGTCCAGCCTGGCTGATGCCCTGGTCCAAAGTGGCCCAGAGGCCCTTCCTGAACACCAGACCCAGAGAGGCCAGGCACCCCATTCCCACAGGCCAAGGGAGGGTGGCAGGGGGCAGGACAGGAGCCCTGAGCGTCAGGGGCAGTAACGGCACAGCCCTGGGGAGCACACCTCTTCTCCTCACAGTCCCAGTTCCCAGGACCCCTAAATGTCTGTGTGTGCGTGTGTGCGTGTGTGTGTGTGTGTGTGTGTGTGTGTGTGTGTGTGTGTTTTACTTGGGGGATGTCAGGGGAGGGATCTCCAAGTCATTCACTGGGATTCTCAAAAGATGTGCAAACCACCAAAACCATCTAAAATCCACAATCCCTAGGGCCCTTACCTGCCTCTCCCCCACCCCCAACCTGCCCAGCTCTGGAAGATTTTCCAGGAAATGAGGACCAAGCGCCCAGGCACTGTGACTGGCATGTTTCAGGGGTGCACCCGCTTAAACACGGGTGCTGACTTACAGATGCTAACACCTCCCACAGCACCCCCTCCCCGCTCCCTTTCTCTGGAGCCAGCCCCTCAGCACAAGCAGAGAAGAGCCTCCCTTTGGGGTCCCCCCCACACACACCCTCCACACTCCTGACTTAACGGGCACAAGCAGCTGTTGTTTGTGCCCTGTGTCATGAGTTTGGCAGCGGTCCCAGGAGGACCCCCAGAAACGCAGCATAGAGCCCAGCCCTAAGAAAGCGTGAGCCGTTTCTTTTGGGTGGGGACCCCAGGGAAGGGCACCAGGCCCTCCCACACCCCACCCTCTTATCTCCCCATTCCTGCTCTCCCTGCCCTCCCCGGAAAGGTGACTTCAGGTCTGGGCCATTGAGCAGGACTGTCCCTGCCTCCCCAAGAAGTCCTAGAAGAGGAACTCTCGAGGCCGAAGCCCGGGACTCCCAGGGTCCTCTCTACATCACCTGTTCCTGGGATGAGCTAGGGTCGTCCTCTGAGCTGTGAAAACAGGGGACAGCCAGGAGAAACTGCAGCTACCTCTGGCCAGCTGACCGTAGACATGTCCTCAGGAGAACCCTCATTTCCCAACTGGAGTTCTCAGAACCCCTTCCACTCCCCCCCCCCCCCCCCGTGCATGATGAACACCTGTGTCTTGGGATCCAGTGACTTGTAGGTCAAGGGGGGATCAAAGAGATAGTACAGCATGAGAGATGCTGGCCTTGCACCAGGCCAACCCAGGTTCTATCACAGCACTACATCATCAACTCCGGCCCACCCTCCACCCCCATCCTACCCTGCCCCAGCACTGTCAGGAGTGATCCCTGAGCACAGAGCCAGGGGTAAGCAGGTTATGGCCCCAAACACACACACACACACACACACACACACACACACACACATATACACACACCACAAACATAAAGCAAAACACCAATAATTTGCTTCAGGGACACCTGTGGTCCTTTCACCTCTCTTATGGAGTCCTACATGACCACAGTTTACCAGGAACCCCAACCCAGACCCCAGGATCACATACTGGTCAGGTCCCAGAGAGAGGTGGGTTGCTTGGCTTCTTGCTTCTCTGGGAACCCAGGACACCTTGAACTTGTGCTCCAGGTGGCCCGAGCTAACTCAGCCACACACACCACCCGTCCACCATCACAGCAAGCACCACGGCAGCCCCTCTACAGGTGGGAGGGGCGGAGAATGAGGATCTCCGGGGCTGGGCAGATGTGCCCTTGGCCCTGCACTCAGAGGTCATCTCCCGGTGCCCGCTCTGTGCTGGGCTCCTGGCAGGAGACACGCGCTCCCAGATGAGCTCGGTCCACAGCCCAAGGCGGCAGCAGGGGGGCCACCGTCTTCCCTCCCCGGGCACCGGGGCTGATTATACAATTTGCTTGAGCTGACAGCCTCAATATTTATTTCACAGTCTGGTGCCAGCTTCGCAATTATGGAAGAGCGCTCGCTCCCGGCCCCAGCCTTCCCACCAGACAACTGGCAGCAAGTGGCTCTTTGGAGGGCTTGCGACGATGCGCATGCTGACCGCTTGCCTGCTCTGGGTGGGGCCTGGGGCCTGGACACTCATTAAAACCTGCAGCTCTTTGGGTGTCCTGCCCCTCCCGAGGAGTGTGCGTGTGTGCCCCCCTCCCGGCCATTGTCTCCTGCCACCCCCGCTGACTCAGTGCCTTCCCCGTGTGCCGCAGCTGGAGCATTTCAGAAGCCAGGTCATCAAGGCCACCTACGGACGAACGAAGCCCTTCCAGGACAAGCCAGTCACTGACCAGCAGGTTCGTCCAGGGACTTCCCTTTCTGCCTGCTGGCTCCAAGCCTCCGGGGCCTGGAAGCGCGTGTTTCTGGTTGTTGTTGGTTTTTCATGCGTGTGTGTGGGGGGGGGGGGTGTGGGTGTGTGTGTTGGGGGTTTTGTTTGTTTGTTTTGCTAGTGGCACAGATTTCTCACACTGTTGCTCCACCATATAGATTTCTTTTGATCTCTAAGGGATTCCCCGACTTTCGATGGTTTTATTTCCAAGCCCTTGAAAAGTTTCTGTGACAATCTGTGACATTTAACAACCACTCAGGCAGACCTAAGTCTGGCCCGGAGCCCACCTACCTGGTCTGACCTCTGCCACTCTAGGAGCCGAGAGGGCTGTCTTCTGGCCTCTTCCCTCTGGAGGAGAAAGAGAGCCATGTGTTTGGACTTTGGGCGGTGCTGCTTGTTCTTGCAGTTCTTCCAGTTGCTCTGTCCAGCCCTCTGTGTCCAAGCAGGAATGGGGAAATATGTGTGCTCTGGGTTGCTGGCCCCGGCTGGCAGAGCAGCTGATGTTCTAACTCAAAACATTAGATTTAGTGTTGTGAGCCTGTGCAGAAGACTCTGGAACAAACACATGGTAACAAAGCAAGCCTTTGTGGTGTTTAGCATAAAGTGTATGGGGCCAGAGCGATAGGACAGCCAGTAGGGCGTTTGCCTTGCACACGGCTAACCCGGGTTCGATCCCCAGCATCCCGTATGGTTCCCTGAGTAGCGCCAGGAGTAATTCCTGAGTGCAGAGTCCAGGAGTAATGTCTGCGTATCGCCAGGTGTGACCCAAAAATCAAATCAAATAAAATGAAATAAAAATGATGTCTGGGGCCGGGAGGCAGCTCAAAGAGGTGAAGAGCATTCCTGACATGCTCAAGGCCCATGCACTTGAGGGTGGGGGTGGCAGGGCCCCGCCCATAGCAGCAACCCGGGCTCCTGGACCACACCAGGTCATTGTTCTCAGAGACCTTCCCCGGCCCGTGGGGACTGGATCCCACCCCGACCCCTGAAACACACTGTGAACCCCCGAGCTCACACCCGGCCATGGTCGGGAAATAGCAGCAGCGCTGGGGGGACTGGGAAGGGTGGCAGGAGGGGCTGCCTGAAGTGAGGGAGAAGCCGGCAGGAGCCCTGAGAGGGGGCACCGGCTCTCCGGGAGACTGGACATGGGGTAGCCACTGGACTCAGCTCCCGGCCAGGGGGCATCTCACCCATAGCTGCAGACTGGACCTGCTCTGGAAACTGTCACTGACATTCACGGCTTCAAGCTGCTTCCCTGAACTCCACGCAGTCAGAGCCGGCAAACACGGCATCTTGGGCTCCAGGCACATGGCCGGGCAGACATGGTGTCTTGGGTTTAACTCCTGGCACCTCTTGTTCATCTTGGACATCCTGTGGATGGTCCCAGCACCATCGAGCTGGAGCACCAAACCATCAGGCCTGCACAGCCTTACCTGTAGTGTCAGGAGTAGCCCCGGGGTCCCCAAGCACCACTGGGGAGGTTCCTGCCCCACGCCACCTTCACCAACAACAAATCCCGGCATCTGATCCTCAGGGCGTGTCGTGGTGGTGGGGCCCTCATTCTCCACCAGGCCATCACCCCTACACACCAGGGCCCCTCTGAGTTGGGAGCCGAGGTTGGCTCCTTTAGCAGCTCCCACCAGGCCCTCCCTGCACTCTCAGCCTTCCATCCTTTTCCTCCCCAGTTAATAGAAAAGATCGCCCAGGTGACCGAGGACAGCCTCAGCTTCCAGCAGAGGAAGTGGAGCCTGCAGAAGGAGTCTCAGCTCAGCTGCTCCCAGCAAGATGAGATCACGGAGCACATCGAGAAGCTGAAGACCTTTCTAGACAAGTGCGAGGTGACGCCCCTTCTCCACCTTGCCCAACCGGCCCTTTCGTCTCCTTTCCATGCTCCTCTCTGGGGGAAGCTGTTCTGCTTCCACAACACATGCCGGATAGGGGGAGATGTTGCCTTCCTAGTCCCGCTTTACACTTAAAGAAGAACAGAGAAGACTCAAAAATTGCTTCAGGGACCAGAGTGATAGCACAGCGGGTAGAGCATTTGCCTTGCACGTGGCTGACCTGGGTTCGATCCCTGTCATCCCATATGGTCCCCCAGCACTGCCAGGAGTAAGTCCTGAGTGAAGATCCAGGAGTAACCCCTGAGCATCGCTGGGTGTAACCCAAAAAGCAAAAAAAAAAAAAATCCTTCATAGGTGAACCTGGGGCAGCCCAGGGAATACGGGATGAGTCCCCCAAGTGTGGAATTTGGGAGGCCTTAGACAAACCTTAACTTTACACCCCCCATACCACAACCACATTAACCTCAGAGATTCCAGGAATCCATCCCTGTTTTATTTTGTTTTGTTGGGAAGGTAAGGACAGTGCTCAGGGGATATTCCTGGCTCTGCACTCAGGAATCACTCTTGGTAGGCTCGAGGGACCATATAGGGTGCCGGGAATCAAACCCAGGTTGACTGCCTGCAAGGCAAGTACCCTACCTGCTGTTTGATCACTCCAGCCCCCATTACTGCATTTTCTGTGCATTTTCTCTCTTGGACCAGCCATGGGAAGATTGTATTCACCCCCACTGCCTCTGATTCTGGAGGGGCCGGTCTCAAGAGAGCCTAACCAATACCCTACAGAACCCACCTGGGTCACAGCTTACCAACGAAAGCAGCTGCCTCTGTCTTCTCTGGAAAGAGGCAGCTACTATTTGGGGAGTTAGTGCAAATGTTCGCTTGTCAGCGCTCTTGTGAATCAGGAAACCCCCACTTTCGGCCCTGCCCGTGTGCTGATCTCAGCCAGAATTGTGATGAGTCCTGAGCCTCCACATCTACTTCCCCGTTCGGTCAGTTTGCCCTGGGCCACTCAGATTGGGATTGCATATGCCTACAACAGGGACCTCCTGGACCATTTCAAGTCCGAATTAGGACGGGGAGTTTGTTCAGAGATGTCCAGCACACACATTTTGCGTGTGGGAGGCCTGAGTTCGGATCACCAGCACCACAGGGTTCCCACCACCACCACCACCACCACCACTAAATGCCGGGAGCAACCACGAGCATCCCCAGCTGTGGCCCCAAAATCAAATCAAAGAAACACAAAACAAGTCCAAATGAGAGTGTAAAGAGAGAGTCGGGAAGGCAGCTGGCCTGGTCTCGGGGCGCGTCTGGGCTCAGGTCACGCTCCCCTGCTCTTTGCAGGCTTGCATGAGAACCTCCTGCTGTAGCAGTGACCTGAAGAAGGAGGCCGACCTTCTGCGGTTCCTCGAGGTGAGCGCCCCCGTCTCGGGGCTCCAGAAGGTGTCACTGGACATCGTGCGCACGTCCGCATCCTGGCTGGAAGACACGGAGCACCTCCTCCGGGACGTGGGGATCCAGCTGGCCAGCTCTGACAAAGGTGACCACCACAGTGCCCCGCCCCCCTCTCTCTCCCCTGGGCCGGACCATGTTGCTTGGCTTCTCGGTGGCCGGGCAGAGGGTCTGCTTCCTACCTGAGACACCAGTCCCTTTTGTGGGTGGGGATAACGCCACGTCAGGGAGATGGGATTCCTGGAGAAAAGTAGGATGTGACAGAGGCAGAAGCAAAGCTGCCTTTTTTGCTAAACCCTATCCCTTAGAAATAACTATGGTTTTTTTTTTAAATTTTGTTTTATTTTGGTTTGGGGGGCCACACCCAATGGTGCTCGGAACTTACTCCTGGCTCTGCACTCAGGAATCACTCCTGAAATGCTCAGAGGATCATATGGGGTGCCGGGGATGGAATGTGGGTCAGCCATGTGCAAAGTAAGTGCCCTACCCGTTGTCCTATTGCTTGGCTCCATGGTTATCTATACCTATAGATATAGATATATGCACATATTGCTTTTTGGGTCACACCCAGCAATGCACAGGGGTTACTCCTGGATAATGCACTTAGGAATTACTCCTGGAGGTTCTCAAGGGACCATATGGGATGCTAGAAATCGAACCCGGGTTGGCCACGTGCAAGGCAAATGCCCTACCCACTGTGCTATCGCTCCAGCCCCCTCATGGTTATGTTTTTAATCCATTTGAAAAAAAATCAATTTTAGGCTTACAGGCAAAATGGGGTGGAAGGTTCCAGGATTTCCCAGTCACCCCCACTACCCCACTCAGGCACAGCCCACACCATGATCAATGTGTCAGTATGTCTGAGGATTCACAGGCTATGCCCTGAGGAGCCGACAGTGGCATGTGAGTTGCTCCTGAAGTCCCCTGTTGACATCAGGTCTCATTCTCGGTGTCTGTGCTGTAGATTCGGACAGTGTTGTACCATGCCATACCGAATAGCGGCACCTCTCTGGGAATGCTCTGCATTTATTGTCCCGGGAGACAGAATGTCGTAAACTGCTCTACCTTGCCCACTTAAAAAATATTATTCTAGACTTTTGAAAGAATTAAAAAGAGCAATCATTGGATCATTGTTTGTAGACTAATAAAATGAGATAATTTTTGCTGAATTTCAAAAAAGGAGGGGGGTAGGCAGAGAAAAACTTTCCCAAGGTCACAAAAGGGCAGCTCAGGACATGTTGTGAGAGGTGGTTGGGTTCCTACAGTCTATGCTAGCTCCTTAGTTTTGGTTTGGGGGTCAAACCCAGCTATGTTCAGAGGCTACTCCTGGCATGGTGCTAGGTGCCACAAGTGTGGTCCTCAGTGCTTAGAGGACCACACTGGGCTAAAGATGGCACCCAGACCTCAGGCATTTGAAGTGTGAGCTCTAACCTCTGGAACCTGCCTGCCCCATCAGATCTGTGCCTCTTCCATGATTCCACATTCCCTCTGGAGCTGCATGTGGGACTCTTGAATGTCAGGTCATTCACGCGGGCAGACACCAGGGTATGACTTGTTCCCTTGGGTCCTGCTTCTGCTGCACACCTGAGCCATACTCTTGGAAAGTCCCCCACACACACATTCTGCAGAAGGTTCTGAGGTCAGGTTGGCCATGCTCAGCCATGCCCTTGGGAGTAGAGTGAGTGACAAGTTACCGAGTGGGCACACTGTCTTTCCTGAAACAAGGCAGCACCTCCTGGGAGTCTTCAGGGAATGAGGAATGGGAAGCACTCAGCCCTAGAGCCATCAGCTTCAGCCCCAGGGTTTCTTCAACTTTATCTCCCCTCAGTGTGGGCAGCAGCCATATAAGCACACACAGTGCAACTTGATTGACTTGCCCCTGGTGACTAGGCTTCACCTGAACCCTCTCCCTCTCCCCCATTCTAACAAGTGGCAAATGAATGGGGGCTCATCCAGCTCCCTCTTTTCCATTTTTTTCTTTATGTAGGCACATGATTTACTGATAATGATAGAGTTTCAGGTGTACAATCTTCAACACTGCACCCACAGTCAGGGTGTCCACTTCCTTATACTAATGTCCAAAGGTCCCCTCCATCAGCCCCGCCCTTCCCCGCACAAGTAAGCTTACTTCTGTAGAACAGCTCTCAGGTTCTGCTGCCTTTGAGCCATTTGTTGTTGCCATACCGTGTTTCTTTATATCCCCCACAAGCAACGGAGAGGGAAATTACTTGACATACTGTTGGATGATGCTGTAAACAATAAAGAACATTTGGGGGTTGCTGCTACAGGTCTGATTGGGGAAGGACTGGCTCTGCAGTGCCATTGGGGAGATAGGCAATATCAAAGGGTGAGTCATGAAAGTGAGTTGCCACTTCTGTCTGGTTTCCCCTGCGTAACCACCTTAAATTCATGTGCTCACTAGGTTCCCATAAGTCAAGCCAACATCAGCCAAGCTGTAAGTTCCCTACACACACACACACACACACACACACACACACACACACACACACTCTCTCTCTCTCACACACTCACACACACACTCCCATACCTTCGGCATCTTGGTATTGTCACAGACCCCTCTCCCACCTCACATTTTGCCCCTTTCTCTCAGCCTCCATTCTCTTCTCAAGCAGAAAATGAGGCATACAGCTGAATGCTCTGTCTGGGGCTTCACTTTGCTCCTAAGCTTAACCTGAGGCATACACTCCTCTTCTTCTTTATTTTTTTTTTAATGCAAGAGTACTTCTGTTTATTCAGTCATTGAGTAAGCTGATTGAAGTGGACATGAACTCCACATTACTTTTTTTTTTAACTTTTTAAATTGAATATTTGTAGGATAGACCATTACAAAGCTGATCATGATTGGGATTCAGTCATACAATGATCCAGCACCCATCCCTCTACCAGTGTATGTTTCCTACCACCAATGTCCTGCTTCCCTCCTACCATCCCACAATACCTCATCTCCCTACCCCCAGTCTCCTCCTATGGGAGCCACTTTCCTTCTTGCTTTCTCTCTCCTTTATTGCATTATGGTCATTATGGTTTGCAATACAGGTGCTCTAACAGGTCACAGTGTTTGTTCAGGGCATTCAGTGTTTTTGAGACAGTGAGACTGGAGTAGCTTTTTAACTGTGTGACCACATTAGGGTGTGGATGTGACTCCTGAGGCTTCCGGAAGTTCAGGGAGGTGGGATGAGGTAGCCCATCCTGACCCCAAGAGAGCCTGGAGATTTCAGTCACATTCGCATACTCGAATTTTCAGCAGATTATGTCACAGTGAGGTCTGACCTGAGCCGGTGGAGTCAGGCCAAGGGGTGGGGTGGGGGGGGCATACGCTCTTCTAACAGTGTTGTTGTCTCACCCATCAATGCAAACACATTTTCTTACTGCACTGTTTCTAATGATTAGATAATATAAGGGCCAGAGAGATAGTACAGTGGGTTGGGCACTTGCCTTGCATGCAACTGACCCAAGTTCAATTCCTGGTATTCCATACCAGGGAGTAATCCCTGAGCATCACCGGATGAGGCCCCAAAGCAAATATAAAATAAAATGCCATGTTATAAAACTCCTGCAAGAGGCCTAGCGTACAACACATGCTCAATATTTTATAACTACTATTATTATCATTATTCTCTTCCCTGCTGGAAATTGTCACAAAGCACGGTCTGAGGGTACCCATGCATTCCACATATTCCACTCCTTTCTTTCCTATTCCTCTCTTCTCCCTTTCCTGCATTGTCCACATGAAATTCTCTTTCCACATGCAGCTCTTTCCTCCCTGTGTCTCCCCCTGCAGCTTCCTTTCTCAGTTAACCAATCCCACCCCCCACCCCACCACCACCACCAAGATCCTGAGCAGGTCCAAAATTACAATCCCCTACAACCTTTCTTTCTTTTACTCCTTTGCCATCAAAAATGTGCTTTGAGGTGGTAATCTTTACCTTTTCTGTTTTTGTTGTTCTGTCTGGGGAGAGAACCAGGTTGGGAGGTTTCTACAGAGAGCAAAGGAAAGATGGGTAATGAGTTGCGATCAGGTGGCAGAATCACAAGGCAAAAGGCGAACATTTACTTCTACCCGTGCTGCCAAACTGGATTGTTTCTTCCTTGCTTAGCTTCTTAGAATGTTTGGTTGGGCCTGGCCAGGGTTTTGGTTTTGTGCAAAGTGGACAGCAAGTGGCCAGAGGTAGGGCCCAGCAGATAGGGTGCTTACCTTGAGCACAGCCAGCCCAGGATCGCAGCATCTATGACCCCCCACCCCCACACCCCCAGCCCATCAGAAGTGATCCCTTAATACAGAGCCCAGAGTAAGCCCTGAGCACCATTTGGTGTACCCCCACCCCAAATATAAATAAATAAATAAATAAATAAATAAATAAACCCAACAGCTTCCCTTCCACGGCTGATGCCAGCTCCAGTGATGTTAAGTTTTCGTAAGCCACTACCCAGAAGGCAAAGGAGTGAACAGAGATACTTAACCACCTTCTTGCTTTTCTTCTAAGGGTTGTCCTTGTATCTGAAGTATCTTCTGGAACATTATAAAAAAATTAAAAGCCACACCCAGGAACTTCAGGTAATTTCTTATCTGTGATGGTTCATTTTGACCCCTCCCTGGCACTTGACATTGTATGTTTGAACCCGGAGCTGTTACGTATTTTCTCCACTGGCTCATCAGTCCACCTCCCCCAAGAAATGTTTTCCAGTCCCTCTAATTGCATAGAGAGGTTCAGACACAGTTGATGAGACCACCCAGGAGGGCAAGGGCAAAGACAGTTGCTTGTTTTTCTCTGTCAAAAACTAGGCAAAACTTAATGTCATCAGATCTTTACAATTGTGCTTATTAAGTGCACTGGAGAAAGCAACTAGCCACAGGATAGGCAGCAGAATTACCAAAAGTCGTATTAATAGCAACCTTTTAGAAGAAGAATGATCCCTAGGGATTGCATTACTGAGCGCAATTACCATAACAGTGCTGTGAATAAGCAACCACCAAACCATAGTGACATCTCCCAGCTACTGTTCACTCTTCACGGGCCTCCATCAGCTTCTCCAATCCGGCCCTTTGAATTTACATGGCTTGCTCATCTATACCACTGCATTTGGGCTGGCTGGCCCTTAGCTGATTTAGACTGGCCCCAGCTGGAGGAGCCCTCCTGGGCCCTTCATCTCTCTTACCCAATAGCACGCCAGCCTGCACATTAGTCTCATGGTTATAGCAAGGAAAGCAGAAATCAGGCAGAGCGAGCAAACCCAATCAGAGCACTTTTCAGATTCTCTGCTTGCATTATGTTTACTAAGCAACCATTGGCCAGAGCAAGTTACAGGACTGAACTCATCATAAGGGGGCAGATCTGGTGGGCACTGCAAGATACATAGTCAAAGGCAAGGTCAGAGGAAGGATGAAGTAATTGCTGAAGTACTGCAGTCACCCAGATACCATCTAGTCCTGGGTCTGCAGTCTTTTCTATAAGAAACCTGAAGGTAAATATTTTAGATTTTGCAGGGCACTGATCATACCTACACAGCTGTAGAGCAAAACCTGCCGTAAACAATATGTAAATGAGGAAGCATGATAGTCATCAACTGGTTTTAATAAAACTTTGTATAAAAACAGACAATGGACCAGATCAGGAAGTGGACCTGACTGGTTCTACAGTAGTAGTTTATCAACACCTGGCCCAGTCCATTTTCCTCCTTTTAACATAGACAAGGGTAGGTGTTTTACAGATACAGAAACTCAAAGTGACTGTTTCAATGCACTATAGCTAGTTGATGGAAGAATCAAGACAAAAAGTTCAGACCTTCTGAGCCAGCTCCCTGCCTTTTCTCTTACACTCAAAAAATCATGACAATTCTAGCTATCATTTGCCAAGCACCTACTCTGTGCTAAGTGCCGTGCTGAGAGCTTTCCATGATCTTGTGTACGCAGCTCTAAGAACGTAGCTACTATTGTTAACCCCTTTTTCTAAATTAATAATTTACTAGAAAAAAATAGTACTGATAATCAGTACTGATAATCGGTTAATCCAAAATGAGTTCCTAATAACTATACAACTTTCCTACTAAAAAGTAGGCTAAGCATCATTTCACTGTTTTCATGAGAATTTTGTTGAAACTTTGCCCCTTCCCCCATAGATGGCAACTTGTAAAAAAAGAAAAACGATGTGGAAATAACTTCTTCCCCATCAGCTTCAGTTTCTTTTCCTCTCATCTCAGATCAAGATCACCAGTTCTCAGGAAACTCAGCAGTCTTTAATGCAAACAAAGCTGCAGGAGCATCAAGCAGAAAAGGAGAAGTTGAATGAGGAAAGGCTACAGGAAGAGGAGAAGCTGAAGGCCAGAATCAAGCAACTGATGGATGAGAAAGAGGTATAATCAGCCCTGCCATTCTCTTTGCTACTCGAAGCCAATAAAATGGCTTTTCTCTGAGAAACTAAAGGTGTTCATTTGGACGAATGTCAGAAACTCCTTGTGGGATGCTGCGGAACATATGGACCGTACGGAACATCATTCAGTGGGGTGAATGATGTTGGGAGGGACTGATGTGAAGGTTGAATTCCAACACCCAGAGCACAGACAACCTGATTTGGTTCGCTGCATTTTCTGGAAACAAAACCGTATTTGTGTATATTTAATTTTGCAGATATGAGTCATTATTGCAGGTCCTGGTTTGTGAATGACACACTGTTTCCAAGAGTGTAAGTTCTTATTGTTGTTACTATCATCATTATCACCATCAGTGCTTTTATTCCAGAATTGGACTTTCTTGGGGGTTGGCAGGAGGAGAGAGCAGCGTTGGACCCATTCAGTGGTGCTCAAGACTTCCTGGCTCTGAGCTCAGGGGTCACTCCCTAGTTATCAAACTGGGGTTTGCCAAATGCAAGGCAAGCAGCTTAGCCTCTGTACCGTCTCTCAGTCTCTCTTATTATTGCAGGAAAAACAAAAGGCCACAATTCCTACTTTCTTTTCTAGAAACCAAGCCACTTAGACGCTCCCATTATAGCCTGCCCTTCAAACTCCTGGGAAACTTTGAATCACTGTGAATAGGAATGTTGTGAAAATGCAAATTCCCACCACAGGTTAGGCAGGGCCTGTGATTCTGCATTTCTTCGTGTTTGCTTTTGCATTACAACCAGGGATGCCCAGGGACTATTCCCTGAGCTTGGGGGTGGAGGGGAAATTGATCCCTATGTTGCTCCGTACCTGGGGACCATTCCATGCCAGGGCATAAACCCCCCACATACAAAATATGTGCTCAGCCTGTTAAATCATCTCTCCTATATTTCTTTTATTTATTTCATTGTTGTTGTTGTTTTGTTTTGTTTTCAATTTGGGTTCACATCCAGTGGTACTCAGGGCTGACTCCTGGCTCTGCCTCAGGGATCATTACTGGTAGGGCTCTGGGAGACCATATGGGGTACCAGGGAGTGAACCCAGCTCCTCCACGTGTAAGGCAAACATGCTCCTCCATTGTACTATCACTCCATCTCCGTCTCCTATATATTTCTAACTAGTTCCTGGCTGGCACTACTAACCTAGGGCCACAGACTACATTTTTAGCAAATGTAGTGTCTTAAAGCTCTTCCCAGTGTTTCCTGGTAAGAACCATTTAGACTCTTGTGCAAACTACAAATGTGTGGGTTTCACCCCAGATCCACTGAATCAAAGTCTCTGGAGGCCAGGAAACCACATTTAGTAGGTTGATTTGGTGTCCCAGCCCTAGAATTGACCCTTCTTAATATTCAGGGACCTGCGATGAATTTGACAACCTCTTCACCACCACCTGAGATCCATGGTTTATGACTTTGGTCTTGTGGTTGTCATTTCAGAGGTCAGCCACACTAATGCCTCACTTCTATCCTTTCAGCCCCAGATGCTGAGCCCCCCGGGTTCAAGTCTCATGCCCTGGGATTTGTAAGGGCCCCGGGGTCGTTCCAACCTGCAACCACAAGTGAGAACCACCACACAGTCTGACCTACTCAAGACAGAAGCTTTTTTTCTTCTTTTTGGGTCACACCCAGTGATGCACAGGGGTTATTCCTGGCTCTGCACTCAGGAATTACTCCTGGTGGTGCTTGGGGGACCATATGGGTTGCTGGGAATCAAACCAGGGTCAGCCGCATGCAAGGTAAATGCCCTTCCCACTGTGCTATTGCTCCAGTCCCAACAGAAGTATTTGATCCCACTGAAGTCCTGCTCTTCCCCAGTACCTCCCTTCTCCTGGGAGAGGTCTGAGCCTACCACTCCCTCCCAGCTTTCACTAGCCCACTGACTTCCAGTTTGACCCAGCCTTCCCCATCCCTCGCCCCTGCCTCTTTCATTTCATCTTCCAGTGGTTGGCCTGTTTACCTCCAGAAGTCTTGTTCCTCTTCCCTCTGCTTCGTGTCATCTCTTTCTCTGCTTCACTTCCCTCTGTGAGGTGAAAGTTTTAAAAGGAAGTGCCGCAACTCCTGTGTGCGTGGGTGGCTTCTCGCCACGTGTGTAAGCAGGGTTGCAGCACCCCACCTTGTTCATAGCTCTTGATACTCCAGCCAAGACCTCCCAGGCTCCCACTTACAGCAGTGGCCCTGGCAGAAACAGTATTTCACAGGTTCCTTTCAAACCACCTTTAAGCAGAACACAGCACAGCACACATCACCTCCTACAGAATGGAGAATACTGTTGCAAGGTGACTGCTTAATGGCACAGCTGTATGTGCTAATGTTCCCCACAGGGGCTCATTCCCCAGACCCTGACTCCTCTGAAAGTGCCATCCCAGACCTCGGTGCCTATTTAATTTATTTTTGGTTTGGAGACCACACCCAGTGGTGCCTGGAAGCCAGCCCCCACTGAGTGTTTGGGGGATCCCTCTCAACAGTATTCATGGTGCTCCTGCAAACTTTGCACTCGGCCCATTGACTTACCCCTCAGTGCCTATTTTAAAGGAAACTTCCTCATACCATGTGATAGCATCACCCCGCCCTTTCTAAACACTCATTTGTGTATTCATCTCCTAATTGGTCATTAATTCTGCTCCTTCTCATGAATACTGACATGAATGAGGATTCTGTTTCAGTAAGAAATGCCAAAGACCTTTATCAAGCTAGCTTTATGAAAAATTATAAACTGTTTAAATGTCCCCAATTTGTTTACACAATAATCGTTTAGACCAAGGATCAGCAGACTCTTTTCATAAAGAGCCATATATAGTAATACTAATATAAAGTAAGTCCTTGCTTGCTGTTGAGAGAGGGCCTTGGAAATTACACTGTTAAGTGAAATCTGTCAGAATCAGTTTGATCCTAGGCTAATTGATTAAATAAGAGTTAAGTTCCTATGCTGTATTTTTGTTTTTTCTTCTAAAAAAAAAGAAAAAGACTTCTAAATAAAAACCAACAACGTCCCTAATATTAAACAATAGTTTGTCTTCATTCACTCATCCTCTCATTCTACTCACTGAGAGTCATGAGTGACCAGAGCCTCTCCCAGTAGATGGGCACCTCCCTAAGTAGGATGTCCTGCCATCATTGGACATATAAAACACACACACACACACATACACACACACACACACACACACACACACACACACACTCAAGATGTGCACTCAGGTGCCTATCTGTGACGGGGGGGGAAGGGGAGGGAACATTGGTACCATGCAAGACACACAGAAGTGGAAAGACATGCAAACTCCACACAGACTGTGGCCCTCACCAGGAATTGTCTTCTTTTTCAACAACCTTATAATTATGTTGACTTGAACAAAATGGCATTGTTAGGGGACTTTTTGTGTGTTTTGTTTTACAAGCCACTCTCTGCTCAACTTGTGATTGCTCAGTTCTGCTCTGGAGCGTGAAAGCTGCCCTATGCCATCCACGATGAGCATGGACGTACCCAATAAAGCTTTGCTACAAAAATCAGACAATGCACCAGACTCGACCCCAAGGCCAGAGTTTGCTTGCCCTGGTTTAGAAAACAGGCTCAAGAGTCCAGTGAACCAGGGTTCAATCTGCTTGTGTGATTCCTCAATCCCCTAAACCTGTTTCTCCTCTGCAAAGTGGAGGTGACAGAAGAAATGGTTGGTTTTCATGCATGAACAGTTACCATGTGACAAAGAATTCTTGTTTATCATTCCAGGTTTTCCCTTATACTCAGTGCTGTCAGTACCAGAGATATGGAGACCTCTATAGCTTCTCTCTAGATCGAGGTCTTACAGCTAGGGAACACCAGCCTGGGTCTCTAGTCTGTGCCCTTTGACCCCTGCTCCCCTGCTCCCAGTCCGTCTGTTGTACTGCCCCACCATCTCCCCAGGGAATCACCGTGGGTTGGCAGGGTGAGCTCGAGTCCACAGGCCCACCTTGGGAATGGTGGGCTGAACATGGCCATTCACTTTCAGGCACTGATGGAGGGCAGTACTCAAGAGAAAGCCAAAATGAACGAAGCCCTCGAGGAGGAACACAGGAAAGTCCAAGATCTCGAGAACCGCCTCATCCGCCAGAAGAAGGTACGAGGCGCAGAGGGAGCCTCGGCCTGAGCCCCAAACCAGGTCGCACAGCTTGGGAGGGGTCGGCCTGACTCTCTCATCTCTCATCAGCTGACCCCCAGCTCCTGTGCTCTCAGCCCCTCCACCCTGCAATGCTCAGCCTCTGCTCCGGGGGTGGTTGTGAGGAGCCAAGAGTTAAGCCATTCGGCACCTGGCCCTGGGCCCACTTTCCTGCCATGGCAACTGTGTGTTAAACAATGGCCGTTGACTTTCAGGCTTTGGAGGAGAGCATTACTCAAGAGAAAACCAGAGCGAAGGAAGCGCTGGAGGAGGAACAGTCCCGAGTCCGAGATCTGGAGAGCCGCCTGGCCCAACAGAAAGAGGTACGCAGCTCGCTCGCGGAGACAGAGTCCCACCAGCGCCTGAATCTCACTCCAGGGCCATACGGAAGTTAAGTTCCAACCACAGATGGGGATGGAAATGGGCGGAGCTTCCCTGGATTGATCTGTCCTAGGGGAGGGCTCAGCCACCTCAAGAAGGAGCAAGGTGGATCAGGGAGAGAGCCTTCGAGGGCTAGCCTGGAGAAGCAGCCAGAAACATTGCAGACGGGATAGAATACAGTCACAGACAGGGAGGAAGGGACCCATTGGAACTGGTGAGATCTGTCTTCTGAGTGGAGATGGTTGCCCCAAGCTTAGACATGAAGGAAATTAGCAGAGCCCTGGGACTTCAGACTGTGACCATTCTCCCACTGGCTGAAATCGTCCAGCCATTGACTCCACCAAAGAATTTTCTACAAGCTCGGGCATTCCTTCCCAAATGATCATGTCCAGTTAACTCTACCTCTGGCTGCCCAGAAGGTGTTGCCATCCCCGGCCTCAGGTAAGGGTCCTTCATAACTCACTGTGTCCACTTCCCCTGGCCTTTTTGATTGTCACAGCCCTCGCTGCTCCCCAGGCTCAGAACCCTGATGTCATGCTGTGTGCCTCACAACTCATCCCTCTGACCTGTGTCCTCTCCAGAAGCCACAGGCTGGCAGCTCACTGGCCGAAAGGGCCTAGGGGCCATATTATATTAAGCCCAGTGGTAGCTTGTTTTGAGTTCATTATGGGGCCGTGGAAAGAGAAAAATGGGCAGAAGCCCCAGTTTTGGTCCCTGGCACCACATGGTCCTCCAAACATGGTCCCCAAGTATCACACAAGTGCTGGGGGCATCCCCAAGCACTGCCAGGGGGGTATCCCCCTGCCACCACTACCACCACCCCCTTTGCAGCCAAAAAAAAAGCCATAATTTTTTTCCCAAAATATTCCGCTGTCCCAGGCTGGAGAGATGGCTTAGAGGGCCAAGCACATGCTGGTCTTGGGGGTGGGTGGGGCCCAGCTCCACCCCCAGCACCGCACGGTCCCCTGAACACCACTGGGAGTGATCCTCCAGCCAAGAGCCAGGGGTCAGCCCCCAAGCACGGCCAGGTATGACCCTAAAAAAACAGCAAAGTGCCAATTTTCCTCTTCTCTTGAAGTCAGGAAAACCAGTTCTCGTTCCATTTCCAAGAAACGAGCGGGGACTTGAACCCACAGGAGTTCAGCTTGGCTGCTTTCTCCCCATTCCCTGTTACATGAAATGCAGTCTCTGGGGCCCTGGAGATACCTGAGTCTGAAAGTCAACATCTGCGCTCCTCTACAGTAAGCTGGCCAGACCCGGACATGGCCCTCCAGCCACGGTTCCCAGGGGGACCCACTCCCCTCCTTTGTGGGAGGCGTGGCGCTGCCCACTGTTATGCCCAAGAGAGCTCTCCGGAGAGATCTGTTACCTCTGTGGCCGTTTTCTTTGTGAGCCCCCTCTTGGAGATCTGTCACGTGATGCTTTCCATTAGCTCTGCAACCCCGAGGGGGCCTCAGAGGTGAGACATGCAGAGGAGAAGGCTGACTCCATGGCCTGAGGAGACCCACATTCAGATCCTGACCAGGCTCCATCCTCACAGGCTGCAGCAGATCAAGCCATACCTGCCTCTAAAGGTGGCCGTGAGGGAGCGGGAGCGATAGCACAGCAGGTAGGGCGTTTGCCTTGCATGCAGCCGGCCTGGGTTCGATTCCCAGCATCCCATATGGTCCCCTGAGCACCGCCAGGAGTAATTCCTGAGTGCAGAGCCAGGAATAATCCCTGTGCATTGCTGGGTGCATTGCCAGGTGTGACCCAAATAGCAAATATATATATATATATATATATATATATATATATGGCAGTGAGGCTAGAGGCTATGAAGAGCTTGGCTGGAATTGCCACTCACCCAGTGGTCATTATTAGTGCCATCAGGTCTCTATCCCTGACTAGCGCTAGGTGCTTCTCAGTGCTCACTGGTGCCATCCTCATGCCCCAGAGAAAAAATCCGTACCCGCTCAGCCCTGAGAAGGACAGAAAGCCTCCAGAGTCGCTGAGATTCCACACTAGGAGGAGAGGGGGATGTTTATGTGTTGGGGCTCCTGAGGATTTCCCCAGATAGCTGTGCTCTGCAGCCCTCTGTAAACAGTGTCAGGGAGGCTGGGTGCTGAGTTCTTTCTCCAACGGCAGGAGGAGATAAGAGGAGGCTCTCACTAGGGATTGGTAGGGTCAAAGGCTGCCAGGAGGTCAGAGATCAAAGCGCAGGGCAGGGGAGGCCCTTGAATTGAGGGATACAGGGTCATGGGGGGACCTGAGGAGAGAGATTTAAGGACAACGGAACAGGGAACAGTCTAATTGCAGGACAGAGCATGGCTAGGTCACCCGAGGACTCATAAAATGCAGTTTGTCAGCCCACTGGTCCTGCCTGAGCCGCTCTGGGTTTCCTGCCTGGCCCGGAAAGGGGTGAGGCTGGGATCTGAGATGAAAGGCCCAGACACAAGATGTGCGTGTGTGTGTGTGTGCGCGCGCGCGCGCGCGCGTGCGCGCGTGCGCACGCCACTTCAAGTAGTTCTTTGATTTTCTTTTCGTCAGATCTTCCACTGCATTATCAGATAAGTCTTTTGTTGTTTTTTTCTTTTTTCTTTCCCTTTTCTTTTTTGGGCTACCCTCTGTTCAGTGCTGTGCTGGGAAGGCCATGCAACGGTGGGCGTGGAACCTGACCTTCCACAGACAGACCTGTGCCCATAGCCCATGCTTCAGGCACTCTGTCTCTCTCTGTCTCTCTCTCTCTCTCCTCTCTCTTTCTCTCTCTCTCCCTCTCCATCCCTCTCTCTTTCACTCTCTCTCTCTCTCTTGCGCGCGCACTCTCTCTCTCCCTCTCCATCTCCATCCTTCTCTCTCTCTCTCTCTCTCTCTCTCTCTCTCTCTCTCTCTCTCTCTCTCTCTTGCCTCTGAAGTCAGTAGAGTCACTAATCACAGTGAGGTCATGGGGGAGGTTCATTCCCATCACCAGCATGGGTGAGTCAGGAGCACAGTGGCTGAGAGGCAAGGCCCTGTGCGAGAGGGGTGCTAGAACAGAGGGAACCAGCCCCCCACAGTGCCCCTGTCAGCTGCAGGGGAGCTGAGAAAAAAGCCCGTAAAGCCCGTAGGTGGACATGGATCAGAGAGAGTGAAGCAGTCCTGCAGGCTGGAAAGCACTGAAGTCTCTTCCTCAGCCTAGGGAAAGTATCTCCCCTGAAAGCAGCCTCGGGGCTCAAAATCCCCCCCTAACACACACCACCACCACATTCCTATTCTCTGCTTTCTTTCTGGTAGAGGAATCCCCTGGGTTGTTTTGTTTTGTTTTGTTTTGTTTTGTTTACACCACTTTTCATGCAAAATAAGCCCTATCTTGGGTAACACTTTTTTTTTTTTTTGTGGGCTGGTGGGGATCTAACCACAGGTTGTAATGGAAACGGTGTTCCAAGTTCCAGACACCTGACAGTTTAAAACACTACCCACCGACCGGAAAATCCAGTGCCCTTCAATTGTAGAGTCACTAGGAATGGCTAAGTTTTAAGTCTTTTGTGAGGATGGAGCCAGTTAAGGTTTCTGAACTTCCCCCATACAAGGTGGACTAGAGCATCAGCTTCCCTCCCTCCTCCTTGTCTGAGCCTCCGGTTCCCCCACCCCACCCCTCCCCAGAGAGCTCTCTAGAAACCAGCCTTCCCCTTGAAACCTGATTCGCCAGTAAGAGATTTACATCAGTGATGGGAAAGTCCATCAGGAAGGGCCATCTCAGCCCAGAGCCTGCCTGGCTGCACCCCATGGTCAGAGCTCAGCCTCCAGAATGCCACAGGCCTGGCTCCCTCCTCTCTCCGAGGGCCTCGGCAGACAGGCTGCTTGCTTCCTCCTCCGTGAATTCAAACCCAGGCCCCACCCTGGCCCCAAAGCTTGACCCAGACCCTTACAGACTCTCTGTTCCCCCGTTTCTTCACCCCTCGTGTGGGGCCACGAACCACACTTGTCTGAGTGACCGTGAGCACCAGCTGGGTGGGAAGTGCTGGCAGACCTGGGTGCCACACCAACCCCAGCGCTCAGCCATGTGCCATTACCTGTCTCTGTATCACCAGCAATGGCCGCTAAGTGTGCGGCAGCCTAAAGACCTGTGATCTGACTTTCAGGTTTTGGAGAGCAGCATGGCCTTTGAGAAAAGGAAAGCAAAGGAAGCCTTAGAGACGGAAAAGAGGAAAGTCCAAGATCTGGAGAACCACTTAACCCAGCAAAAGGAGGTATGGGGAGCACACACACACACACACACACACACACACACACACACACACACACAGTGGGCCATGGCAGACAAAGCCCCTCTGGAAGAAGCGTCGAAGACAGAAATGAGGCCAGGCTTTTGTGCCTGAAGCAGAGTGTGTGGGGTGCAGTGGGGAGAGGTTAGACCAGAGCTTCCATTTGAAGGGCCCTGGGTCACTTCGTACAATTCACCGAGCGTCCTGGGTCTCAGTTTGCCTGTGTGTAGAATGGGGATGCAGCAATTCCTGCCCTCTGGATTAAAAGAGCTCATGTAGAAAGTTCTAGATCTGTACCTAGAGCATAGAGGGCCCTCTGCCAAAGCATTCCCTGTTCCACTCCCTAGACACGTGGTGGGGTGACAAGGATTGGGGCGAAGCTCCAGGAGAGAAGTCCTAGGTTGGAGTCTGGGCTGGTCGCTCAGCCATCCTCCTCCTTCTCCTGATCATCAGAAATGATTTCAGGGCCTGGGGAGATGAGTTCAAAGGGATGGCACACCTGCCGTGCAGAATCGAGGCTGGAAGTTCCATCGCCTAGGGCACCAGGTGGCCCCTGAGCACCTCTTGGTGCGACCTTATCAGCACCACTTGTCTGGGAGTATCAGACCCACACAGCCCGTGGAGTGACCACAGGGCTCAAGCTTTGCACAGGGCAGTGAGGTGTTGGGGGAGGGAAGTGAGGGAGCAGGGTGTGTCGCGGGAGGGCAGCAAGGGGGCAGGGGTGGCGGGGGTGTCAGGACACTAGGCCACAGCAGCAGGAAGAGCATTGCACCAAATGAGAGAGATAAGGAAAGTATTTACGACGCAGCAGGAAACAGGCCCTCCCAGCTGTGTCCACCCACTTCAGACCTCCAAGCCCACCCAGGTGGAGAGTGACGCACACCTGTGGGTGTGAAGGGAGTAGAACAACCCGAGCACTCCAGTGGCAGGGAAGGGCCGTCCAGATAGAAGTAGGGCCTCGTGGTGCGGGGAGGGGGAGGGTGTTTGTGTGCCAGGTCCAGGCAGAGCTGGATACCCACCCTACGGGCCAGAGCCTCACACAGGGCAGCCCCATAGCCAGTGGGGGTGCTGGGGAGTGCAGTGGGGGTGGGATGGAAGGAGGGGGAGGCAGGGGAGGGGGATGGAAGGGGAGCCCAATGGGGCCAGTCAGCAGCCATCTTCAGAAACCCTGCTCCACTCTGGGGACAGAGGGGGACAGAATCAGAATGACACTTGTTGACGACCCTCACAGAACCTCCAGGAACAGAGCTGAGGGTGCTGAGTGATTTCACTCCGTCTCCCTCGCTGGCTCACACAGATTTCCTGAGCACATGCTGTGTGCTCAGGCGCACAGCACAGGCCCTGTCAGAGACTGGGAACAGTGCCAAGGGCCAGGTCAGCCCCCCCCAGAGCTTCCACTTACGGCAAGTGAAGGGGACAGACAAGCCAAGACAGCCAAAGTGCAGGATCGCTCTGGTGCCAGGGACCATGGGGAACGGGGACGAGGAGGAGAGGATACCAAGGAGGCTGGAGGGCTTCTCCAAGGAGGTGATAGTTGAGTGAGACTGGGGTCACTCAGGGTCTGCACCTGGGTCAGGGTCCAAGATCAAGAACGGGGACCAGGAGGCTGTTGCAGGCAGGGGTATGAGGGATGAAATTAAAGCTGGAGAACGGTGTGTGCATGAGAAGTGCAATTAATCGTGTTGTGAACCCCACTACCTCAATTAAAAAAAGAAAGAAAGATGGGGCCAGGGTGATAGTACAGTGGGTAGGGCTTTTGCTTTGCACGTGGCTGACCTGGGTTCAATTCCTGGCATCGCATATGGTCCCCCAAGCACCGCCAGGAGTAATTCTTGAGTGCAGAGCCAGGAGTAACCCCTGAGCATTGCTGGATGTGAAGAAAGAAAAAGGAAGGAAGGAAAGAAGGAAGGAAAGAAGGAAGGAAGGAAGGAAGGAAGGAAGGAAGGAAGGAAGGAAGGAAGGAGAAAGAAAGAAAGAAAGAAAGAAAGAAAGAAAGAAAGAAAGAAAGAAAGAAAGAAAGAGTGAGTTTAATAAAGTTGGGGTAAGATAGGAGTCAAATTCAGGGTCCAGGGAAGAGACAAGAGGCAGAAACTCTGATAGACTAAGCCAGGCACGGTTCCAAAAATCTGCCAAGCGTCAGTTCCGGTTCAAATCCCAGCTCTACCCTAACATGCTGTGTGACCCAGGCAAGCCCTCTGGCCCCCTCTGTGCCTTCCTCTGTAATATGGGGGGCAGTGACAGAACCCTGCTGGAAGGTGGTTGTGAGGAGTCATGGCCTCATTGTGAAGCACTGCCAGGCCAAGGGCAGGGTCCAGCGGGGAGGGGAGGAAGGGAGGAGCACAGGGGCTGTGGGCTGGGGAGGGGGTGGGGAAACTCGGGGGCATGGACAGTCAGCCGGATATCGTGGTGGTGGAATTGTGCCAAAACAACAAAGCAAGCATCAGAATCCAGGTAGGGCAGGGTGCTCTGACTTCCCGAGGGTGGGGCCCAGGCTGTGGACAGTAGCTGCCCCTCTGCGTGGTCCCTTCTCCAGAAGGGCGGGACCCTGTGCCAGTCAAAGTATGGAGAGTTCAGCAGATCCAGCTTGGTACCCGCACTGGAGAGTGCTCAGCGTCCTCCTCCTCATTTCCATGTGTGACGTGCCAGCCACGGGCCCTAAAGGATGGGAAATCGGCCTGCCCGGGGGGCTGGTGGAAGGGGACAGGCAGGGCAGGGTCTGGACAGTCTTGGGAGGACTTGACCATGGGGAAGCCCCTTCAGGGCGCTGAGTTGGAGCCCAGAGGAGTGAGGAGCCCTTGGTGCAAGGCCGGGGCATGGGAGCAGGAGAGGGTCGAGGGTGCCACGGACTTGGCTACCACATTAGGAAGGTGGCCCCTGCCCCAGGACCCCTCTCACAGCCCCTCCCCACCCTGCACAGCCTCCCTGTGACCACTGTCACCGGACACTATTTTTTGGCTGATAATGGCCAAGACAGAGACCAGTGAAAAGCTGGGGTGAGAACAGGCCACATGATCCTAACCCTTCCACATGGCCGCATCTCAGTGCATGCCCCTCCAGGCCATCCTCCCTGGTGTATGCACAGATTTCCATAGTTTCTCCTAAATTGTGTTTGGGAGCATGACTGGGGGACTTTCACACTTTGGTTGTGGCCTGCTGTAGGCAAGGCTGACCTCAGCTCCTTCCTCTCTCCCCTTTCCATGTGTGACGTGCCAGCCAACAAGGAGACAGTGTCTCCAACAAGGAGACAGTTAAAGTGCCACACTGTCCTGGACATCTGTCTTTGTTTGTTTGTTTGTTTTGCTTTTTTGGGTCATACCTTTTTTGGCAATGCACAGGGGTTACTCCTGGCTCATGAACTCAGCATTTACTCAATTACTGCTGGTGGTGCTCAGGGGACCATATAGGATTCTGGGAATCGGCCACGTGCAAGGCAAATGCCCTACCTGCTGTGCTATCGCTCCAGCCCCGACATCTGTTTTTTGAATCCAAATCTTTGTAGGCTGGAGACACACGCCAGCCCCCCAGCCCAGTCTCAGTGTTGTTGTAACCTGCTGAGACAGGAAGGATGATCACCACCTCTACCCCCCCTCCCCCCAAACCCAGGTACTTCCAAGGGGGCCACCGGGTACCAACAGAACTGGATTAGTCGGGCTAGCGACAGGAACACTGTCTGCAGCTGTTATTTCCTCAATACGGACCTCAAGGGCATGAAACCCCACCTCCCAGGCTCTTGCCCACCCTCCCCCCCTACTCAGGAGTCTCATCTCCCACCCGGGGGCGGTGGGGTGGGGGAGTCCTATCTCTTGAGCTTTCTCCCCTCAGCCCTGAGTCACAGGATTACTCATCCTGTCTTCTTCCCTGGGCGCTGGCACTGTTTCCCTCCTGCCCCCTGCCCTCAAACTGTGCATCACTGCCTTCCAGATTGAGGAGAGCAGCATCGCCTATGAGAAAAACAGAGCGATGGAGGCCATCGAGAAGGAGAAGAAGAGGGTGCAAGATCTGGAGAACCGCTTAACCAAGCAGAAAGAGGTATGTGGGTTCATCTGGAAAGGTGCCCACGGCAGTGGGATTCCAGGCTCAGGCAGGGAGCTCAGGCTGTGGGACAGGAGCACCTTACTTGGCTTCCCATTCTTGAAACACAGAAGAATGCCCCCAAGGCTGATGGCTAACATACTCGACCTAGAACATTCCCTGTGACTGTGCGCCTGCTGCCTGTGTGGGCTGCTTTCTTTCATTCATTCATGGTTGCTCTTGCCAGCAGATGGCTGGGAAGTGGAAGGGACAGATTGGAGCCCAGAACCCTTTATGGCCACCCATTCTCCCTCTGGTGTACCCGAGCTTTGTGTGGGCTCGGCTGTCTGCGGATAAAAGAGGGCTGTCAGGATCTGGGCACCTGAATTTCTCAGCCCCTAGATGTCTGCAGCAGAACTTGTCATCATGATCGTGCCCATCCTAATCAGCCAGCATTCCGTGGAAGCGCAGATGCAGTAGAAGGAAGTTGCCTTCCTCTGTAGCTGTGTAGTTGCGACGCCTCCTAACTGCAGGATGTCACTCGCTGCTCCTGGATCTCAGCGTTACAAGGAAAACACAATAGTCCCTATCTTAAATGCCCAGGCCAAGGAGCATACAACCAGGAAAGAGTGGGTTGCACAGAAACAGAGCAAAATACAGCTTTGAAGGATTTTTCAAGACCCAGTGGAGTCCAAAAGATCTTTAACTCTAGTCACATCAATCTTCAAAGATTCTCAAAGATCAGCATGTGGACCATCACGAGGAGACTTTTACCTTAAACGTTCATCTCCTAAACCTGCCCTGTGCTCATTCACTGTGGAGTCCACTCAGGCATTTGCATTTTCATAGACAACTAAGTGACACTAGGGCACTTGGGGTGACTTCGTAGGAAGGAAAGCAGCACCAGGAATGCACATCTGGATTAGTACAGGTCAAGCCCCCTCCTCTTGCTCCTTTTTTTGTAAAAGGGGTCCTGTCCAACTAGAGTGTGCGTAGGACACACTCAGCAAGTGAGGAGAAGCGATGTCCGACATGGACTTTGTGTCTGGGGCTGGTGCTCGGTGGGCAGACTGGGCACATGGCATAATGCTGTGGGGCAGAGATAGCCTAGAGAAGCCCTGTGTTTGCATAAAGCCCATTCGCCAGCTGACTCCCAGTGGCTCTTTTGTGAAATACTTTAATGAAGGGAAAGGTGGTGGTCCATGTAGAGTATATGCCTTGCATTGTGTGAGGCCTGGGAAAAGAAAAGAGAGAAGAAAAGTAAAAGTAGAGAAGCGGGGAGGGAAAGGAGAGAGACTTCAATCAGGAGTAGGAGGAAAGGAGAAATCATTTAAAATTTTAAGAGGAGTGGAAAAGTGAATGAGGAAAAGACTAAGGGGTAGTGAATGAGGACCAGAGCAATAGTACAGCAGGTAGGGCACTTGCCTTGCACGCAGCTGACCTAGATTCAATCCACAGTACCCCACATGGTCCCCCAATCACCACCAGGAGTAATTTCTGAGCACAGAGACAGGAGTAACCCCTGAGCATCGCCAGGTGTGACCCAAAACCAACGCCCCCAAAAGGCTAATGGGGAACAAGTGGGCATAGTGAACTCAATGAATGGGTCCCAGTTTTCTGGCAGTTAAAGTGAAAGGAGAGTCCAGTTGCAGTTCAGTAGACCAAAGTGGACCAACTACTCTTGGAAACAGGACTGTTTGTGATTCTGGCTCCAGAGTCCTAATACAGAGGACTCCCTCCTCACCTACAGCCCAAGGACAGTGGGTTCCCTCCTCACCCACAGCCTAAGGGCAGTGTGACATGAGATAACAAGGTCTTGTGACAGTCCTCAAGGCAGCTTGCATATCGGAAATCTGGGAAGTGTGGGGAAAAGAAATGAGCAGGCCAGTTGCTTATTTGAATGCTGTTCTACTTGTTTATGCAGAAGAGCCAGCAAAGGATTGATCTCATCCACAAAGACAAAAGAAAAAAAAACCCAAAACAAAACATAGGTTTTATATATGAGATAGGGGAGAGCAAGAGGGACAATAGCTCAGACTGGACCAGAGTCATAGTACAGCAGGTAGATGCTTTCCTTGCATGCGACCAACCCAAGGTTTGTTCCCCGGCATCCCATATGGTCCACTGAGTCCCACCAGGAGTGATCCCTGAGCACAGATCCAGGAGTTAATCTCTGAACACCACCAGATGTGATGACTCCCCGCAAAAAAACCCCAAAAATCTAAGAAGAAAATAAGATCAGATCTATGTCAGCAGTGGGCTTGATTCTGCACTAGAGTGAGCTGCCAGAGTGGAGATGGGAGGCAGCAGGTGACTCCCTGGGGCAGCCTCATTTCCTACAGAGAAGCACCTCGGCCCCTGGAATGTTGGGTGGTGAGCTGACGTGATGGGCTGCTCTGCACCATGCCTTCCATTGTCATCGCCAGCCTCTCCTTAGGCCAGAGCCATGTTCTGTCCACAGTGGGGCTTGTCAACAGTAACGCAAAGTGAAGAACCTCAGGAGGAATGAAGGGTACTCAAGGTTGTGATAAAGAGGGGAAGGTGACTCCCAGATGAGGCTAGAGGAGAGATGGGGTAACGTGGTATACTTTAAAAAAAAATATTTTTGGTATTGAAATAAGTGTCCCTGTTTACTGTGTTTATTCTGGAAATTAAGAGAAATTTTGGGAAATATAGAAAATCACTAGAAAGCAAAACAGCACCAACTTCCATTACACAGAGCAGAGCTGCCACGGGTGACATACTGCCAGATCCCAGACTACACACACAGTCACAGACACACAGACTCACACACACACACACACACACACACACATTCATTAATCATTACCATAGATGCAAGCACGGATTGGTTTATTACAACATGATCTGCGTTGTGATATGAAACATGCTGATTTGGAGGCTCCTTTTCTACCGAATATTTTGCGTAAACAGAATACTGTTTGGACATTAGTGAACATGCTTCCAGCCGCACAATGGATGACCTGGGTTTATGCTACATCGGGTGAGCCCAAATTTATTTACCTTTCCCCGGTGGTCAGCACTGGGGCTATTTCTCATTTTTCTCCAGAGTAAACAATGTTTGGTTGAACAGCACACACCCTCCCTGCCTCAATCTTTGTGCATGTGTGTGCCTGCTCCCTGCTAACCAATTTCCAAGAGTGGAACCACTGAGCCCCAGGGTTTGAAGACATTCAGGCTCATGAAGATGTGTTCCCAAATGGACGCCCCCACCCCTGGAAAGGTCTTCTTCACACCTTTTTTTACCTTACCACCAACAGAGTCTCAGAATGCCCAGCATGGCACTCAAGAACCTATTTTCTATCAGATTAAGTAACGTTCATGAAAAGGCAACTCATACTGTGTGCTTCAAACACTGTGACATTCTGGTGAGGGCAAAGCTATGGTACCAATCAGGAGAGGAATGAATGGGAGGTTCACAGGCGCTCTGGGCAGCAACGTTCCTGTAAAGCTTATGTCAGACTTGTGTCTAAACCCATTCATGGTACAGCCAGTTGACTGGAGGTTCTGTTTTTGGGCCGGCAGATAAGGATGTCCTGAGACTCATAGGCAGTGTTAATTAATAAATGTAGTGCTTTAAGGAGGGAGGATGCTAGGGAATACCCAGGAATTCTCTGTGCCTTTCTCTTGGTGTGGCTTGCAGTTTGGCCCTCAACCTAAAACACTGTCCTCCCGTTGTTCATCGATTTGCTCGAGCGAGCCCAGTAATGTCTCCATTGTGAGACTTCTTGTTACTGTAATTAAAGGTAATTACCTTTGTAATTGTAAAGGTAATTTGGCATATTGAATACTCTCGGTAGCTTGCCAGGTTCTCCGAGAGGGGCGGAGGAATCGAACCCGGCTCTGCCAGACTGCCTACACACAAGGCAAACACCCTACCGCTGTGTTATCACTCCAGCCTTAAAATCAGTACATAAAGTACAAAAAGCCCCAGCCCAGCATCCCTTGCAGTACCCACATTCCGTTATCTGAGGAACAAAGAGAATGACTCCTGGCAATCCAAGACTGAGAGATCTGGCTTCACGGTTGAGAGATTTGCGACACTCAAGGACATGGTGACTCAAGTCCCATTGTGGGGAGCTTCGGAGAAAAGTGGGGGAGGTGTCATCTCAGTGCAGAGATGATAGAGGGCAGTGGAGGGAGATCCATGAAATGAAGGGATGAAGGAACTGGGCACATTTATCCTGGAAAACAAATTGAGAGAGATGACAGCCCTCCTCAAATATTTAACGGTCTGTCTCATAAAAGAGAAATAAAACTTACTCAATGAGCTCCAAGTGACAGAGCTGAGCTCAGCGACCAGAAATCACAAGGAGACAGATCTCAGCTGAATCTAAAAAAGTGTGCCATAATCATTGGCACCTGCCTGAGAGAGAGTGGATTCTGTGTTGAGACTCGACAGGAGGGGCTGGAGCGATAGCACATCGGGTAGGGTATATGCCTTGCATGCAGCCGACCCGGGTTTGATTCCCAGCATCTCATATGGTCATCCGAGCACCGCCAGGAGTAATTCCTGAGTGCAGAGCCAGGAGTGACCCCTATGCATCGCCAGGTGTGACCCAAAAAGAAAAAAAAAGAGAGAGAGACTCAGCAGGAGGGTCTCTATTCTAATAGAGTTCAGCTCCCCTCGGAAAATGGGGAGAGTTGGGCAAGGGCAAAATACTCATTTTTGAATTTCTGCTCATTCGATGTTTTCTATTTGTCTAGGAAATAGACTTAAAGGAACAGAAAGAGGATATTTTAAATAATAAATTAAGCGATACGCTGGCCCTGATAGAAGAATTAAAGAGAGCCAAGAAGGCTGAGAGTCTAAGAGCGGACAATCTTGCCAAGAAATTAAATGAAACATTAGCTGAGCTGGAAACTTCAAGGACACAGTTGGTAAGTTGGGGCAGGGCCAGAGGGTTTTCTTTCAGTGCAACACGGCAGAGCCTGAGCACGCGTGTCTGTGACTCAGAAGCCAGAGTCTCTGCCTCGATAAGCTCTATGGGGCCAGACTAACACGGCAAGTCATCCCCTGGCCTCAACCCACTAGATGCCAGTAATACCCTGCTCCTCGGTTATAACAGCCCGAAAGGTCTCCAGACCTTCCCCCGGGTGCCAAGAGTTGGTTTACAAGGAAAGGTAGAGCCTCGCTGCTTAGAGGGAGGCTAGGAGGTCCTCTCTGTAGAGCCTTCTGGGGCATTGCAAGGCAGGAACCTCATGGGATTGGGCTGCAGGACAGAGAAACCAGGGGATACAGTCATCAGCCTGGTTTTCCAGTTTGTTTTTGTTTTTGAACCTCACCTCACGGTGCCCATTGGTTGCTCTTGGCTCAGTGCTCAGATGTTTCTCCGAAAGAGTTTCAGTGTCAGTCACAGGAACTTGGGCCTCCTGCATGAAAAGCATGTGCTCAGCCCTTAGAACCACCTCCCCTCCAGAGACTTTCAAATCAGGCTTTAAAGGTTTTTCTTTGTTTTTTGAGGTTTTTTTTCTTTTCTGGTGGTGTTTTGTTTCTTTCCCTTTTGGGGGGGCCCACACCTGGTGATACCCAGGGCTTACTCCTGGCACTGTGCTCAGGGTTCACTCCTGGTGGTTCTCTAGGGACCAGGTGGAGTGTCAGAATTCCAACCACAGTCAGCTGCATGCAAGGCAAACCCTCTACTCGCTGTGCTACCTCTCAGGCCCTGTTCTAAAGTTTTAACTTGGGCAAGGGGGAGGCGGGGATGGCAGGGCCAGGGATAGCTCAGTCATGGGGAGCCAGCCCTGCAGGCCTCAGGTTCCTACACACTGTCACACACACTGTCCTCCTGTTGTTCATCGATTTGCTTGAGCGGGCCCAATAACGTCTCCATCGTGAGACTTGTTGTCACTGTATTTGGCATATTGAATAACTCTCGGTAGCTTGCCAGGCTCTCCAAGAGGGGCGGAGGAATCGAACCCTGCTCGGCCGGACTGGCTGCGCGCAAGGCAAACACCCCTACTGCTGTGCTATCACTCCAGCCCTACACACCTAGTGCAATCCCACAACACTGCTGTTTGTGATCCCCAGTGCCACAACGCAGCGCTCACGGCCTCAGTGCTTCCCAGATAAGTGTGTGCAAACACCACAACCAAAGACATGTGTCCTTCCCCCACGCCACCCCCAGTCATCACCACGGCTACAAAGGGAAGAGAAGGGGAAAGCTGTCAGGTCTGGGCTCAGCCCTTGAAGGCTCAGAAGCAGGGCTCAGGGCTGTCCTTTATTCACAACCGAGGGGTCTATGGGGCAGCAGGGGTTCTTCCGGCAGAAGCACACAGACGCAGTTAGAGAGGGACTGGAGGGGCTGTAGAGATTGCAGGCTCAGGCCTGGCTGACTGTCGCTATAGCTCCAAATCGTTAAGCACCTAGATGGCAGGAACGGCAGACGAGTGGGGAGGAAGGAGTCACGAGAGATGTGAGAGAGATGGAAGGAAGGAGACTCAAAAACTTCGACAGGAGTGCTGAGGAGAGGGAGATGGCAGAGGAGCTTCCAAAGGGGCAACCAGAGGGCATGCGGACAGCACACTGATGGGCAGATGGACCGGGGTGCAGTATCAGAGTTCCAAAGTGCCCAGGCTTTTAGGGGCCAAGGACGTGTCTCTGTGGTAGAGAACTTGCCTTGCACAAATAAAGTCCTAGATTCCATCCTGAGTTTGTGTTGGCATGTTGTTAGATTAAAGGGAGAAAGCAAGATAAGACATCGAAATTTGAAATTTTTGTGCTTGGGTTTCAATTATACAATGATCAAATACCCATCCCTCCACCAGTGCCTATTGGTGGGAAATGGGCACTGGTGGAGGGATGGGTATTTGATCATTGTATAATTGAAACCCAAGCACAAAAATTTGTAAGTCTACAACTGTACCTCATGGTGTCTCTCTAATAAAAATTTAAAAAAAAAAGAAATTTGGAAGATGGGCCAGAGAAATAGAACAGTGGGTGGGGTGTTTGCCTTGCAAGCAGGTGGCTCAGTTTTGATCCCCTGTACTCCATATGGCCCTCTGAGCACTTCTAGAAGTGATCCCTGAGCACAGACCCAGGAGTAAGCCCTGAGCACTGCCAGGAGTGATGCCTGAGCACTCCTGGGTGTGGGCCCCCCAAAATAATCAAATCAAATAAATTTGAAGACAGCCCCACTGGCATGATGTTTGAAATTGAGATTCTCAAACAAAGAATGTCCTCTAGGAGAAAGTCCAAGGCCAAGGCCCATCATGCCAGCTGGCAAGAGGGTGCAGGAGTATGGCATGGGGGAGAGGGAGCAGAAGGGGCAGTCAGTCAGGAGGTGGTGGGGAGCAGGAGCCAAGATGCAGCCCCCTGAGCTGGAAGAAGTAGAAAGAACCTCAGAAATGAGAAGTAGAAACAACCTCAGAAATCAGACCTGGGAAGGGTCTGATTCACCATCTGGGAATCACCTGCAATCTGTTTCTAAGAAATACAAGGCCAGGAAACTCATCCAGGGAACCATGCACCCAGGCTGTATCCCAGGTACTTCCTGGCCCTGCCCTGGTGGTCCCTGCTACTCCGGGGCCTGAGCAGCACCACATCTAGGGCCTTGGCATTGATCCACAGGCCCAGCTGACTGAGGAGCAGCCCCCAGACCCTCTGAGCACCATTTAAGTGCTCACACACACACATACACAAATTACAATTGCATCCTTTTTGGTCTTATAAAATAGTTCATTCATGGAAGCAGTGACTATTCCTTGAATAGCACGGCCTAGATGCTGTGGCAAGTATCTAGGCATCCATGCTACGAGTATATGGATAAAGAAAAGATACTTCTGCTCCCTCTGGAGCTGTTCATCAAAGCAGGGAGATCATTCATAGGTGATGCTGAGCGCCTGCAGGGAAAGAAACGAGGGTGGTGGGAAACAAAGGGTCCACAGATAAGCAGGGAGGGTTTCTCTGAGGAGGTGAGGTGGAATCCAAAACCAGACTCCCGAGAAAGCGCAGTGGCCTAAGGAGGCAAGGGAGAAGGTACCAGGCAGAGGAAGCAGCAGAGGCGAAGGCTCTGGGTGGTGGTCCAGACCGTTCCCCTTGGCTGTCCTCCCCGCCCAGTCCCGCTGACGGACTGTGCACCTGCCTCCCCCCAGGTGACTGTGGAGGAGCGGATACAGCTGCAGCAGCAGACCATCCGGGTCCTACAGGAGCAGCAGGAGGAGCAGAAACACGGGTTCGAAGAGGAGATCCTGGAGTACAAGGAGCAGATCAAGCAGCACTCACAGACTATCGTGAACCTGGAGGAGAGGCTCCACCGGGTGGTGGAGCACCACAGGAAGATCGAAGACGAGATTGCCACGCTGAAGGAAGCGGAGCTGGGTGGGTCTGAGGAAGGGCCAAGGGCATGAGGGCGCCTTCCTACAAGTCAGGGAGGAGAAGGGGCCTGCGCTGATGGCCAAGCTCATTCAGCATCTGCTTTCCCCACAAAGCTCGGGGCTCTTGAGGCCCAGGCTAAGCAGAGTCACGAGCTGAGCCAGGCAGACACACAGGCTTTAGGGCTGCTGGAATCTTGCACCTGGAATGTCCTGGGCAGGACCTGTCCCCGGCTCTTTCTGCTGTCCATCTCTGGACTCTGGCGCTTTCAAACGCGCCTGGGATTTGTCTCAGAAAGATAAGCCTGCAGAGAGGCCTGGGGAGAGTGCGAAGGGCTCTGGAAGCTGCAGGAGGTTTCACCTCCAGCAAGGTCAACACCTTCCAAGCATCAGCTACAGCCCAGCTGCCCCCAGCCCCACCCGGGAGCCCTCCCAAAGTGAACAGAGACACCCCACAGGGCTGAAAGGGACTTCTGAGATGAGAGCTCATATTCTCCCTCAGTGACCAAAGGGCTATCACCTAATCACCTGAGACTAGTGTAAATTCTGGTCACAGAAAAAGGAAGAGAGAAGGCAGGACCCAGTGAGCCACTGGAGGCCACCCCCATCCAGACCCCCAGACTCTATCCTAGCCGATCAGCCTCTGCCATCTCTGTCCCACCTGTTTCCTGGGCTGGAGTTTACACCTTGGCGAACCTCAGGAAAAGGTGCATGAGCTCACAGGTGGAGGAAGCCCCAGCCTGGGACACAAAACACATGGCGGATCCCCATAGAGGACGAGGGCTGCAGCTGCCAGGGGTCATGTGCATGGGGAGGGAGGTGACTGTGCCCATAAGCCACAGGGGCACGACAGGACCCCTCATATAGGGATGGTTCATGATGCTCGCTCGTCCCTCCCATTCAGCCCAGAAGGAAGGAGCACAGCCGACTCTTCCACTGGCTCCTTCACCGAAGAACAGCCCCGCTGACGAAGCAAGGTACAATCCGGCAATGTAAGTATTCCCCCAGGGCAAGGGAGCACCAGAGAAAGCCCCTCTCTGACCACCCCCATCAACATCACAAACGGAGGCCAGCAGGGCTGGAGGTGGTGGGTGTCCTTTCTGTTCTGTGCTGTTAGAGGGTCTCCATCTCTTTAGCGAGTCAGCATGGGGCAAGTACCATAGGAGGGCTTCCCTTCTGTCCTCGTTGGCACGCTCCAGCGAGGTGACCTTAGCTTCCTTGTCTGTGAACTGAGCAGGCACGGGCCAGGCACATGGAGGTCACCCTTGGGAAGGGCTTGGTCATGCTCCGATGGCCTGTTTCCTCAGCCGCTGCCCAAGGCAGAGGCCATCCCCAGGAACCATGTACAGACAGCTGAGGGCCCATCTGTGGACACCATGGGTGAACTGGGGTCTCAGAAGGTTTCTAAAGGGAAGGGGCTTGACCAGATGAGCTGAAGACTCTTCCCAGTCCCGACATCTGCTCCTTCCTTGAACATCAAGATGCTGACAGTTTCCTGAGAAACATGACCTCTGGGTGGGAAAGATCCAGAAAGTCACGGCCCAGCAGAACATAACCATGCAGGTGCTGAGGATCTGGTTGTGGGTGCTCATGCCACTGGAATTTACTAAATGTCACTGGGGTTTACTCCAGAAAGACAAAGACACCCAACCTCCTGATCCGAAACTCTCAAAGAAAAAAAAAAGGCACAAAAACAAGTAGCCAGGACCTGGAGACAATTGGGGCTCCAGCACTCCTCCACCACCTCTCCAGCTCCTCGACACCTTGGATTGCTCAAGTTTCCTCCTCAGATAGGAAGTGGGGGCGGGGAGGGTTGGCGAGGGGGCAAGACCACAACCACAGATATATGCGTATACGGTATTCCCATCCCGAAGATCCTTGTGACATGCAACCTGCCAGTAGTTTGCTTTCTTGCATACTAAACACACGTTCAGCCTTCCTAAAGAAGGATAAAAGCTATATGAGTAGATCCTGGATTTGTGAAGCCTGTGAAGTCAAACGAAGTGACCTCATTACCTGCCCAAAGAGTAAAGCTCTGGAATGCCCTACTGTGCACGCCAGTCCCCAGCACATACGTGCACAGACTATGCCTGTCCCAGATCTGCACCCCATTTTCTTCCCACTTCTTCACCCCGTGGTTCCTTGGAGCCCCGTGCTCCTGGGACTCCCAGCACTGGGTGCAGCCATCCTCCTTGTTGGCCACCCAGAACCTTTTGAAAGCCAAGAGATCCTGCCCCCTGAGGCCTGGGGGGTGGGGGAGGAGCGGGCCTCCCTCACCCTCCCAGGTACTCCAGGGTAATCTGGGTCCTCAGGTCCACACTGCCACAAACCATCCGTGAACACCTTTGCTCCACTCCCAGCCTCTCTCTCATCAGGGCTTAGGGAAACTGGTAAGCACACAGCAGTAGAATTGTCCTCTCTCCTTCCTCATCCTCAAACATCCCCAAGTGGACCAAAGAATATTCTTCTGGGGCCTCAGAGTTAGCACAGCGGGTAGAATATTTTGCCGCTCCCCCCCCCCCACGGCTCCCCCCACACACAGAGCCCACAGAATCTGTTTCATCACCAGTATTGCACATAGTTTCCCTGGCACTGCCATGAGTAATCCCAGAGTGTGGAGCTGGGAGTAAGCCCTGAGCACTAGCCTCATGTCAGATACCATTTTTCCAAAATGAAGAGTGAGAAAGAAAAAATGAGAGAAAGAAGAAAGGAAGGAAAGAAAGAAGGAAAGAAAGTGAAAGAAAAAAGGAGGAAGGAAAAGAAGAGGGAGGGAGGGAGGGAGGGAGGAGAAGGGAGGGAAGAAGAGAAGAAAAGGAGGAGGGAGGGAGGAGAGGGAGAGGAGAGGAGAGGGGAGGGAAGGAAGGAGAAGGGGGAAGAAGAAAGGAAGGAAAGAAGGAAGAATAGGAAGAAAAGAAGAAGAAGAAGAAGAAGAAGAAGAAGAAGAAGAAGAAGAAGGAGAAGAAGAAGGAGAAAGAAGGAAGAAGAAGAAGGAGAAGAAGAGGGAGGAGAGGAGGAGGAGGAGGAGGAGGAAAGGAGGGAGGAGGTGCAGAGAGCTAGTACAGAAGTCTTTTGCCTTGTATGCCGTCAAAACTAGTTAAAACCCTGGCACTACATAGAAGGGTGAAGTTCTGGCCTTACTTATAACTGAGCTCATTTCAACCCCCAGCATGAGACATGGTCAGGGTCACTTCTGAGTACAGAACCAAGAAAAAAAAACTCTGAGTACTACCAGGGGTGGCATAAGACTTCCTTCCAAAAAAAAAAAAAACTGAGTAGTCAGAGAGTAGGGCATTTGCCTTGCACGCAGCCAATATTGCCAACCTGAGTTCGATTCCTCCACTCCTCTCGGAGAGCCCGGCAAGCTACCGAGAGTATCTCGTCCGCACAGCAAAGCCTGGCAAGCTACCCGAGACGTATTCGATATGCCAAACACAGTAACAAGTCTCACAATGTTACTGGGCCCGCTTGAGCAAATTGATGAAGAATGGGAGGACAGTGACAGTGACAGATTAATTAAAGAATTTTAAAAAAGATGGACTCTTGTTTCCAGTGTCCTTACCTGATTCAGAGTCACTTTGCCTTTCTTCTTGGTCCTGTCTAGGTGCTTGGGGCCACCACAGAGATGAAATGAGGAGAACTAACCAACTGACTTTGCCTGTTTTTGTGAATTTCAGAGAAGATTTATTCGCTGCTCAGAAGGAAATCCTGTCTCAGCAGGACATGATCATGAGGCTGAGGCAAGATCTGAGCGAGGCCCACAGCCGAATGTCAGACCTGAAAGGTGTGTGCGACTGTTGTGTCCTGTCCACAGCTCAGCTCGAAAATGCACCATGTACTTGAGTCACAATGGAAAGGTTGGGGGCTTGGGGGGAACGGAAAGCTCTGGTGGTCAGTCCCTGTCATCTGCTTTCTCTTATGGTCAAGGTCCTTGTTAGTGTCAGCTAGAGCTACGTCCTGTGTGTGCACCGTTTCCACAGAACCATTTCTAGGAGTCCCACAGAGGCGGCCTCAGAGCACTCAGCCTCTGCACTGAAATGCTGTTTTAGCGGCCAGCTGGGGATGTGGCTCAGTGCTAGATCACTTGCTTTTTTGCATGTGTGAAGCCCCAGGGCCCTCCAAGAGGGAGTCCTGAGCACAGAGCCAGGAGTAATCTTTTAGCACCATCAGATGTGACAGTCCCCACCACCACTACCAACCCCCACAAAAAAAACAAACAAACAGAAAACAAAATACATATTTGTGGAAGGGGGAAACAGGATCACCTTTGGGTTTTTACCAAAATTTATCTCTGGAAGCCAAGGTTCAGAGATTGATTGTAGGTCCACCCGGGCCAGGCCACCCTCCACTGGCCTCAAACTCAGGACTTCCGGGGCCTGGGGAGCATCTTTTGTATTTCCCCCCTTCTGAGCTCAGTCACCAGCAGCACCCCAGCTTCCTGGGGTGAGGAGCACCCCAGAGGCTTCTGAAGCAAAGAAGGGTAGAGGAGAGAATGCCAGACTCCCTTCCCTTCTGGGCAGACAGACTTGGCTAACTATTCTGAGTTGGCTCTTTCTTCGGGCTTCTTGGAAATGTCTTTCCTGTCCCTAGTTTCCCTTGTCCCAGAGGGCAGAGGGCAAAGGGCAGAGACAGGCAGGATGGTGAGAGTCCACAGCACTGGGGAAGGAGAGGGAGGATGAGGAATGTCCTTCCTAGCCTACTGGCCCTCTCAAGCCCTGTGCCTCCCCAGACCGATCATTGGCATTCATCTCCCCACCCCAGTTCAAGGAGGAGTAAACTTTCATTCTTAGGTGTGGGGACTGCGAGGCTCTGAGGACACTCAAGAACAAGCAGAGGAGGGGCTGGATCAATAGTACAGCGGGTAGGGTATTTGCCTTGCATGCAGCGGACCCAGGTTCAATCCCTGGCATCCCATATGGTCCCCCAAGCACCACCAGGAGTAATTCCTCAGTGCAGAGCCAGGAGTAACACCTGAGCATCTCTGGGTGTGACTAAAAAAAAAAAAAGCAGAGGATTGACCCAGAATGGGCTCTGCTACTTACCCGTCCCGTGACCTTAGGCACGTTCCTTGCCCTCTCCAAGCCCCAGTTTCAGAATTCATGAAGTTGGCCGTGTTGACAGCTACCACCTTGTAGAGTCGCTTCCAAGATTCGGGGGGGAATTGTGGGTGTCTCAGGGCTAGTTCCCAGAAGTGGACCCTGAGACCACATCCCACTGAAGGTATTCACCTGAGAGGTAACCCCGGGAACTCTCAGTGGAGAGGGAGTTCCGGCAGAAGATGGGGGAGGGCAAGGAGAACTGTTGTCAATGGTCAGGGTTGGGGGTAGGTACTTCATTCCTTACCAGGAATGCTGGGGCCTGTGGTGGGGTTCTTGTTGCCTATCTGCAAATTGGGTCATATCCTCCTTCCCCACCGTCACTGCTCAGAGCCTTGCACCTGGAGGACACAGGAGCAGAGAAGTCACTTCCTCCCCACCCAAAAAAGGCCTCAGATGACCTCTAGGCCAACAGCTGCAGAAGCAGGTGGCTGAACGTCAGCCAGGGTAACCCAAAATGCCACAGGCATATTGGCAGGACCCTGCCCAGGGTGTCTGCTCACCTTCCATTATGGGAGCAAGACCCCACAAGCCTCATGGTGCCCATGTACCCTAAAAACTAATGGTGGCATGGTGTGGCAGTCGCTGGCAAAAACCCAAGCAGACCACTGGCTGTTAGTAAAGAAAGTTCTGGAGAATTCTGGAATGGCCTGATCTGGCCTGCCATGTCCAGTGACAGGGCCGCAGGGAGACCCCCTCACCAGCTTTTCTGTCACACACACACAGGGGAGCTGAACGAGAAGCAAAAGATGGAACTGGAGTTAAATGTGGCTTTGGTCCAGCAGCAAAGCCTTGAGTTGAAAACGCTCAAGGAAAAGACGAAGCAGATGACCAACCTGGTAGAAAAGAAGGACAGGGAGCTGCGGAGCCTTAAGGAGGCACTCAGGTACGTGGGACGGTCTGCTTGGCGTGGGGTTGCCCAGGCACCACACCCCCCCCCCCACCTGCTTGAGGAGCAGAGAGAAGGGGTTGTAGCAAATGGCAGTGTGAAGCATTGAATGAGTGAATGGAAGAGAAAATGAATGATGTGTCCTCATTGGGGGGCAGCCCTGTCAATTAAAACAGGACTTTGCTTAGTTCTCTGTTTCTCTGGCATTCCTGCCCAATAATCCTGATGGCATATCTCAGTTTAAATACCACTTCCTCCAAGTCTCCCTTCAAAGCCCTTCCCACTCTGCCTGAACTCCTGAACCTTCCACTTCCTCGCACCACCAGGCTGTGCTGAATTGCCTGAACTGCCTGCCTGCCAACTGAAGACAAGGGTTTATAGCCCTGCCAGGTGCCATCCAAATACAAAACAAACCAATAAAGGTCTATGAAGATAATGCAGGTGTATTTACACACACACACACACACACACACACACACTGCCCCAGCATCACACTGTTGCTGACAGAGAAGAGAACTTATTTATTGAACAGATAAGTAGCCTGGATAGGTCAGAAGTCAGCTTCACATACATAACTTACCTTTGTTTTTTTTTTTTTGGTTGTGTGTGTGTGTGTGTTTAATTTTTTATTTATTGAATCACCATGAGAACAGTCACAAAGTCTTTCAGTTTAAGTCTCGGTCAGTCATACAATGATCAAACACCCATCCCTTCACCAGTGTACATTTTCTACCACCAAGAACCCCACGTACCCCCCACCCCTCCCCCTGCCTGTGTAGCAGATTTCCACTTTACTCTCTCTCTACATTGATCATATTCAATATTATGACAAATGACCCACCATTATTATTTGGAATTTTCCCCAACAATCAGACCTGCCAAAAAGACATCATTAGATAATTTGTTTTCTATTGCTGATTATGAAGAGCATATGATATCGTGCAGCCACGTGATTTTGGATTTCTGATATTCTAGTAATAAATCTGGAGGGAATAACTTAACTTTGTCCTGTGGATTATTCTGAAAGTATACCCGAGCTTGCATTTTCCACCCCTAGTTTATCCATCTCTTAACATCAGAATAATGTTTGGAGGGCAAGTAGATAGCTCAGGAGCTGAGCGTATGTATGGGGGCGGTCAGAGCACCACCCCAGGCATAGCCCCCAAACACTAACAAACTAACAGCAAACTAACAGCATCCCTTTCCCCCCAAAAAAGAGAAAGCTATGTTTTCCTCCAAAAAGAGAGTAAAGTCGATTTCTCATGCCTACCCTATAGTAGCTTCAGGAGCCTCATAGCTCATGGCCAAGGTGGTTAAAGAGCAGATTTCAACCCAGGCTCCTGGACTCAGGGCTAGCTGCCTCCAGGCCCAGCCCCATGACCAGGGACAGACAGCAGTGTGCCTCTTTCCTGGTCTGTAAGGAAGAGGGGGGACATTCCCCCAAATTCTGGGATTGTTTGGAGAAAGAGGAGGGCTGGCATCTAGAAGTGCCAGAAACTGAAGCCCTGCAAGAAACATTGCCACCCTGGGTGGCACCCAGGCCCAGCATAAGAAGCAAGGACAGTGGGCTCGCCCAGGCAAGGACAGACTGCTGCCCAGGCTGCAGCCCCTCACACCCCCCCGCAACAGATTTCAGGATTCTGAGGCAGGGGAGCCTCAGTTTCCTTTGAAGAAAACTCCTTGGGACAGGGAGATGCCTCCCCCCTACCTCTCGGGAGTAGTCCCAGCACTGCCCTTGTGGCCGCAGCGGCCCCAGGACCAAACCATCAGACCCACATTGTGGGAGTAACCCCACCCCCTCCCCAAACCGCTTCACTACTGGTGTGGTCCTCATTTTTTTAAAAAACAGGGCTCCCTTTCCTGCTCTGCCAGAGGGGCGGGCCGGGGGGGGCAACAAAGAGGGGTACTCCCAAAATAGCATCGTCCCAGCCAGCCTTCTGCCCAGTGACCCATCCTTTCTGCCCTAGAACCTCCCAGAGCAAATTGCAGCTGCACAAGGAGAAGGACCAGAAGACTCGGGGAGGGGCCAAGATGTGCGACATCTCTGTGCAGATAGAACCAATCCATGACACCTCCATGAGCAGCCAAGAGGTGAGAACCCGCCCACTCAAGCCCCCAAGGATGCATCAAAAAGAGCCCACCAATTGCTTTTAAAATATTTCTTTGGGGAGCTGGTGGGTTTGGGACCACACCCTGCAGTGCTCAGGGGTCACTCCTAGTGATACTCAGGGTACTCTGATGCCAGGGATCAAACCAAGGTTGCCCACATGCAAGGCAAGTGTCTTAAACCCTGTACTGTCTCTCTTCACGTCCCCCCTACAAATCATTTTATTCTAAGCCCCCAGACTAGTTCATCTGTATAAATGAAAGGCATCAGCCCTGCCTCTCTGACCACTGGACTAACCCCGAAATCACAGCTTAGCAGTTGGCCATGCCACCTGGACAACATTGCTCCTGGGGGGTCCCCTGTATATTGGGTTTTGGAGATGTTTTTAAAATAATAATAGTAACATATAGGGGCCAGAGCAGCCATTGTACAGTGGGTAGGGATGGCTGACCCTGCAACACAGCTGACCCAAGTTTGATTCCTGGTGTCTCATATAGTTCCCCGAGCCCCACCCAACAGTGATGCCTGAGTACAGAGCCAGGAGTAGCCCCTCAGTACTGCCAGGTGTGTCCCATAAGCAAACAAACAAAGAAGTAAGTCATGGATTCTTATATTTTTCCATCTATTTAATGGCCAAACTGGCAGGCTACCGAATGTAACCTGCCCACACGGCAGAGTCTGGCAAACTCCCTGTGGCGTACACAATATGCCAAATACCAGTAACAATGTTGGGTCTCATTCTCCTAAAGAGCCTTGAATATAGCACTTTCTTAAAAATCTCAGGGCTAGGATGAAGGAGACGTTACTGGGGCCTGCTCGAGGCAATCAATGAATAACAGGATGGTCGTGATTCGTCGTGATTTAATGGCCAGCTTTCAAGTCAGTCTATAAGATCTGGCTTATTCTTTGAAATGCTGCATCATGTGCGAGCATTGATGCTCCCTACTAGAGGACAGTTGGGGCATCTCTGCTCTTCTATCAGGCTAGAATGTCCTCCTCCACTTCCTGAGATCCGCAACTGCTGCACCCAGAGACCACCCCAAACTGTACGTTCCAGGGTGCCCAGGCAGTCTCTCGGTGGCTTCTCTCAGAGTGCCGATGCCAGCAGCCTTGCCGGCCTGCACATTCCAACCACGCACCCATGGGACAGGGGCCTGCGCAAATGCAGCCTCGACCAGGCCACCCTCCCAGGATGTACTCCTGTCCTGTCCCCAAGACAGGAGCTATGGCATTCCCCGGCATCTCTGGTTGGCCAGCTGTGTGGGGCAGTGGTTCCTGGAGGCCCTCGATTCCTGGAGTCCACGGATATCCTTTCCCCTCTGCTAAGGAAACCAGAGCGTGGAGACTCTCTATAACGGATGTAAATTTTCACTTGGAAACAGGGCCAAATGGGTCAGCTTGCTTTCCTATTTTTCTAAGCAGCCTTTCCCTTGCCAAGCCACAGCGAGCCAGGGCTGCACACAGCTAGAGTAAAGGACTGAGGACTCAGCAGCCCCACCGGCGGCCCTCGGCTCCCATCCCTGTCCAGAGCTCTGGGACACATATCTCCTTATTCCGGTGACTGGGAGCAGTGGCTGCCAGGAGTTTCCTGCCCCTGAGCCCCATGGACCAGGAGTGGGCCTCCCACCTGTGGGAATCCCAGACCCTGGCTGGTTCCCTGCATCGCCCACTGTTGAGCGCCTTAGGGGAGGATGCGCCAGGTGCTTGGCCACCCGAGACTTGCTCCTGCTCCCCATGGATTTGCTGGACTGAATCTCGCTTGGATTGTTTGTCTCTGGTACGAGGCAGGACTCATTGAGGAGGATGGGGGAAGCAAGTTGTAAGATCAAAGAGAAAAATTACTTGTTCCTTCTCAGAATGCTTTTCTACACGCAGGCTACTTCCTGCTTTCCGAGCCAGAGTGGGTCAGAGGGCTTCGGAGTTGTATGAGAAAGAATCTTCATCTTCTCGAAATAAACAAATTCCCAGGAGAGCCATGAGTCAGGGTCACAATTGAGGCATACTCTGCCGGCTGAGGAGAGCTGTCACTGAGCCTGATGTGGAGGCCGCCTCACCCCCAAATGCAGTAGCTCCTGCGCTCTTCCCCACAGTCCTGTGTATATGCACACACATGCATTCACACACATACGCACATTCACACATGTACACACACACGCACATACACACACACACACATAATCACGCACACTCTCAATCAATCCCACACTCATATATTCTCTCTCCTCTATCTCCTCTCTCTCTCTCTTCCTCTCTTTCTCCCTCTCTCCTTTCTCCTCTCTCCTCTCTCTTTGCGTGTTTCTTCCCAGGGCAGACACTTCAGAAGGGCATGACTGGGGATGCAGAGATGGTACAAGGGTCAAGGAACATACCTAGCATATAACCAACCCCAGTTCAATCACCAGCACCACATAGTCCCCCACCATCGTTGAGTAGAGCCCTGGAGTCCCCTGAACACTTCCAGGGTGTGAGTGTGACCTGTGTCCTCAGGCCCTCACACTAAACCAGAGTGCAGTGGTTAGCTGGTAATGGCCTCAGGGCTTCCTGAGCACCACTGAGGCTCCCTGATGAGAGAAAGAGAGAAAGAGAGAGAGACAGAGACAGAGACAGAGACAGAAAGAAGAAGCAGTAACCATATACACAACCTGTAAGCAGGATAGAACCTGGGTTGGCATCAATCAAGGTCTTGGTAAGGGTGGAACACCCCCTTTCTGGGCTGCTGAGCCCTGATACAAGCCCTCTAGCTGGGGCCCGCTCCTGAAGGCTCTAGCTTCTGACCCCAGTTCATTCAAGCTCTGTGTTGCTTCGACATCACCAGTGCCCAGCACTGTGCCAGACCCAGACACTTAGCAGTCTATAGCAAAAACTTCTTTCTTACAAAGCCAACATCTGAACAGAGAAACGTGACCCATGAAATTAATATGGAACAAGATATCATGAGCATTCTGGGCAAATATGTACAGAATTCAGGGAGGAAAGGAATAGAGGTGAAGACAAGCAGAGGCAGGGCGGAAAGTGGCTCTTTGGGATCAGGTGGTCAGAGGCTCTCCTTGAGAAGACTTGAAGCAGAGTCTAAAGAAATAAAGAGGAAGTCAGAATGCCTACAGCAGGTAGGGCATTTGACTTGCATATGGAGGACCCAGGCTCAATCCCCAGCATCCCATATGGTCCCCTGAGCACCGCCAGGAGTGATTCCTGAGTGCAGAGTCAGGAATAACCCCGGGCATCACCAGGTGTGACCCAAAAAGAAAAAAAAAAAGTAAAGAAATGAGTGGCGGGAACATGAGGTGGCAAGATCAGGAGGAAGGAAACCTGCATTCTTTCCCATCTCAAAGGGGTGCATAACCCTTAAAAGATGAAGGAAACCTTTCCTTGCCTGTCTCTTTCATAAACCCAACTCTATGTTGCTAGTATTGGTTGGAGCAGATACAGAACATTTTCACTGTATGCATAGAAAGTTCTGTGCATATCATTGTCCTAGGCTCTGAGATTTTCAAAGAAAGGTTCTCCTTCCCCCAGACAGCAAAGAGACCATCTATCTAATTCCCCCTGATACATATTAGACAGCGATCCTTATGAGTTTAGGAAAGAATGTCTCTCATCTCAAAATACCCCGCCTGGAGTAGAATTTGATGTCATTGTTTATAAGAGGCCAAAAAAGAGAAGAAATGGAAAACTAAGCTTAGAAGAAAAAATTATACGTAGAGGACCGGACTGTAGTTAAACATTTGCCTTGTAAGGCCCTTGGTTAGATTCTTTGCACCCCAAAAAGAGGAAAGAGAAGAGGAGAGGAAGAGAGGGGAGTGGGGAGGAGAGATGAGAGGAGGGGAGGGGAGGGAGAGGAGGGGAGGGGAAGGGGAAAACAATGGAAGGGGGAGGGGAGGGGGAGTAGAGAAGAGAGGATGGGAGGGGAGGAGAGAAGACAGGAAGGGAGGGGGAAAGGGGAGAGGAGAGGAGAGGAGACATGGGGAAGGAATATAAAGATCTTTCATTTATAGTAATACTAAGTGGGTAGGAAAGTTGGAAACTTTCCTAGATGTGACTTTATGTTTGAAAAATGTTAATCCCTTCTCTGCCGAAGCCCCTTATGATATTTTCCAAGGTGCTAGATGACAGGTCTCTGCCACCCCTGAATTTTTCACATTTCTCGCCATGTAAGGGCGATGTTCCAGTCCCTACTAAAATGCTTTGTGTGCACCATTCTGGCCACAGGAGCAGGCCTTCAGTGACCTCGGGGCCAAGTGCAGAGGGTCGCGGCATGAAGAAGTCATTCAGCGTCAGAAAAAAGCCTTATCTGATCTTCGTGCACGAATTAAAGAGCTTGAGAAGTCCTATATACCAGGTCAGTTTCCTCCTGCCTGCTCCCCCGATCTGTGCTCACAATGTGAGTGTTGCAGGCTCTAGGAAGGGTTCACTTCGGGCACTAACCAATCTTCCAGGACCACAAGCTTTTATCTTCCTATGTCATGACTGGCAGGATGTTGTAAGACATGCTCCCAGAGTCAAGGGCCGGCTTTTATATTAGATAAGATTTCATAGAAAAGGTGAAGGACCACATTGTCCTTCCTTCTCTTATTTGCTGTAGCCACAGTAGAAGCATTGTCAAGTGTCCACATTGAGGAGCTGCCTAGAATATCCCCGGCTCAGGTCACCTTCAGTGTCTCAGCATTGACCCTTGAGGCTGACACCAGTCCTTAGCTGTGTGACCTTGGATAATTTCAGTAAACAGTAGCTCGAGTCATTTCATGCAGTAATATCTTCCTAAGCCTCCCTTTTGAGTCTAAATTATTTCTCTCCTAGATCATAAAGACCAACAGAATGAATCACTTCGAGATTCAAAGGCTCTCAGGATGGAAAACAGTGTCCAGAAATTATTGGATGCAAAACCTGACTTGCCAACTCTCTCAAGAATAGAAATCCGAGCAGTAAACAAAGCAAGTTTGCCTTTGCCATGACTGGCATGTGGGAGTGGGCGGGCCTGAGAGAGACACGAACAGGGTTTCCTAGTTCAGCCATGCATATCAGTGGTTTGGATCAAATCCTCCCCGAGGCGTTAGCATCTGTACCCCTGGTCAGTGGTCCAGTGTTTGAATAGAAATACAGTCATTATTTAGTTTGTAAAACCTAAGTGAGCAATGATACAGAGCTTGACATTGGGCTAGATCAATTTCCGGTAGACTCATGTGTAACACTCTATAAAAAAAAAATACTCGGCAGGCTAATATAAAACATTGCCTAAGTCACTTTTCTTTCTCTGTAAGCTGAAATTTATGAAGAGCAAAAACTACCAAAAGAAAGGAAGCCCGAGAGACAATATGAGTTCAAGAGCCTGGAGACCGGTGTGCAAACCCCAGCTCTGTAAACTATGTGGCCATAGGTAGATCCTGAACCTGTTGGGGATTCCAGTTCCCAAATGTAAAATGATGATGGAGAAATCACAGGAGATCATTGGGCAAAGTGCTTATTCCAGTGTCTAGTCAGAGGTTCCCAAACTTATTTGACTTAACATCCCCCTTTCAAGGAAAATTATTTCGCACAGCACCCCCCACCTCCCATCCCCAAACTCTACCTTCTTTAAACAGGCAGAAAGTGGGTCACAGTTTAACTTGAGACTACTTACCACTCTCCAGGGGTTGGTATTGCTCGCTTTGGGAAATACTGGACTGCTTAACAATAAATACTTCATCAATGATAGCTACTGAGGACTAAGGAGGCGGCTCTTTGGTCAGGCATATGTGAGACCCTGGGTTTGATCCTGAGAGCCCACACAAAAGAAAATATAGATAAATGAATATTAACTATTATTTTTAAGTAGCATTAAATATTTAAGAAAGCCTTCCTCTCTTTGGATACATTGTTTTATTGGCTAGTATTTTCAGAATCAATTTGACTTTTGAGTTGAAGCATTTTGATTGTTAAATATCCCTGTATCCTAAGTGGACGTTTGTTTGGACATTCCATGGACATGTGACACGTTATTCCTCAACATATAGTGTCTTAATTTTGGGTTGTAGAAATTCACAATAAAATAATAATACCTCTCTCCCCCCCCCCCCCTCTCTCTCTTTTTAAAATTCAGTCTCAAATTGGTCTTGTCAACCCAGAATCCAACCTGCTCCTGGAAAAATTAGGGAAAACGGATATGGCTGAAGCTTTGGATCTCAGTGAAAAGCTGGTATGTTCCCTCTTTTTCCCACCCTGGGTCTTCTGTTATAAGCATTAACCACAGCCTAGTTTAACTGCTTGCCAATCTGACACCCCTATTTAGCTAATATAACATCTCTACATGGCTGGAGCGATAGCATAGTGGGTAGGGCATTTGCCTTGCATGTGGCCAAGCCAGGTTCGATTTCTCTGTTCCCCTCAGAGAGCCCAGCAAGCTACCAAGAGTATCCTGCCCGCAAGGCAGAGCCTGGCAAAGCTCCTCGTGGCATATTTGATATGCCAAAAACAGTAACGAGTCTCGCAATGGAGACGTTACTGGTGCCTCCCAAGCAAATCGATGAACAATGGGAGAACAGTGCTACGGGACAGTGCTACAACAGCTCTGCAAGGCACATTCACCCTCCCAGTATTGCTCAGAAAGATCAGGGTCAAGTTTCTTGAAAAAAACCTGGGTAGTTCAAATGAATGTTTATCTCTGTTGTCATTTTTCCCCCCTCATTCTCAGTGTAAATGGACGTGGAGGGCAGGGATGAAAGTTTCACTCAAATTCCAGGGAGCACCAATTTTCAAATGTGTTGTTCCCTGCAATTTGCCACAAATGATGTGAAACAGAACTAGCCATTTGCCTCCTTAAGGCCCAGCCATGGTCTCCCGCTGAGCCTCTGACTGCACCACCCTTTCCTTGCAGTACATGGACATGAGCAGAACTTTGGGCTGTCTGATGAACATCAAGGATATGTCAGGTCATGTCTCCATAAAATTCCTCTCCGCAAAAGAGAGGGAGAGGGTCAACCAGCTACGACAAAGGGACCTCGATCTGGTGTTTGATAAAATCACCCAAATGAAGAGCCGGCTGGAGAGAAAAGAGGAGATTTTGAGAGGATACGAGAAGGACATTGAACAGCTCAGGTATGGCCTGTGTCTTGGGGGAAAGACCCAGGCCTCTCTCCTTCCCAGCTTCCGCCTGGGGGTTACCTCCAGGATAGCTGCAGTCACCTAGAAGCAGGGCAGAGGGACAGAGGCCTGGGTGTGAAATAACAATATTGAGGTGGGGAGTGAGGGGAAATCAGAGGGAAGATGACGAGACAAGACTGGGGGAGCAGCCACGGAAGCGCTCTGTTGCTTCTTTCTGAATTCCCTGAACGGATAAGCTGCACCTTTGATGAATATCTCTGTATTCTAAGTGGACATTAGCTTGGACATTCCATGGACACGTGCTACCTTATTCCTCAGTATCCATATCATGCTTTAATTCATAGTGACTCTTTCACATTTGGAGTCCTTTTCATAGTTCATCGTATTTCCAGTGGATATCTCTGGGATCTCTCCTTCCCTCTCTGGGAATTAGGAGGAGGCCACTCGCATGTCCTCTGCCAACCTCATGCCACACCTATTCAGCCAATCAGCTATTCATTCTGCCCCTGACACCAAATCTTTGTCAGACCACTAAGTTAGCCATCATAAGTACCTTAAGACTCTCCTTGTTTGGGAATATGGATGGTAAGTGCAAAAGAAGAAGGGAAAGAGCTTGTCTCTCATGTACGCTCAGGCAAAGCAAAGTGTCCGTTCAGATGTACCAGTCACAGGTGGCCAAGCTGGAGGACGACATCTATAAGGAGGCCGAGGAAAAGGCGCTGCTGAAGGAGGCCCTGGAGCGCATGGAACAGCAGCTGTACCAGGAGAAGAGGATCAACAGGGCCATCAGGCAGCAGAAGGTGAAAGGTCCCTGCTTGAAGCACAGCCTCTGAGGCCACACCTTCGCTCCCTTTAGCAGCGGCAAAGTAAGGTCCCAGGGGGTCTGGGAATGCTCAAGGCCCATTTCTCCTTGCGCTGAGATCCAAGGTGGCAGAACAGCATTTAGCATCAGACAGACCCAGGTGTCTATGCCCTCACTCTACCTACTGTGTAAACTTCCGGCAAATTCCTTAAGCTCTCTGAGACTTACTTGTGTCTGTCTTCTTTTTAAGGTGAGATCTGCTGTTTTTCTTTTTTCTGATTCTGCCGGATGCTAGGGATGAATAGATGAATGAGTGCTCCCTAAGAATAGCAATTTGAGTTCACTCAAATTGGTGGAACATAGAGTAGACAACCAATAAATATTTGGTGAATTACAGCGTGATGGATGGTTGGATGAATGGGTATGGAGTGAATAGATGATTGGGTAGGTAGATGGATGGAATGATGGTTGGATGGGTGAGTGACTGATGAATAGATGGATATTATGGATGGATGGGTGAGTGGATGGATGACAGATGGATGAATGGATACTGGTTACATGGATGAACAGGCAGATGTGGGTGGTAAACAGCCTTGAAGAATATAGCCATTAGAGCAGAACAGACCAGTAAAAAGTTACTTCTGGGCTGATTTAATGGAGTACTCTGTCTAAAGGAAGCTCTGGGTACTATGATCTTGGGAAGGACATTTTTTTTTGTGGCATCTACTAGGACCAGGTTTCACCCATGCTCTGCAGTCATGCTCAGGTTCATTGCCTCTGTCAGTTCTGTCTTGTTGGGACAATGATCCCCACTTTACAGATGAAGAAACTAAGCCTCAGAGTGTTGAGAGACTTGCCAAAGTTCACAGAGTAGCTGTAAGTAGAGCCGGTGTCTGGTCAGATCTCTCTGGCCCTCAGTTCCTATCTCTCTGCTTGACTCAGTCCCCTTTTACTGTTTTATGGCTTGTGTATTTGTGCATGTATGTTTGCATGTGTGTACCTATAGGGTATACATGTTTCTGGTGGTCTTTCATACGTAACTATGCACACATATGTGTTGGGTGTGTTTGCTAGTATATATTTGTGTTTGTGTGTTTGTATGTAAACCTGAGGATTTACATAAATCAGGCTTTATCAGACTGCACAGTCTCTAAAGTCAAACCACAGAGGCTTGGAGAATGGTGTCCTAGATGAGTTCTTCAGAAGTCTGCCCTCCATCCTGCAAACCTCCCTTTTGAGATAACAGACTTCCCTAGCTTGTAGCTCTGATGGGAAAGTGGTCATTCTGCTCTGAGGGAGCCCCAAATGCGGTGTTTCTTGAATTCCCTGCCCTGAATTAAACATCACAGGCCTCTGTCTGCACATGCCCTGGAGTTGCCTTAAGGGGAGGGCAGTTACAGCCACCAAGCAAGGCCAGGCAGAGCTGGGTCAGTGACAGAGCTCTGATGTTTCTTTTGACGTACCATTAAGAGCAGTCACCCCTTTCTGAGATGCATCCCACCCGTACCCAAGGCTTGGCAGGCCAGACCTCAAAGCAGAGACACCAGGCCACAAAATGAGACAGCAAAGTTTCCCCAAAAGGCCATTGTCATCCTATGCTGGCACAAAGAGCAAGAAACCTGAGGATTTACATAAATCAGGCTTTATATGCATTATTCATGGGATGCCTCATTCTCACACAATGCAGGGACTGTGCCAGTCTGTTTGGCACTAGACACCCTTTCATGGGGGAGTCAAAATGGCCAAGTTGAACCTGTATCCGGGTCCCCAAGAGAACTAGATCTGGGAGCTTTGCAATGCACAGGATTCACAATTCAGGGACAGTCTCAGGACTACTACAGTTACGATCACTCTGCATGAATGTGTTATTTAGTGAATGCTATCCAAGCGACAATATTGGCTGTGCGCTATACAGGGTTTATCTTTTTTCCAAAACCCTCTAGAGATCTGGGTTGGGCCCATGTAAGAGATGGGGAAACTGAGGTTGACAAAGGTCATGTTACCTGGCTGCTCAGCAGCACAGGCTTCCCACCCAGACTCAGCCCTTCCCAGCCCACCTACCCCTTTCTGCACCTCCCTCTCCAGGTCCTCCCCCACTCATCCTGTTCTCCATTGACCTTGGGTCAATTTGCCATTCATGTTGTCAGAAATACCTGTTTGTCATGGGGGCAGAGGAGAAGACGGTCAGTTTTACAGTTTCACTGGTCATAGGGAACTTGCTTGCATACATCTGTCTTGACATCAGTTCTTTCCAAGGAGAATGTTGCCCTTTTCAGAATTTGGAAGACTTCCTTTTTCTAAGCTTTACACCTATTTTCCCAGAGATGCTTCTCTCCCTCTCTCTCCCCCACCCCATATGAAATGTCGTAAAGATGAGATGGCTGAAGCATTTGGAGATGAAATTATTCACCTTGAACTTCAGAACTACCACCCCCCTCCAAACAAATGTAGTTTGTAGTTGTAGTGTTCTAATGTCGTTTCATCAAGTGGAACTTTCCAGAAATAAAAGTCATACTTCCTTACAACCCCTGGCTATTAAAATGTGCTGGATTCTTTTTGGGGGGTTGGGGGGTTATAGAGTCAGTTTATTTAGACTCTACTTTGCTCCAATTTGTACGCCACAATCCAAATGAGAACAAAAACCTTCAGTGCCCCCAAAGACCTGCTTTCCATAGTCAAAATAATATTAGGTCCTGACTCTCTGGGGGATGTTACAGCGGAAGCTTTGACTCACTTAGCAAAGGTCGAAAGGAGGAAGTTGGGGCAATTGTTTTACTAACATGTTTCAAGTGAATAGAATAGGTGTCAGTTCCTGTCTGAACATTGGTTAAGCCTGGATGTTAAGAATAAGAAAAACAGGTTGAAAGAATCGATTTCTGGCCCTGATCACATTATCAAGTTGAACAATTAACTTTTCAGACAGTCTAGGTCTAGATTTCTTTGTCTCAACCTAATGTTCTCTTTTTAATGGCTCCCTCCTTCTTCTCTTACACTCCTATCTCACTTGATGGCATCATTACATATGGAATATTTGCAGAATTGCAGATGTTTAGTTTATATCATGGGAAAGATTTATATATACTTTTAAAAATCCGGTACACGAATAAAGTTCATTTAACAAAAAATGTGCTGGATTTTAAAGTATGGGGCATTCCAGGAGAACCCTATGACCAGGAGAACCACCCGTCTCATGGATATGTGATGCTGTGAGTCCCTGGCCCTCTTGCTTGGTGACAAATGATCATGACTGTGTCCCCATTGTGCTCAGTCCAGTCCACTTCTCACTTTGTTAGGTGAGGCCACCATGTCTTCCCAGAGCTCAGAGACAGACCTTGGCATCAAACAAATTGCAATCAAGCCCCAACCCCTGACCCTAAGTGACTTGACCTCTATCTGTTCTGGATCCTCAACAGCCACCCAAAGCAGGAACATGCCCAGCTCCTTGGTGCCAGTGGGAAGGGTAAATGACATCACATCTGTGGTGCATGGCATAGAGCAAGCGCAGTTACTGTGGGGGAGAGAGAAGGCAACTCATGGCTGCTGGTGGCTGTTTTCTCATGGCTTTCAAAGTGCTTCCTGCCAGCCGACCTACACAGAGAGACAGGCACTGGCACGCTTTTCTGTCCACCCAACGCCAGCCAGCCACGTTTCTTTTCTTTTTTCCTGCAACCCTCTTCTGTGTGGTGAATACAGACAGGGCTACAGCCAAGAAAAGGCCTAGGGGTGTGTGTGTGTGTGTGTGTGTGTGTGTGTGTGTGTGTGTGTGTGTGTATGGTGTGTATGATTTTGTGTGTTGGTGGGTGTTGGAGAGCAGAGTGTGGTTTGTGTGTGTCTTCAGGCTGGGGTTTTCACTAGGAAACATTGACGTGTACAGAAATCGCCCTTTGAGGAGCCTTTTCTTGGTCCCCTCAGTCCAGCTTCAGTTGTGAAAAACTGTGAAATAGTTTGTCTGCTTCCGGCCACCAGCCAATCAAATCCAAGCTTCGAGGTCAGGGAGGTGGGGGGACACAGCTTTGCTGAGGGGTTTCAGGACCCCCAGGCCTAGTTTACACAGTTGCCTGTAAGACGAGAATAAAAAATGGCACCTGACTGGTAGCATTGGCATAGGCAAGTACATGTAGGCAAGCCTCAGTGCAAAGGATCTCTCTCAACATGTGAATACTCTTACACCAGCATCCTTACTGTCACTGTATTCGACTTGCTATTTTCCAGGCTGTTCTTGGCTCCAGGTAACCTCAAGCTCCTAGTCTCCTTTCCATTCTGTCTGTTCTTGAGGAATGAGTTGAAATTAGTCAATGTTGTATACGGTGAGACTAAGAAAGGGTGGTCTTGGGGAGGTGGTACCCTCCAGCCTATGCACAGAAAAGGAAGTAAAATGTGATTTAGGGTCAGGCCGGATACAGTGGAAGGTGGCAAAAGAGAAGGACTCTCACTTAGCCCCTGTTCCATCTCCTACCCCCCAGTTCCAATGAAAGCCAGTTAGTCTCCTAGAGACTAGAGATTTGTCCCAGAGTGGAACTGGTAGGGCTCTAAACATTCTTGCTCACCTACTATTTCTACTCAGGAACGTTTAGAGGATGGAGAACAAAGGAAAGAATCAGCATTTTGCAGCTGTTTCCACAAAGAGAAAATGAGACAGGTATGAAGGGGTCCCTGGTCTTGCAGCTGGACCCAACATAGAAACAATAAATTCCAAGGATAAGAACTTGTAGGGTGTAAATACCTTTGTCTGCTGCCCCAGGACCAGTATCAATAATACACAGCATACCCTCAGACTTCCCTCACCCTACCCCACCCCACTTCCTTATCTGCAATCTGAACAAAAGACCAGCAAGCATCCACCCCAGTATCTTGCAAGAGGAAACAGACAGAGGCAGGAGAGGGAGAAAGTGTAATGGTGGGAGGAGGGGAGAAAGGAGGAGGAAGGGCAACCATCCCAAGCCCCAAATAACTGGGGGACTTGGAAAAAGGTCATAAGAAAAGGAAAAAAGGAAGTGGGGAGTTCAGGAACCAGTTCCCTAAGAATAAAATAAGGAATGGGAAAAGGAGAAGTGGATACAAAATGGAGCTTAATAAGGATGAAAGTGTCATTTGTAAGAGCCTTCTCACCTGCTAAGGAAGGAGAAGTTACTTGGATCAAAACTTCCTGATAGCCAGTGGGAAGTGGAGATCCCAGTTTGGTCCAGAATTTATGGTATCCAAAAGATGTGATGAAAGTGAGACTGAAAAGTATTCATAGGCCAAAGATGATACTGGATTTTCTCCTTAAAGGAGACATTGTTGATGTCTTAGAAACAGCATCCCTAAGAATAGCAGTGGGAAGTTGGTTAGGCCATGTCTGAGAACAGCTCTTTTTTTTTTTTTTTATTAGTGAAACACCATGAGGTACAGTTGTAGATTTACAAATTTTTGTGCTTGGATCTCGGTCATACCACGATCAAATACCCATCCCTCCACCAGTGCCCATTTTCCACCACCAGGATAATATCCCTCCCCCCCCCCCCATCCTCCCATCCCCCCATCCCCCCCTGCCACTGTGGCAGGGCATTCCCTTTTGTTTTCTCTCTCCTCCTGGGTGTTGTGATCAGCCAAAGAGGCATTGAGTGGCGAACATGTTCAGTCCAGTCTACTTTCAACCTGCATCTCCCCTCCTGGGAGGATCTTCCAAACACCCTCCACTTGGTGTTCCCCTTTCTATCTGAATTGTCCTTTCCCCTAGAATACCCAGCTGGCCTCTAAGTTATGGAGTAATTCTCCTGGTGTTGCTCTCAGCTATTCTTGGGTAGAGAACAGCTCTTAAGACAGACCAGTGTCATCACATCCTATTGAGCTCAGAAAAGTTGGAGAAAAGCAGTTGTGCAGTTGCTCAGCTGTCCACTGATGGAATTCATCACAAAATATATTTTTGAGCAGTGTTCAGGCTGTAATTCCCTGGAATCTTTGGGTTCCCTAGAAGGGTGTCACATCTCTCAATACTGAGAGTGCAGCTGTTTATTAAATACAGATCCATATGTCTTCCTGCACACTCAGTCTAGAGTCAGCTTCCTCTTTTGAGAATGGAAGGGATTTATAACCACCTGTACCTCTCTCTCAAAAGGCACCTAACTCATTTACTCTATGAGTCTTGACACTGCCCAATAGGGTTGATAGAGTGAAGGTTGAAAGCAATATGTTAAGTTTGCATTTCAGATAAATAGCAAACAATTATCTAGTCCACTATTATCCCAAATGTTGCATGAGATACACACTAAAAATTTATTAAATGTTATTCTGAAATTCCAGTTAACTGGGCCCCCTCTGTTTTATCTGGTGTATCTGTCAACACCTACACTGAGCATCAACTTGATGCCACAGGGAAAGGTTCTAAAGCAGATATCACAGACAGCCCACACATGTATTTCATTGGTTTGTGGTTTTTTTTAAGTGGAATTTATAGATAGAAAACTTTCATGGAATATTCTAGATTGAGACTTCTCTGGTAAATTTGAGGGAGTTGGAGACACTGGGACTGTAATCTCAGAAGCTGTCCCTCTGGGGCTCTTAGAATCACTAGACCTGTGTGTTTGCTGCCCCCCATACTCTTTTCACCCACTTTTGTTATTTCCCCGGCCCTTCTGGGCTTCAGGCTGGTGACCCAAGAGGATGCTAAGGGGACTCTGGTAATGTTCCCTTCCTGAGACTATAGTCAGAGTGTCCATCTAGGGGGAGGCCTCAGCTCCCTCAATCCCAGGGTTACAGAAAACTTCAGGTTTGCACTGATACTGGCTGTGTGATCCAAATAGGCCCCATAGTTCTCAGACCAGGAGATTAGTCTCCATAACCTTAGTCCTGCCTGGGCCTTTGGGATGTTTACACAGACTCACCCTGGACCTATAGAGTCTCTTACACTGCCCGGGGCAGATTTGCTTCCGCCTAATGCATATTTGTTCCTCAAGAAGAGTACAGTGTTCCCTGCAGGGCCCTCAGCTGACCAACCTCCTCCTCTCTGACTCCCCTAGAATCTGATACAGAGACCCCCCCCAAGAGGCTCTGCAGGACAAGGTGCAATTGCCCAAAAACCATTCCTTCTTCAGCAGATCCACATTCTCACAGCCCCCCGCCCCCTAGGAAGACCCAAAAGCTATTAGAAATGGGCTGCATCTGAAAATTGGGGGAAATCCATTTTATCTCATCGAAAAGGCAAAGAAGAACATAAACTAAATTTTATAATATTCTTTCTGTATTAAAGAGACGAATTGTTGTAGAGATGGCGAAGAACAAGACACTGAGCTCAAAAATCCAGGTGAGCCAGAAAAAGCAGAGAGAAGAGAATAGGAGGTCAGCAGGAAACCCATGGGCAATGTACCACATCAGTTATGTCCTGAGCATTAGATCGGTGCCAGGCACAAAGCTAACCTTCTGCATGAGTTGGTTGGTTTGACCCTCGCAACACAACAAGGTGGATCTTGTTCATATCCCTAGTTAACAAACAAGGTGTCTGAGGCTTGGAAGCTTTCAGTTGTCCAGAACCCCACAGCTAAGTAGAAGAGCCAAAATTCAATGTACGTCTGATTCTGGAGGTGGGGGTCAGGGGGCATCTTTCTGGATGAATCCTTCAAGTAAGAAGCCTGATCAATTTAGGTGAGCTTTCAAAAAAGCCTCCTCTAGAATATGTCTTTAAGAGTTGAGAATCTAGACTGTGGTGTCTTAAGCATGTTGAAACCCTGACATTCACAAGTCAGCCCTGGAACGGGTAGAGTCCCACCCTCCGTTCTCACTTGGCACAACGTAGAGGTGAGCTCTCTCTCACGCTCGCTCTCACTCGCTTTCAGGAAGCTTGCAAGCCAGACACATTTGGGTTGAATAAGAGAGGTGATATATATGAGTTTAAGAAAAAGTTCGCCATCATTTTGCAAGAAAATTATCATTGGGGGAAAAAAATCAATACATCCAAGGTATATTTGTGGAAAACGAGAGAACTCTTTTTAACTGATGCCTTTGTTCTAAAGTCAGGTGGTTAATACCCAGTAGGATGTTAAGAGAACAGATCCTGAGGTGGAGAGGCCTTTTCCACCCTGAAATGGGAATTCATGGGAGACTTATCTTTTCTTTGAACATAAATACCAGCCAGAACTGCCCTACTCTAGGTGTCGTCTGAGGACCACTTAATAGGACAAGGGAAAGATGGGGATGGATCCAGGAGGTTGTTAGGTCATGTGGTTCTCTGAAGGGAGAAGCTCCCTGGAATTGTGGGTACCTCTTGCCTTAACAGAATGGAGACAGATGGTGGTGATTCAACTCAGAGCAAAGAGTGAGTTTCCAGTATATGTTACCAGCCAGAGCTTGAAGGTTTGGTATCTAGGAGCTTTTCCATCCAAAAAGGTTTGTCCCAGTTTCCTTGCCCAGGAGAGTGTGAGGGCTCCTTCCTCTGTAGTGGGCTTGGAGTCCTTTGATGATGGCAATGGTGTGATCCCCTCATGAGGAAAAGCACTGTAGCACTGTCCTCCTGTTGTTCATCGATTTGCTCGAGTGGGCACCAGTATCGTCTCCATTGTGAGACTTGTTACTCTTTTTTGGCATATCAAATATGCCACGGGGAGCTTGCCAGGCTCTGCCATGTGGGCAGGATACTCTCTGTAGCTTGCCGGGCTCTCCAAGAGGTACAGAGGAATCGAACCCGGGTCAATCGCGTGCAAGGAAAATACCGTACCTGCTGAGGAAACGACAAACTGGTAAAATCTGTTCTTTCCATCTTCCCTGATCTCATTCCCAGGCAGCTTCCCGAGGGCATCACGGCATCTCCTTTCCTTTAAAAAAAAAATAATAACAAACATGCAGTTTTGTTTTATGTCTTCTAAATGCCAATCGTCAACTTTCTGTTTCCCACTGAAGCAAACAGTCTTCTTTATTTGTCTGCTGGTTATATGCTGAAAGGAAATGCTTCTACTTAGTAAGAATGCACTGAGTACCTAGCTGAGGCCACAGACTGTGCTCAGCCACACAAAATAGACTCTGACCTTCATTCACTTAACTAATATTTTATTCAGAGTCTACGGGTAACAGGCACCATCTATGTGTAGAGTTTCAGTCACAAAATCTCAGTAGGGACAGTATCACCCCAGAAAAGACTGCCATTCTTTTTTTGACCCAGAAAGTACAGCTGCACATACAGTGCTCTCTCCAACATCCTTGGAGGTGTGGGCATCAGGACAAAAGATTGAAAGTGCCTTATGATGAGGTGATAATCAATTAAAAGGTGGAGAAACATTGGATTAGATCCATGAAGAAACCCCAAACATTCTGCTTTCTGGTTTACATTCTTGGGTCATTAAAAGAAAAGAAAATGTGAATATAAGTAATGATTAAATAATTTCCTTGTGCAAGTGTTTTGAAGACAAAGACCAGAGGACTTAGCTCAGGACATATTTGAGACACTCCTTCCCCGCCCCCCCCCTCCCCGCACCTCCAGTCCCAGGACTGGGAGAGGCTTTCCAAAGAGGATATTTCAGACCTGTGCTGGGGGGGGCGGGGGGGCGGGAAGCATTGGGGCTTTCCAGAGTCATCAACTTGCAATTACCTGAAACATTCACTCCCTTGTCTCCAGAGCTAATTCCCACATTTACAATCTGGGTGTATTTGGGTGTTGCTGTTCAAATGACCTGTTCCCTTCCCCTGCCGGTTCATTTTAAGGGTGTGGCACAGGGCTGCCAACAGGTAAGCTGAAATGGTGTGTTTGGAGGTTCAGGATGGTACCTGCCAGATCCCATCCCCCACCACCACCACTACTTCCTTCCTGCCCATATTTACATCTTCACATCTCACTTTCTCCATCTTCTTCCTCTTCCCAGATGAGCCATCGCTGTTGTCTGCTGTACCTCCCTAGTCACTCCAGAAAGTGGACTGAAGCTTGTTCATTTGTAATGTTTCCCAGCCCAGGCTTCTGGAAGACCTGTGGCCACAGGGGTCCTTGGGATCAGGGGCTTCCGCTTCTTCTTCATTGGGTTGGGAGTCGGTGGGGTGAGCCTCCTGGCGAAGGGCCTGCAGTTGTGGTTGTACTGCTTAGGGTATAGAGTGGTACCAGGGCGTATGATCCGTTACCCCTGTATTATCTCTCCAGCCATAGGGACCTCTTTTTTTAAGGGCTATTCCTCATTCTGTGTTCAGGAGTTACCCCTGGCAGGGTTCAGGGGACCATCTGAAGTTCCAGGGAGACTAAACCAGGTCAGCCACATGCAAGGCAAATGGCTTGTCTCATACACTCAAATCATCCTATCTCTGGACTCCTAATTCTTAACAGACTCTGGCTTCCAATTTCAATCTCCTCCTGAACTGGCTGACTTGATCCTGACAGCTCTACTGTTTGGGATCCCCAGGACAAAGAGCCTAGAAGATGGTTCAGTGGCTAGAAAGTACCCAGGGCTAGCATGAGGCTGGGTGCTCAATCCCAGTGTTACACATACACACACTTAGGTTATCGTAACCTTGAACCCCAAGATCTGGGGTCATGGTGAGAAAAAATTTTAAATCATGATTTAAAAAAAATAAATAAAATAAGGGCTGAAGTAGAGTTTGACCTCAGAAGAGAACTGGTAAGTCATCAGAACACACACACACACACACACACACACACACACACACACACACACACCTACCTTGTCTCCTCATTGTGTATCTCTCTGTGTTGATTTTAACTCTCCTCTCTCATATAACAGGAAAGAATGACTTTATAGTCCCAGACACACACCAGTTAAAGGATAAGCCCAAGTAACTAGCAACATCTAGAGCCCATAACCCCAAATCCTGGGAGTGGACCTCTAAAACATTCAGTCTCTGCCAAGTGTCCTGTCCATCCTAAGCCAGGAGTAGGAACACACATGTGTACAGGCAGAAGTGATAGGGACAGTGCTCAGAAAATGATCAGACTGACCTCCATAAATATTCTCCTCTTTCTCTCCTAAGACAACAAAGATATAAGATGTATTTAACTCAGTAACAGCTCTGTAGGAAGAAGCTGCAACACAGTAACGGTACCCATTCTTGGAAATGCCTCATTGTCAAACCACAGTAGTGTTCAAAGGGAAATATTATCTGTGTAGACCAAGGATGTACATCAAGACAATAATAATGTTTTGGGGGATAGATTGATCATGGTAGACTTTCTTCTTTTTTGCTCCTATGGGGGATATGTTGAAACACTTTTTTCTTTCACCTTATTTAAACACCGTGGTTTACAAAGTTGTTCATGATAATTTGTTACAGGTATTCAGTACTCCAACACCAATCCCCCTACCCTTCTGTCTCCTTCCCTCCAACATTATCTCCATTTTCCAACTATCCCTCAAGCCTGCCCCCATAGCAGGTCCACAATAATTTATGTTCCTTGTCTAGTGGAATGATCAAAAAATACTTTAGTGAAAGAAAATTTGTGGAAACTTTTGTATGTCACATTGAGAATATTAAGTCCTGTCTGAGAGTTTACTAAGCTGTTGTTGCTAGTTAAACATTCTGTGTTTTCATTAGTCAAGATTAATTGGCTTCTATGTTCCATTCCCATCAAATCTGGTGTGCTTCTACCGGGATGTTGTAACTATAGAGTTTAGAGATGTCATGCAGCCACAAATGCAGCTTTCCATTCTAGAAAATTCAGAATATTTAGTAGGGCAGTCCAGCCAGAAGCATGGGGTGTGAGTAAAACAAACTCTTTTGTGTGAAACAACCAGGTTTGCATAGAACATTTGGGGCCCTCACTGCAAGTAGAGTTTGATGTTTGTATCTCTTGCTCTTTGAAGGCTGGCGCTAAAAAAGTCATCACAAAGGAGCAGGAAAGAGAGATGCTGAAGAAAGGAACATCCAGCCAGTCTACTCAGAGCATTGTGTCTTCAAGGGCAGATGAAAGGAGCTAGAATTACCATCCAGGCCTTGCATGATCCTCCATGTGTCATTGTGACTCTTCTGTGTCAAAATACTAAGACGCTTGCGTTGGACTCTAAAAAAGTATTATGCTTGTGTGCTTGTCTCTAGGACAGAATCTTGAATAATGCTTTGTTGTGGAGGTATAAAAGGAAAAGGCTTCCTTTTTATTTCAATACCTACAAATGTCTACATACTTTAAACTATATGTATAAAGGACATAAGTTTGAAACTTCTAGGCCTGATAGATGTCATCGAGTGTTGCTACCTTTGATGTTCCCAAACGCCATACCTCCAAGGGGCTCTCAAGAAATCCACAGTTCAGACAAACTCAAGGTTCGGACCAGAGTTGTAGAACAGAACCATAAATAACCTCAGGGCTTGCGGGGGACCATGATGTATTTATATCTTGAGTTTATGATAATAAATTTAGAACACCAATTCATTTTATTGCTTCTGTAATAATGTTTATATGGCACTCTTGCAGTTTTCAAAAAGAGTCTCATCGAACTCTCTCAGGTTTCTATGGAGTTAAATCATATCATATCATATTATATCATATCATATTCCCCATTTTATGGAGGAGGTTGGTGGGTGCTATCTAAAAGTTACACAGATTAATGTTTAGACTCCAAGGCTTGGGTCTATCACCCCAGTCTCTAACTCCTCACACTGTTCATTCTGTGATTCCAAGGTAGCCCGATGTTCAAGGAGTTCAAGGCCAAGATCCTGGCTAAATAATCAGTCAACAAAGAACTCCCACTGCCTGACTGGACACAGCCCTTTTTTCATGGTGTTTGAAGAGGGACTAATTTTTCTTGCTCTCTACTTCTTTGTGTTGTTCCCTGCCCTCTCTCCACCCATTCTTCCTCTCACTGCCTTCTTTTATAATATGAAAAAAATATAGAACACTTTGTAAATGTCTATATCATCCTCATGCAGGAGCTATGCTAATCTCCTCTGTATTGTCCAATTGCAGCTTATGTCCAGCCAAAATGAGCACTCACTGCCTTTTCATGACAATACCCTGGAGGGGGTAAGGGGGAGGAGAGAAAGAGCTAGAAGTCATGACTATCATTTATTTTTATCTTTAAAAACCACAATAAAATATTTTTGAAATTCTAAAACCAAATGTATTCTTTATTCTGATTGAAACTACCAATAAACGGGAAAGAGAGTACAGTGAGTAAGGCACTTGCCTTGTGTGCAGCTGACTCGGGTTCAAAACCTGGCACCTCATTGGTCCCCCAAGCTCCTCCAGAAGTCATCCCTGACAGAGTCAGGAGCACCACCAGATGTGGCCCAAAAGGGGAAAAAAAGGATGGGGAGGAGGAGGAGGAGGAGGAAAAGGAGGTGAAGGATTAATAAGCATTTATTTTCTAATGTGATATTCTTAGTGTAATATTCCACCGAAAGTACTTCTTACAGAAGTTAGGCCCAAAAGTCAAAGGATAAGGTATTACCTGATCTTAGATATACTCTTGAGGGGCCTGAGAGACAGTACATGTGTTAAGGCACTTGTTTGGGTGTGGCAGACCCTGGTCTGAGTGATCTAGTAGAATTGTACAAGAAAAAAAAACCTCCAACCCCATCAAAAAATGGGGAGAAGAAATGAGCAGAAGCTCCCTAAGAAAAGAAAAACAGACTCCCAAAAGGCACGTGAAAAAATGCTCTACATCACTAATCATCACAGAGATGCAGATCAAAACAACCATGAGATATCATCTCATACCACAGAAACTGGCACACATCAAAAAGAACAAGAACAACCCATGCTGGCACGGATGTGGGGAGAAAGGGACTCTTTCATTGTTGGTGGGAATGTTGACTGATCCAGCCCTTTTGTAAATCAACATGGGCATTCCTTCAAAAGCTAGAAATTGAGCTTCCATATGACCCTGCAATACCACGTCTGGGAATATATCCCAAGGGTGCAAAAAAGCACAGTAGAAATGACATCTGCACCTGCATATTCATTGCAGCACTGTTCATAATAGCCAGAATCTGGGAAAAAAACCGAGTGCCTGAGAACAGATGAATGGTTAAAGAAACTTTGGTACATCTACACAATGGAATACTATGCAGCTGTTAGGAAAGATAAAGTCATAAAAATTGCTTGTAAGTGCATGGTCACTTTCTTACTAAGTGAAATGAGTCAGAAAGAGAGGGACAAACATAGGATGACTGAACTCATTTGTGGAATATAAAATAACATAATATGAGACTGACACAAGGGCCAGGAATATTGCTCTATAGCTGGAAGTCTGCCTCATGAGCTGGAGGAGAAGGCAACTGGAATAGAGAAGGGATTACTAAATTAATGATGGTTGGAGGAATCGTTTGGGATGGGAGATGTATGCTGAAAGTAGATAAAGGACCAAACACGATAGCCTTTCAGTATCTATATTGCAAACCATAATGCCCAAAAGTAAAAAGAGAGTATGAGGGAAATTATCTGCCATAGAGGCAGGGGGAAGTTTGGGAATTGGGGGGGGGGGGGGTGTGGGATACTGGGGACATTGGTGGTGGAAAGTGTGCACGGGGATGAGTGTTCGATCATTGTATGACTGCAACTCAAACATGAAAACTTTGTAACCGTTTCTCACAGTGATTCAATTAAAAAAAAGGGGGGGGGGGGCTGGAGTGATAGCACAGCGGGTAGGGTCTTTGCCTTGCATGCAGCCGACCCGGGTTCGATTCCCTGCATCCCATATGGTCCCCCGAGCACCTTCAGGAGTAATTCCTGAGTGCATGAGCCAGGAATAACCCCTATGCATCACCGGGTGTGACCCAAAAAGAAAAAAAAATAAAGAGTGATCCCTGAGCACCAAGCCCTGACTAAGCTCTGACCACAGTCAAGTGTGGACCAAAGTCACCCCAACCCTCAAGAAAACTCTTGAAAGGCCTAGAGAGAGAGAGAGAGTTCAATGGGCTAATGAACACATGCATGCAGGAAGTTTGTTTGTAATCCCTGGCACCACATGGTCCCTTGAGCACTGCAGGAAGTCACCCCAGAGCACAGAGCATAGCTCCTAAGCACAGCTGTGTATGCCCCCAAAATAGTACAAAACAGAAAAAAAATTCTTGGAAATTCTAGAAAATTTCCACAAGGAGCCATTATTACTTATGCTGAACCGTATCCCAAAAGCCCAAAACAGCATTGTCTTCTCCAGCACCTGAGGACACCTCGTAGGCAGCAGCAGTTCAAGTAGAAGATTCACATACAGTAGCCAAATTGTGTGGGAAAATACACTTGTTGAACATATCTGTCTGCAGTTTTGTGAGTTCAATTTGTTGTTTATGTCATACTACTCTGTTTTAGGACTTTCAGGGGACATAATTTTCATCACATCGATCTTACAATTCAAGATATCAATTTCTTCACTTCTTTAACTAGGTATTTGTTGGGGAAGGGGAACCTCCCCAGCATTCCCTTCCCTTCCCCTCCCCCCCAGAAATACATCCCTCCTATCAGGTTTGCCCTCCCTAACTCTGCTCTCTTAACTACAGATGATTGACTGATTGATGGACACCCCACCCGTCCCAGACCAATCATGCTTTTCTTCTAATTCCAATCAGCATTTTCATCTTGATATCTAGCAGTGGGACTCCGGGATGTCACACACATCATTAGTAGCACTAGAACTGAATCTTGATCCTGCTCCAGGGATGACATAGCTGCTTCCCGCCTTGTGTTTGGGAAAAAAAAGCTTGTCTTCAAAAATAGAAGGCTGGGAGGGACAGGCAATGAGAAAAAGACATGAAAACATGAAATTCTCAGAGAATTCATCAATTACTGGGACAGAGCTTACAACTCCCTATATATTTATCACATCTTTCTACCACATAGGCAGAAGCTGAACTGCCTTGATTGCCCAGCCTCTCTTGCAGCTATATCTGACCATATTCTTTGGTCTAATCCAGTCACATGTAAGTGAAGATCCCTGACAGGAGTTTCCCTTCTGAAATAAAATAGAAATCTTCACCGGGAGTTAGCTTTTGCTGTTTATCCTTTTTGCCTCATCTTGTTTTTCTGTCATGGAGCTCAGACTTGGGACTGGGGCAGCCACCTTGGGGATCATCAGGCAACAAGCAAGAAGTTAAAACCCACCTGTGAGGACAAGGAAATGGAAAAACAAGAAGACCCTGAGTTGGGTACTTGGCAGCGTCCCTGAGTTCTGTACCTTGCTTATATTATCTCTGTACTGCTTGTGTAAGATAAATAAATCCCAACCTGTGTAATCTCCCCCTAGTCAAGTGTACCAGTTTGTGCTGTGGATCAAGCCACTCAAAACTGAATGAGAGTGACAAGTTATTTCTCATCATCCCACGGGTAAAGCCAGATACTTGTACTGGTCTGAGCTGGTGTGGCTGGGGCTGGATGGTCTAGGATGGGCATATGTACATGCCTGGTCATTGGCAGGCCTGCTGTGGCCTTGGATCTCAGGTGAAGGCATTTTTTTTATCTTCATGGAGATATTTGGCAATGTCTGAGCACAGCTTCTCACATTTATAGGTTGCTTCTATTATCTAGCACAGAGGTTCCCAAACTTCATTGGCTTACTGTCCCTTCTTACTCAGTACACCACCATTCCCCAATTATACCCAAGGTCTACAGTCCCCAGAATCATACCAATCCCCAGGGGAGGATATCACTGATTTAGAGCATGGAGACCAAGGAAATAGCATGAAACAGTTCCCCACAGCAAAAGCTTATTTAATGCAAATTATCAGTAGCACAGCGGTAGGGTGTTTGCCTTGCAAACCACCAGCCCGGTGGAACTGGGTTCGATTCCTCCGCCCCTCTCAGAGAGCCCGGCAAGCTACCAAGAGTATTTTGCCCGCATAGCAAAGTGTGGAAAGCTCCCTGTGATGTATTTGATATGCCAAACACAGTAACAAGTCTCACAATGAAGACGTTACTAGGCCCGCTCAAGCAAATCAATGAACAATGGGAGGACAGTGCTACAGTGCTACATCAGTGGCCTTGAGTATGAAAAGGCCTGGTCTGGAGAGGCCTCAGTGGGGATGGTTCGTACCTTGTTTGGCCCAGTTTCTTATCACCCAGTGAGCTGGATCTATCCTATTCAAAGATAGTTCGGCCCAGGTTCCAGAGTACAGCATGAGATAGCAAATGCGGAAGAACAAACTCTATCTGCCTTGTGTTCATTTATAACCTGTCAGACAAAGCCTGTCACGAGGCCAGAGTCAGTCTGTGATGGGTTCCATTTTTCACTATCGTCCCCGCTCCAGTCTTCTGTTGTTTCCAGCTGAATGCATTCCAACTCACAGAAAAGGAGGAGAGCGTGCCTTGCTTCCTGATGACTTTCCGCATCCTCGTTTCCATCCTCAGGAGGGACAGTCCCAGAAACTGAGCCCGTTGTGGCTTAGACCGAGTCTCCAGTTACAAACAACAGAACCTCCTGTGACTAACTTGTGTGAGGAAGGATTTTGCTGAAAGGAATGAGAGTAGAGGAACAAGGGAAGCAAAGCTGAGCACTGAGAGGATCAGAAACAACTTTTCTTCCCCAACGATGGTCTCCTTTGCCTCATTGGGTTTTACATTTCTGTTCCTTGCCACCGAATGCCCTTGATCAAAACACTCTGCTGAATGTCCCCACTGGTAGTTCCAAGAAGTTACTGGTACTGCTTCTGCTGGGGTGGTATCAAAGTACAAGTTATTGAAGCCCACCCCCCACTCCCACCCCAACAAGCCATCATCAGCTGGTTCCCCCACCAGGAAGTGAAGACAAATAACTTCCTTGTTATTTGCCTAACTACCTTGTTCGTGGATTCTTGCTGGAGGAGTCTTGGATTCGTGACTTTGGAGAGAAGGTACCCCTTTTCTCCAGTAACTTGGCAGAGCCCCCACTGCCTGCTGTTGTGGAAACCACAGTCCTGACTGACTGTGGAAAAAAACCAGCTCCCGGAGCTGCATTCCAGAGACTCATTTCCAATTTTTTTAGGGTCCTAGGAACAAAAGCAACACACTCCTGAGGAA